GTAGGTGGGTAAGAGCTTGGGCTGGAACAGATGGCCTAAGAGGTGAGTCCATACTTCATTTACCTGCTATATGGCATAGAACAAGTGACAGTCTCCATGCCTCAGTCTCCTCCTCTGTAAAATAGGCTTAATAATAGTGCTTACCTTATAGGGTTGGGAAGATTGCCTGAGTTAACATATATAAAGTTCTTTTTTCTTTTTCCTCTGCTACTAGAAATTGAGCCTGGGGCCTTGGCACTGGTTCACTTTCCCAGACCTTTTTATTTTTTGAGACAGGGTCTTTCTAAGTTGCCAGGTGGGACTTGGAGGTGCCATCCTTGTGCCTCAGTCTCCCAAGTGCTGAGATTATCAGCATGAGCCATTGCACCAAGCAACACATCTACACTTCTTAAGATGATGTGTGCCATGCAGTAAAGTTAACTGCTGCTGTCTATTGCTTGTTGCCTTTATAAATATTGGTCTCCCTGAGCCACCAGGGCCTGCGGTGAGTCAGGCTGAATTGATCTTTTAGGTTAAAACCCAGGGCAAACTAGTGCTTCAAAAGCTTCTTCCTCTCATCATTCACAATACTGGGTGTTTTACTTCTGTCACCATTTCTTTCCCTGACCAGACCTAGGGGCATGGAAATAAGAGCAGTTGCATCCTAAATCTGAGTCATTCAAAATTGCCTCTAAGGACCAGGGTGTTTGTGATGTTGTTGTTCCCTCACACTGGGGCATCCCAGCCTTCCCCATAAATTAGGCACAGTCTGAAGATATTTCTGTGCCATGGACAGGGATGACCACTCCACTGAAAGGCCCTACTTTTATTGCTTTGTACTACAGAATGTTCTGGAAAGCCAAGCCTGTTTCTTCATTCTTGCTTTCCTCTTTTGATTGGTGGTATATGTATGGAGGGACTTTGTCTTGTGCTGAGACAGCTAAGGGGTCAGAATTGGACAGCATCATGCTCTGAAGGAAAGAAGTTTCTGCCTTTACTGCCCCTGAACCCTTCCCAGATGCCAGCAAAGAAGCCAAGCATACAAGAGGGTACAGACCTTTGTGTCACTGCTGCAGCTGTTGAAATTTTTCTGAAGTTCCTAGTATGATATTTCTTCTGAGAGGCAGAGATATTCTAGAAACTAAAGCTTGTACCCACCTCAAGATCTCCATATATTTCCCTGAAGTCAAACCTAGGACTATTGAATTTGTCCCTGTCCTGTGCTTGAGAAACACTGGAGCCTCTCTGATATGGCTCTCAGACTACCCCAGAATTCACCTGGCTCATGATTTGGGGAAAGCATAGTCCTTGCCCTTCAGGAGATCACAGCCCAGGTAACACAACAGGATGCTCTGGTTCCCTCACCGGGAGCTGAAGTGCTGTCAGTGTGGAGAAGGCAAGCTGAACACATGTCTTACTGGGGAATCAGAAGGCATAGTTTGGAGAAGTTTGTTCCCAGTAAGGCCTTTCCAAGCAGAGACACAGAAAATAGGAACCTCAGTACATTTCAAGAGTGGAAATGGAACACCACATCAGGACTGGCTGGTGGGAACTCCACCCTCCAGCTAAAGCCCATCTAGCTGCCCAGTGATTTAAGACCCAACTTTTCACCCAGATCTATTTGACAGTATAAATATCTCACTGGTCTTTGGTAGGGCTATGATGTGGAGTATTGAGGAGAGGTAACCATTGAGCTATCCTCGGGGGTGGAAGGGAGCATAAGGAACACACATGAGATGGTGGATGCTACCGAATATCTTTATCTCAAGCCTGTGGAGTGGGCAGTGGAGACTGTTCATGTTTGACACAAGAGAAAGCATGTTTAGGAAGTTGTCATGCACAAAATCACAGAAGTGTTGTGTGTCAGCTGGGATGTGAACCAGACCTGTCCAGCTCCAGTGCCTCTGACCTTTCATTTCTCCACAGGGAGGACCCTTTGTTAACAGTGGATAAAGGAGATGGCCTCCAGGCCAGGGTATCTTGTTTGTAATTTATAGCTCCTGCAGCACCTTCCCAGTTGTGATCTGGTTTGAACTTGTCCTAGTCTGTTCTGACTTCTGTAAAGAGATACCATAGATTGGGTGGATAAGCATCAGATATTTATTTTTCATGGTTCTGGAGGCCAGGAAGTCCCTGGTCAGGGGCCAGCACCCATGGTTGTGTGAGAGTCCCACTTTCTGGTGTGTGGGCAGCTGCCTTCTTGCTGTATCCCCAAGTGATGGAAAGAAAAGCAGCAGCAAGCTCTCATATCTTTTGTTATAGGGGCACAAATCCCACCATGAGAGGTCATAGGTATGACCTAGTTACCTCCCAAAGCCCCCATCTCCAAATACTGTCACAGTGGGGATTAGACATGTGAATTTTGGGGCCAAACATTGATTAAGTATAAACATACTCAGTCTATAACAGAACCACAGCAGCATTCCTTCTCCTGACTTTCATTATTTTTGTTCATTTGGACAAAACTTTTATCCATGCTGGGCTTCTACCTCTCCACCAGAAAGACCTGGCTGGTGGCAAGTATGTTCCCCAGGGTTCCCCAATACTCAGTGACTCTATCTGTGTTCCTACTCCCAGCATCTCTCCACACTCCCTTTCCCATTATGGTCTATGTTTTCTGGTTACTTGAAGGCATTTTTGTCTAACCATGTTGTCACCTTCCTCACAACTCAAACCTTTCTCCTCACATTTGTGATAAACTCTCCTGTGCTTCATAATGCCTTAGGAAACTTGTGAAGGTCACTTATTCAGTGTCAAAGTGGGGGGTCCTTGACAAGGACACACGACAGATAGTACCTGATACTAGGCCCAAGGAATGAAACCCACTCATTTTGCTCTGTCTAATCAGCTATGGACAGATCATTTAAAGAATCACGGTTAAGTAGCATATGGCTGAGCACAATCACCAACAAAGAAAGGTCACTCCATCTCATCTCAGACATGGTCTTTTTTTAATAAAGGCATTTAATAGCCCACTTTTTGGGAATAACTTTGTTCTTAATTAAGAATTCTAATTTTAAAGTGAGCTCTGACCTCTTTCTTTCCAGACTCATTCTAGTGCTCTGATTGCATTTCATGGGTAGAAATTAAGATCCTTTATTGTGTGTTACCTCTGTCTTTCTCCATGGCTAGTTATCCATGGCAACTTGTGCTTTATTGAGATTATAAATGGGCTTATCCTGCTAGAATAATAATAGCAACCTTTGGGTCTTTATGGAAATGCTAAGCAGGAAGTAAGGCTTGGTGAGACCCTTTTCCTTAGTGCTGTGTTTCAGCGTGGATGGTGCTGAGGCTAAATGATGCACAAACCTTTTTTCACAGTGAATCCTGAGAGAGAAACCAAAGGAACAGAATATCTCCTTTGGAGAAGTAGGAGTTTGGCAAGGTCAGTTAATTTAGACCAAGAAGTGTTATTTCCTCTGGGTGTCACCCTTGGTGTTGTACCCCAGGAGCCATGTGCTTAGAGCAGCTGAGGGAACAGACTTCTCTATGATGCAGCCAGAGGGCTGAGAAACCCACTCAGGTATATAAGGAGTGGAGCACACAGATGTGCTCTGCAAACTGCAGGAAGTTCTAGTGCCCATCAGTAGGAGAATGGGTAGTAAACTGAGCTACATGTGACAGTGTGGGGGAAAAAATCTCCAAAATATAACGGACAAAAAATGTTGAGTGATAGTGTACAGTTTAATATCATTGATATAAAGTTTAAAATATGCACAACCATGTTTTTCTACTGTCTCTGGCCACCAATAGGTAGTGAAAACATAAAGCCAATGAAATGATGAATACCAAGTTTGAGTGAGGGGTTCCCTCTAGGGGTGGAGGGGATGAGATCTGGAAGGCATTCCCAAGGAATGGCAGTAGTTCTCTGAGCTTTTCCTAAGGTGGTTGGTGAGTATGTAGAGTATAAAATACTATATTTTTTGGGGCCAGGGATTTAGCTCAGTGGTTCTGGTGCCTGCTTCACAAGCACAAGGTCCCGAGTTTGATCCCCGGTACCAAAAAAAAAAATTATATCTTTTAATGTCTGAAATAGTCCATAATTACACAATGGAGTACTGCTCTGCCATACAGAAAAATAAACTTGAGGCATTTGTAGGCAAATGGATGCAACATGAGAACATAATGTTAAGTGAAATAAGTCAGACATACAAGCTCAAATATCACATGGTTTCTCTTATCTGAGAAACTCAATACATACATATATTATTAATATTATATATACATACAAATAAAGAGCAAAATAGAAGATAAATAGGGAGTAGGGAGAAATTCAAATAACTCCCCAAATTACCTATTCTGTTGATTCAAAAATATTTAAATATATATGCTAGTTTGTTTCATTTATACTATTAGTTTTTCTTAGTAGTAAAAAGAAAGTTTTGTGCTATTATCTGTTTGTTTCTTCTTCATAAGGGTCTTTTTTGTCTATGTCTTGTACTCTGGGTAACTACTCATAATTATGATACCCTGTGTATTAACTATTGCTATCTTACTTTGATATGAAATTGTGTTTCATTTTTTCATAAAATGGAAGAAAACCTTTCCTAATCAGTTTGATTGTGATTTTTAATTTTAAGGAGTTACTAACTGCATTTTTCTGGAGCTGATTAGCTTGAAATTTGCTATTTTCTCACCCTTTGCCTGGGTCACCTTCATTGTGGCACTTCATCTTCCCATAGTATTAGTACCAGTGGGAAAATAAGATATGAAACCCCTCATCTTTCTACTTTTTACTTTGCTGCTTCTGAATAAGGAATAGAAATTATATACTGTACTCAATGAAATTGGCACATTTTAAGTATATTTAGTTCATTGATTACAAGGCCAGGACCCAAAGTTAATTGAGACAACTTCAGTTCTGGGTCAATTTCTAAGTCTCTCCCATCAAACCAAAGTGACAAGAGTAGTTATCTCCTTGAAAACTATTGTGCAAACCTTGCCGCAGTCCCCTGTTGCCAACCCCAAAGGAGTGGCTTTGATGTCATGTTCTGAAATCAGTGTTTGCTTTGCATTGACAGCATGGCCGGACTCCCCTGCACCTTGCTGCCAATAAGGGCCATCTTTCTGTGGTCCAGATCTTGCTGAAGGCTGGCTGTGACCTGGATGTCCAGGATGATGTGAGTAGAAGCCCTCATTCTAGCTGGATAGGATCTATTCTAGGAGGATAGGGGTGGGGGATAAATTTCATGGAATCCAAGTAAACAAAGGCCTCTAGAAAGAGTTTACTCTGGTGCTGTGCTATCATTGAGACATGGCTGCCATCACCTCAGCTCTGAGTCTGTCCATTCAAATTGTCTAGAGAGGACTCAGGCTGGCTCCTCTGGGATGAATTGGCCATTTCTGAGTCAATGAGTAGGGGCTGGGGATGGGTCATAATGTACATAGTGTTGCCCTGTTTGATCTTTGGAGAAGGTGAGTTGTCTAACAAGGGATTGTCCTCCAAAGAGTTATTAGGAAAAGGTCCTGTGATAATGTGATCGGAAACTATTTTCAGAAACTGTTTGAACTCTTAAACTGTGTGGTAGACTTCTAAGAAAAATGAAATTTTGTAAGCAACATAGACTCTTGGAGAGTTTCCCCTTATCATAGTGTCTTCCAGATTCACCTTTAATATCAGTGGCTAGAAAGCATTATTCAAATTTCAGACCTTCAGTTGTTCAAGGGTATTGTTTACCAAAGTACTTCAAGTTTTCCTTCAGTCTCTGTGCAATGTCTTACCACTTGGCAAACACATTTACAAGTGAAAAAGGACAGTGTTTGTGAAGACAATACGGCATTACTTTTTGCACAGGCAGAAGGCCACCTAGTATGTCTCAGATCTCTAAATATGTCTGAAACCTGTTAGGTCATCAAGGATGTTATTTTCAAAAGATACTGCTTAGCTTTAAGCCATTGATTTTTACCTTGAATCATAATACTTTGTTTTCTACATTGTAACCAACATAACATTCCTGACCCAAATCATTTCCTTAGATGACGGGAGGAAAATACAGGGAGAGGAAAGAGATGCTGACCACAGAAAAGGAGGGGTCTTGAATTGCTAGCACAAACATGTTGGCATCATCTGGTCTTCTCTTTGCATATTCAGAGCCCTCATTTGCCACGATGGCAAGGCCGAAGTGCCCAGTGTGCTAACCCATCCCACCCAACAGTCCTGGCCAGGACTGGCACCCTGAAGATCACTGTGTTCTTGTGCAGCCAAGGCCATGCTAATTCCTAAAATTGTTGCTGCTTCTATCAGGAGAGGCAATAAGAAAAAAGGCAAGAATTGTCACAAAGTAGCCAAGATGAGATGTGTTGACAGAAGGAAAATCTGCTCTGCTTGTAGACAGGAACACTCTCTTTTATTGAAATTTTCTTACATCTTTTCTTTGCCCTAGACAGAGAACACATAGCACAACAGTAACAAACAATGTAAAAAAATGTGGATGTGGAGAAGGTAGGTTTGACCTTCACTACTTCTGAAGTTTTTCATTTGCCATTATCTGATCCATGTGTGTCCTTATCATGATTGTTGATGATGAGCCTTGAAATATATGCAAGAATTCAAGGAGGAAATCTCTTTATAAACTTTATAGAGGCTAGGAGGTCAATTATTGGAGAAAAATTATTTCATGTTACCTCTCTTGGATGGTGGGTAGAGAATGCTAATGTGAAGAATTTACTACTAACTTCATATTCTACAGATACTGATCTTTTTGGCATGGTAAGGACTGAGAATTAGCAGAAGAATGACCTCCAGTGGCCTGGAGTGGGATTATTATGAATTTCAACCTGTGGTAACCAGTTCTTTAGAATATGCAACTCCAGGTGCAAATTCTTTCTTGCTTCCCGCCCATCCTGGCAACCCTCACTGGAGCCCTAACGCCATCTCTGCTTGGTCAATGAACAGCCACATGCCCTCCTCCTCAGAAATAGTCCAAGACCTTGTGGCCACAGTAAAAGGCATAAAGGAAGAAAAAAATAAGAAAAACCAGAGAAGAAAGGCTAGGAAGAACCCTAGCAGATCAGAGAGAGAAACCGAGGTCAGCAACTGCTTTGCACACCCACCTTGTCTTCACTTCCTTACAGCGTGTTGCCCTTGCACCTGGGGAGGACTCCACCCTTTAACCTTGCCTGCCTTGGGTTCCTTTCATGAGCTTGGCTTTGGAATACTCAACTGTTTCTACCATGTAGGAGCAAAAAATAAAAATATTTCAAAACAAAATGTGGACCTCAGAGGTTCCAAAGCACTTAAGCAAGAAACACCGATGTGCCAGAAAAGCTGAGAGCTGGCAGTTCACGTTCTTTTGCAAACAGGTCAGCATATTCCAAATCAAAGAGCCAAACTGCAGGGTTGCTGGCTTTTCAAGTTTCTGACTGCAGCTTTTTTTTCCCTTTGCTTCTTTGCACTTAATCATTCAACAAATATGACTTGGGCCCCTACAGTGGCCAAGGCTCTAACATAAACACTTAGCTTACATAATGAGGCAGCCCCAACCTTCTGAGACCGATCTTAGGGTTAGTTGGCCTCATAGGTTGGGAGCAGCTTGGAGTGAATACAAAAATCCTTCACAATTTGAATTCAGGCCCAGCCACAATAACTCAAATTAACTAGTTATCCTAGGTGAGGCTCACCAATGTAATGAAAGAATTAGATGCCATGCCACTACGTAGTAAGCAATGAAAAAATACTGACTAAAATTGAGTAAGTGCTATGTGAGACCTATATTTTACCCAGGATTTTCTTTTCAGAGTTTCAGGATTTCATGATTGATTAAGATTATATAGAAATAAGGATTATGTCAAAATTGGGTCCATTAGTATGTAAAGCTCATCTTCTTTGTCATGTTTTGAGTAAATGTTTTAGCATTAAATTTCAATACATGGGAGCCAAGAGTGGATTCCAGGGGTAACTGATGGGATTTTTTTTCAACTGAGGGTCTAAAAGTGTTAAATTGTTTATGTGCGTGAGAGTGGTTCCAAGGTGATAACCCGAGGCAATCCTTTATTGTTTGAGACAGGGCCTCACTATGTAGTCCAGACTGGCTTTGAACTTGTGATCCTTCTGCCTTGGCTTCCTGAGGGCTTGGATTAAGGTGTGTGCCAACACACCTGGCCCTGTTTGTGTTTTGTCTCTCTGTCTTTAGTTGCCATCTGGTAATTTAAGAGTATTTGGTTTTTAAAAGCCTGAGAAAGGTTATTGCTCAGATCTCCAGAACCATTCCAGCTAGTATGACGAAAGCTAATGATCAAGGACAGCCACTTATGAGAGGGAGAAAAGCGCCCGAGTGTCTCCTACACAGCAGTGTTTACCTGACTGAGGAAGCAAAGAGCGGGCTTTGCACAAGTCGCTGTCCAACAGGAGTAAAGGGGGAGGGGGAAGCATTGTGGCGGACAGGCAGGGAGTGCAGCTAAAAGCTCCCCACAGAGAAAGGGGCATACAGTAGACACCTGTGCCAGTCACCTGGTGACAATTTGTGTTCAGTAGAGCTCCTTGAATCTTGATAATCCATCTGGAAATTAACTCCTAAGAACTGCACTGAAAGTTAGCATTAGATACTTGCATTGAGCTAGAGTTTTAGAAAGGAAAGTTGTCCTGCAGGAAACAAATACATTCAGCGATGATGAAAGCAAGTGGTAAATACCGGTACTAGGACAGCTCAAAATCTTCCTCAGCTCATGATTTAGTGGGCAGCTATGAAACATGATGCAACATTTGACCTGAACCAAGACGTAGGTCAGACTGTGCCCTAACCGGGAAGACCCTTCCTGTGGTCATCCGGACAGTGAGAATGGCTGATGCCACCTTCGTGCTTGGGGCTTGTTGCCCACACTTTCTACACAGCACAGACAGAATTATGTTTCATCTTCTCAAAGTTGTTCTCATTGATCTAAGGAGTGCTAGGTAGGGTGCTTGCAGTTGCTGCGATTATTAAAGGCCACCAGTTGAAAATCTGGCCAAGTCAATACTACCCTGATGGTGCAGTCTCACACTTCTTGCTGGGAAGAGAACCATCTCTCTCAGCGGGCCAGTAATAGTAAATCATACTTGAGGCCCATTTTGAGGAAATCTGTGACCATTCTGATAGGGAAATGGGAAGTCTTAGAAATTCATATGGAATTTTTTTCAAGTTAAATGTTTGAACAATTACTTATGACTTATTTGAGCAGCAAGCATTCCTCTTCTGGAAATACTTCTGAAGAGGTTTGGAATGGGTAATATAATGGCCCAGCACACCTCCCACAACCATTGGCCTATTGGCTACATTCTCTTATTGACTGAGTGACATACAAAAAGGTTCCCCTTTCAATAAAGGGTCTGGGGAAGTGGACAAGAAGAAAACCAGTGTAAACCTAACTTACAATAATGGGATAATAGCAAAAAACAAAAACAAAGCAAAAAACAGAGGGACGATAACAGCTTAGGAGGCAAAGGAGAAGGTTGCTGATGGCAACACTGAGGATAGTAAATGCGGTTGGGTCATGGGGTTGGATGTCTGGACCACATCACTCTGGAAGTCCCCTGAATTCTACAAATGAACCATGAAAAAAATTCTGAGATATGAACAGTCAGTCCCATTCCTGATACATAGTTATTGTTTAGACTTTTAATTAGTAGTAGTTTTTCCTGATGCTCAAAGTTACATGTGTAAAATATTAAAAATTATAAGCTATTAAAGTATAAGGAAGAAAAAATAAAAATCACTTCCCTTTGTGGATTTTTAAAGGAAGATTTTTATTTTTAAGAAAGCAAATTTGAATTTTAACTAGGATTGAATGAGTTTTTACTATGGTAAAATATATATATAACTTAAAATGTACTATCATGACTTTTTTTGAGAGCTTGTTAGGAGATTCTAGCAGGGGAGCGCAGGTACTCGTATACCCTTGATCAAAGAAAGGATCTCCCCTTCCATTGACCAGGTGCGCACCTTCAGGAAGGACACACATGGAATGGTGAGGGAGGAAGGGGCACCCACTTAGCCAGATCAGCTGAATCACCCCTGGATATCAATGGGCTGACAGACATCGCAGCCAGATCGCCCTCACATCCGCATCATGACTATTTTTAAGCATACTGTTCAGTGACAAAAAGTACATTCACATTTTTGTGCAACTATCACCACTATCCTTCACTATAGCTTTTTTTTTTCAGATTAAATGCTTTTGATATTCATTGTTGATTAGTCAGATTAGTAAATTGCATCTGCATTTTATTAAGGCTATTTGTAGTTAGTAGTAGTATGTCCTTCTTTTTAAAGATCTGTCATCTGTCTTACAGTGATCTCTCTTGGGATAAAGACCAGGGGTGTGCTGGAGTATGTCCTTTGCCTCTCCACGCTCAGTCAGGAAAATTCTCTTATATAAATCTTACCAACCAAATCATAGACTCCAAAAAGGAAAGAGAAGGACCTTTGGGATCCCCAGCCTCCACTTTTTGCAGGTGAAGATCTGAGGCTCACCAAGGTGACAGGTGTCTCCTAAGGCTGTTTACAACCCAGGTCTCCTGACCCCCTTGCTGTGTGCTCATTCCTGTCCACCAGAAAGTTTCCACACTGTTGACCCATCTCTTCTTTCAAACCTGGGGCATGCACTTGCTTTGATTTGCCTTAACTTGACTTCCTGAGTACATGTGAGAGATAAAATGTGCTCTTTAGAGACGTGGAACTCTCTTGTTACAGTCTTGATCTTTTTACCTCTGGGAGTGTTTCATCCTTCTCTCCACTGCAATTAGGGGAAAGAGTCAAGTTCCCTTTGGCGCCTGAAGGAGAAAATTGGTCAGCAATCCCAGGAATCTGATCACAGAGAAAGGAGGTCCAAATGCAGCATAAATCAGTGAGGATGCAGTGATAGGGTACAGTCCCTGTAGTCCCCCGATGAAGCAGGGCAAACCGTGTTGCTCTTGGCTAGTGCAAATCAGTGAACAAATTATACCTCTGTCATCAAAGCATGAGTGCTACCAACTAAGTGGCTGGGAAGCAATTCCTCTGTAAGCTGGGACCTCAGGGGTAAAGAATACAGGCATCACTGGCTTAACTGCATAGTGCACACAGCCCAGCTCCCAGACCCACTCTCTACACATGTGGCAGTCAGTCTCCAGGGTGGCAGGACAGGATCTGACCTTTAATCTGAGGTTGATCTGAGGCCAAGGGTTTTTCTTGCTAGTGATTTCAGGTCCCAAGAATTATATTGCTCTGCCAGCATGCATTGTCTACTAACAAGGCCACAAAGCCCACCTTGCCTGTGAGGACCAAGATCTTCTGCAAGTGACCAGTCTGCTCCATGTGGGGATGGGAGGTATCCTGGTGTTGAGGAGTGAGTGTATAGGGGTGTGCTGGGAGAGCTAACCGCTGTCCCTGCCTCTGTCACTTTGCAGGGGGACCAGACTGCCTTACACCGGGCCACGGTGGTGGGCAACACCGAGATCATTGCAGCACTCATCCAAGAGGGATGTGCCCTGGACAGACAAGACAAGGTGAGGGGGTGTCAAGGTGAGAGCTGTAACCAGCTCCCAGAGGAGGCTGCTTTGGTCACTTTTGAGTAGTCAAGATGTTCTTCCTACCTTAATCAGTCATGATTTAACAAGATGAAATCAGCTCACATTTCTTCTGAAAGAATATCTGGTATTTATTTTAAAACTTCTCCCTCTGTTGTATGGTACCAGTAACAACCACATAAATACACAGGACACACAGGACACACAGGACACACATCCCCAATACCATTCTCAGTACTGCCGCACTCCCTGGTGACTGGGACCCTAGATGTTTTTATGTGGATATCAGCTAGATTAGGCCTTGTCTTTTTGTGTGTATTTCTAGGTATTTCTAGGGGCATAGATGTAGTTGAGTAAAAGTCTCAGCCAAAGCCTGAACATATTTGGTGAAGAATGTGCCTACAATGATCTTGCTAAGTGCCCTGTACCCTGGAACAGCATGGGGTCTTTACCTCCTCATCCATGCTCTTCCCCCTTGTGACCCCTACATTCCTGGCTCTGCTCCACTTAGTTCATTGCATTTAATGATATTTCTCTTCTTTCAGTAGTAAGGTAAGCAAATACAACTATTTTTACTAATTGGTTTTATTTAAAACCACATATTTAGGACACTTATTTATCAAATTTACAAATCACTGGTTCCTTGGTGCCTACTCTTTTTTAGGGCTTTAAGAATAAACTGGATGGGCCGGGGATTTAGCTCAGTGGTTCTGCCGCCTGCCTCGCAAGCACAAGGACCTGAGTTCAATCCCTGGTACCAAAAAAAAAAAAAAAAGAATAAACTGGATGACATTTTGGTTAAAACAAAATGAAACAAAAACAGCAGTAGGGAATGGGAACGGGACCTACCTATTAGGGCCTTGGAACCTGTGAAGCAGAACTCTCCCCTCATCTTTGCAGGGTTCACTCTGGTGTCAGGAGCAGAGCAGAATGCAGGAGGCAGGTGGGAAGGAGTGGACAATGTGCCATCCTGAAGATGCTGCTTTCTATTAGGAGTTGTGGATGAGTCTGGGGCCTTTCTCTAGAGGTTCCCAGGGACATTTAGGCCCTAATGCATAAGGCATCTATTGTACATCCGAATTCATTTCTCTATTGTGCACCTACAATGGTTTTTAAGTACCATTTCTGGGAGAATGCAGACACTGGCCACCCAAATCCTTTTTTGTGTTCCATGGTTCAGATGAAGAACCCAAGCTGATCAAGGTCCTGTGGTATTCAGGGAAAATCCAGTGTGATATGTTGACTATTATGAGAAGAACTCGGCTGTGATAATGTACCTTGTCCCCCATCTGTTCCTCAGGATGGGAACACCGCCCTGCATGAAGCATCCTGGCATGGTTTCAGCCAGTCAGCAAAGCTACTTGTTAAAGCAGGAGCCAATGTGCTTGCCAGGAACAAGGTGAGCCCCAGCAGGTGCTAGAACTCCTCACTCACAGGTGAGGATGGCCATGGATTTCCCTCTCTGGAGGAAGAGTCTCCGCTCAGTGAGCAGAGATAGCTCCAGTGGGTACAGAGAACCCTGTGGGTCAGTCTTGCCCGGAAGTTTCATTTACAGAGAGGGCAAACACAGATGGATGGTCCAGGACAGGAACAAGCCCAGCCACAGCTGATGTGAGAGAACCTGACTGTTGCTGGGAACTGACTGGTTACTATACCAATCATGGGATCTATGAAAATACAGCAAGAGAGAGCCAGATTAAAAAATACCAGCTAAGAGCTTTAAAATACTAAGACCCTAGAGTAGCAAGAGTGCAGTGAAGTGAGTTCTGATGCTGCTTGGGGAAGTGTAACGGGAACATCCACCTCTGGGAGGCAATTTGGCAAAACAAATCAAGAATCTAAAAATGGTTTCAATTGGCTGAGGATTAAGCTGAGTAGTACAGTGCTTGCCTAGCATGCATAGGGCCCTGTGTTTGATCCCTAACATTGGAAGAAGGAAAAGAAAAAAAAGATTCTATCTTTTTACCTAGTAACTACCCTCCTAGGACCTTGTTATAAAAAAGCAACAAAATATGTTGGTCAAAATTTACCCTCAAGGATGTTTATGACAGCAATATTAATAATTGTTTTTAATATGTAGGAAGAGGAGTATAAAGTTCTCATCTACTTATATAATGGAATCAATTTATATCCCTAAAGTCATTGTTTTCAAAATCATGCTCTTGTGAAAGAACAAACAAATGGGTACAAAGTCATATACACTCAATCCTTCATATAAATTTATATATATTAAAAAGTTTAAGCCTGGAAGGATATTATCAAAATATTAACATGGTTATCTATGGGGATTGAGACTGATTTCTATTTTTGTTTTTACTTTGTACCTTTTTCAAAGTTTCCAGAATCCACTGATTTTTTTTTTTTTTTTTTTTTTTTTTACAAATTGGGAGAAGCTCATTTTAAAGGTTAAAAAAGCATTATCAGTATTCTTGAGATATTTGCAGTAGTGGTGAGAAGAGATCATAAAAGGGCTTGTCCTCTTTTCAGTCCTGGGATTGCCAGGCTGGGTCTGTGGCAAGGATTGCAGAGGCCTCAGGATTTCCCACAGTGCACTTGTGTGGTTGGTATCACAGTGGTGGCCTCACCTAGTAGTTAAGGAGTAATGAATCTGATGTGCTGGAATGGGTAGCAGCAACAAGTAGCTTCCCTAAAACATACTGGTTATGTGTGTACCTTTGTGTCAAAGTAGGATCTGATACCCAGTATCTCTAGCCTAAGATCCTACATACACATCTCCATGCAAGACCTTCAGCAGCAGTATCAGGCAAGAGATCTAATACAAACCAATCTATCAGAAATACACTCCATCAATGTAGTGACTTCTGTGGGGCTCACTTTCTATAGGAAATAAAAGTAAGAGCTGTAAACTCTTCAGAGAAAATAGCCTACATAAGGAGCAAGAGAACCTGCTTCAGTGGCTTTGACCTCCTTTGAAATCTCCCAGCTCTCCCTGCTTCTCCAGTGGTTTATTAGTGTCAAGAAGCAAGCTATCCTTGTCCTCAAGGAGATAGGGACAGAATAGGTGTTTCATCTCTTTTGTTTTCATGTCTCCCCCCTCTGGTCACATCACACTGTAAGATGTTCCTTTAATATCTCCCATCTGCCCCTCTTTCCATGCTCATTATTAAACATCCCTGGATTATCTCAGAAACCTGGTGGCATCTTGAGTAGCCTGAGTCTAGTGCCTTTTCCATCTTGCTCTTCGTAGCTCAGAAACCTTCCAGTAAAGCTCCCCAGCCTCCTGCTGCCCTCTGGCTGTCATGTGTCTCCTCCTCCAGTTACATACTCCTTTAGGAGTAGCCTTTCCTATCTCCCGGCAGACCTCCATCCTGGACCCCAGCCTCTCTCTTCCGGAAGGCCCACCAGGCTATTTCCTGCAGCTCTTTCTTGACACTGCACCCAGCTTTGTGCTGCTGTCCACTGGTCACATGTCTCCTGTTTCCCTCATGGGTCAAAAGCTTGAGGGAAAGAAGCAAAGTGTGTGTGGCAATATCACCAATAATGCCTGGCTCACTGCTTGGCAGGCTGGTGGCTGCTCCAGTTTTTTCAAGCTGGTACATGATCTGGAACATAAGTTGGTGTATAATCACATCATCGTTTTATCCCAGCTGTGAGAAATACGTGGTCCCAGTTCGGGATAAGTAAGCTTAAGCTGTGGGCGAGTTGACTCTTTGACTAAGATGTGTGGTTTATGACACATTTAGGGCCATAAACTAGCCCTAGTCTGTCTGGTCCACCGCTTTGCCTTTATCTCATGAAGGGCTCCAACAGAATTGTGGAAAGCCACAAGTTTTCTCTGTAGATAAAGTGGTAGAGCCTTTGGAAGTACTGGTATGGTATCTCCGGCCATCCGAGAAGAAGGGCTTTTATATTCTGCCCTAGACAGCTGGTGGTAGAATTGTAGAAAGATCCTTCTTACTCAACAAATAAAGCAGCCTCTGTCTAGGAAATGAGTGCCCATTACTTAAGTTGGCAAAAATGTCTGCTACGAGTTTTAGGTCATGAGTTTTTTTTGTTTTTTGTGGTACTGGGGATCGAACTCAGGTCCTTGCGCTTGCAAAGCAGGTGGCGGAACCACTGAGCTAAATCCCCAGCCAAGGTCACATTTTTTAATGTTAGGTTTTGAGGTAGAATTTACATACACAAAATTCATTTTTTAGATATGAACTATATTGCTTATGAGTTTTGTCACCACCCTAGAAAGTTCCTTTGTACCCTTTAATGGCAGTCCCCTAAAACCCAATCCTAGCCCCTGGCAACCACAGATCTGCCTTTTGGAAAATGTTGTGTAAGTAGAATCATGGAACTACCGTCTTCTTTGTCTGACTTCTATCACTCAGTGTGATGTTTGCAGTTCTGTATGATTACATGTATGGATAGCTCAGCACTTTCTATTGCCAAATAGTACTCCACTGGAGATGTACACAAGTTGCCATCTAAATCTACAGTGTTTAATTGTCTTTATCCAAATATTTTTCCACATGATTTTGTTATTGGCAGAGTAAACTTTGGTATATTTCTAAAGCCATCAGATTTGTCTTTTATTTAGCACATATTTAATTGACTGCCTTGAAACCCACAAGTTGGGAGCAAAGCATTTAAAATGTAGGCAGATTCTTCATTGTTGAAAATTAAGCTAGCAGTGGTTTTGTACATAGCTGCACATTATATTTTCCTGGGGAATTTTAAACAACAAAAAGTCTAGGCTAACTGACTGTCCTGGTTTTCCCAGAATATTGGCAAACACTAGGCCAGCCCAGGACGAGTCCCCAGAAGAGTGGGAGCTGTGCGGGGCCTTTCTTAGACACAACCCCAGGTGACTGTAATGTGCAGCCAGGAGTTGAGAACCGCTGGGCTCACCAAACCTTCAGGCTTAGAATCTTCCATGTTCCTGCAGGTAACAGAGAAAAGATCTATCCAGGCTGGTAAGAGCTAAGGTTATGACAGGAAGTGAACTGGTGATGGACAGTGTCATCTGTCTGTATGTGTCTGTCTTGCTAATTCCTCTTTTCAAAAGGTCAGGAATCTGATATCCTGGAGTTTTGGCAGACAGTGCTGTAAGATCCAGAGGGAAGTAAACTAGATAGAAACAATCAAGAGGCCCCATAAGGGCTGTGTGCCCATGCAGCTCCCACCTGACCTGGCTCCTAAGCTTGGCAGGACAGACCCTGAGACTGTGCATGTAGCCTCCCTAGTCTGCAGGTACTCTCAGAGGATGCCAAGTCTCCTATTGTCTTTCCTGCTCTTGTTACTACTTCTCTAGAGGTTAACTGCAGCCTTGCAGGCCCTGTTCCCATAGAATCACAAAATTGTGTTCATGTTATGCAGTTCTTTCTGCAAAATCGCTGTGGGAAGTATTCTGCCCCTGGTTGTCGTTGTGAGGTAACATGTTGCAAGGAAAGTCCAAAAAAGCAAGAGGATCTCTCTGTGGGAAGTGGCAGATACAACTGCATTTACAGTATTTCCTGTCAGGCGGACACCTTGTTCATCATTCAGTTTTTGATGTTTCAAGAAAAATACAAGAAAAGCCAAGAAGACTGGAACATACCTGTAATACCAACACTCAAGAGGCTGAGAGAAGAGGATCACTGGGAATTCGAGGCCAGCCTGGGCTACACAGATGAGTTCAAGGCCAGCCTAGACTACATAGCAAGACCCTGTCTCAAACAAGAAAACAAAAACAAAAAAAGGAAATTTGATAAATGCTTACAAGTTATATCTAAGTTACTGTTAACTGGCACTTTCAGGAAGTGGTCTGTTTGCCTTTTTTACTCCACCATTGGTAGTATATTGTAGCCACAGCTAATACTCCTGCTGGGAAGGAAGTAATCTCTAAGAGGGATTCACGGCCCTGTCCATGTGCTACTGCACTTTATGCTTCAGAATATGCCTTCCAAGACTCTCTGAGTCCTCAGAGGCTCAGGAGGGAGGGCTCATGCTCCACTTTCCAGGTGAGGAATGGAGCCTGAGCATTTGAAGAGCTTTGCCTGGTGGCTTTCAACTAGTAAGAGACAGAGCTAGAACTTACAACCAAGGTTTTACGTGACATGGAACTCTTCTGCTTGTTTGCATTCCACATTCAATATTTTTCCTCTAGGGCCAGGGATTTAGCTCAGTGGTTTCGCCGCCTGCTGCACAAGCACAAGGACCCATGTTTGATCCCCGGTACCAAAAAAAAAAAATTTTTTTTTCCTCTGAACCACTCTCCTGACCCCCTCAGGAGGCAGAGCAGTGAGTACTGACTTCTTCCCAATGGGTGAGGACCACTTCTCGGCAAAGTGTGCAGGTCTGTGCAGAAGCATGTCGCTAATGTGTCCTCCCTTCTTTCTGCCTCTCTCCAAGGCAGGGAACACAGCTCTGCACCTGGCCTGCCAGAACAACCATTCTCAGAGCACGCGCATCCTCCTGCTGGGCGGCTCCCGCGCCGACCTGAAAAATAATGTGGGTGAACAAATTGGCTTTTTCTGTACTATTTCTCTTGTGTCCCCCTTGGAAAATAACCCCAAAAGTGTACTTGAGTACCCCGTCTCTAAACTTTTCCTTTAAAAAAATCCTTCTCCCTTTGCTCCTTACCTTTAGTTTTCATGTAGCATGTGTCTGGCCAAGACAGTCTAGGAAACCCATAAATACTTTAAGAAAAGCTCCACCATGTAGTATTGTACTATTAGCAAATTCAAGGCAATGCCAGGCAGCGCAGGTCCTGTGATGCTCCCTACCCAGCCTGCACACAGGGCAGGTCCTATTGGTACTGAGGCATCCTTCTGATGAGTTGACCAGAAAGATCCCCTGAATGTCCCTCCACCTTCCACAAATAAGCTGTCTCTCTTGTATATAAATCCATGCCTTTGATGCATTGGGAAGAGGATCTGGGGCTTCTCTTAGCAGTGCCCTTAGCTGGAGCTGTCCCTATTTGAGGACAGATTTATCTGAGGCAGATCTAGAATGCTCTGAACCTCAGCTTTGGGCTTGGCTCTTTCTTAATCCAGGGGAGAGGGTTATGCTGAGTGGTTACCATTCTCTCCATACAGCTAAAATCAAAGTATCAAGAGAATACTGGAGAACATCACAACTTTGTCTCCAGAAGTTTGTTGTTGTGTCTCTGGGAGTTGAGTCCGTACCCACTAAGGAAGAACTTGAGTTTTCCTGAATGCCCTTTTTTACTGCCAGTGACTACTTGTGCATCAGGCTACTTTACTCCATATGGTAAAGTCCTACCAGCCATGGTGGCTCTGTGCCATGAAAGGCTTGTTTCCAAAGTAGTGCCATTGGCTTTAATTCATTTCACACCAGATCTTTTGGGCAGCTGGGGAGGCCAGGCCTGTGGATCCTTATTCCCTGCCTTAGCTCTTCTCAAGGTCTTGTGAAGACTAGGGATCCAGTTTCGTAAACATTAAAGAGATTCGGTTGACCACACGGTTGTTCTTCGCAGGTGGAGAGTTAGCAGGAGTGCAGACACCAGCCATAACAGCATAGGACTGAAAGTCTTAGAGTGCAGCTTCTGTGTGTTGAGTTGTTTATAATCCTGTTAACATTCCTTAAAGAATATACAGTAGTCTGCCAGCTTTTAAATGATATTTTCATTTTATTTTTCTGTTTTGTTTTGTAACTGCTAACTGCTTAGAGTTTGATTTCTGTCCGCAGGCAGGCGACACCTGTTTGCACGTTGCTGCGCGCTATAATCACTTGTCCATCATTAGGCTCCTCCTCAGTGCTTTCTGTTCTGTCCATGAAAAGAACCAGGTCAGTGCATGAATCCTCTTCATGGTGCCTGCACCGTTACATAAGGCTGCCTGACAGTGTGTTAGCTCCAACGGGAGCAGAGGCTGCTGGGAAATGTTGCCCTCTGACCTATCTGGGTCTCCACAAATGGTTCCTGCAGGGTATCCCGCTGAGTTCTAATGGCCCTGGCTTTTCTGGCCTCCTAGAGAAAGCATACCCTTACCATTCCTGTTCCTACCACCATATTTGCATATTGAACATTTTTAGGGGAAATCTTATTGTGAGTTTTGTTGATAACATGATTTTGAAAAGGAAATCCACCAGGAGCGTGGCTTACCATAGAAGGGAATTAGTTTCATGACTTCTCTGAGTTCTGTTCCTTGTACTTCCACTTTTACTTGAGCTGCTGCACTCTCTTATTTCTGTAAAATGGGACACATGACTTAGTATCATGTAATGGGGGTTTTGAAATGAAGTTTTGATTATTATAGTCTTCTATGGAAAGGTACAAGTTTCTTAGTAGTCATTTAGATAAAAGAAATAATTGTCTTGGTATTTATTAATACCTAAATTATGTATTATTTGACTTTTCTGAGTTTGGGTACATAAATCTGAAATATATTTAAAAATTAGATTATGTTCAGATTACATACATGTACCCTATAACAGTGTTTTGACCCTGACTGCATATGAAAATCAACAGGAGAACTAAAAATATCATTCCTAGATCCCAGCCCAGTTTAATAGAGCTCAAACCTGTGGGTTCAGGACCTTGCAGGTCCTGCCAGGCAGGTGTGGCACCACTGAGCTAAATCTGAGGCCCACCTCTGAGTTTTTGAGGTCTAAGCAATAGTATTTTTTCAGAAAGCTCCCTTTCTGACCTAATAGTCAAGCCTGTCATTCTATAACTTTGTTAGTGGATTCTAGTTTATGAAACCCCCTCTACAGCCCCCACCAATCAGAGCTTCTTAAGCTTGGCAACATCTTACAGTTGCCAGAGAGCTTTAAAAAAATCCTCACACCCAACTGAAACTGCAGACCAATGAGATCAGGTCTGGGAGTAGAACCCTGGCATCATTGTTTTTTGTTTTTTTTTAACTCCCTAGTGGATTCCAATATACAGCCAAGATTGGAAACCACTTCCATAGAGCCTTCCCCCTAACATACACAGCTAGGTGACTCAGAAATGAAATAACTATTTTTTCCACTTCTTACAGAGATGGCTGAGTTTTCATGCTGCCTGTGAAAAAAGTATCAAGGCTCTTTGCCTTATCACCTGGCAGGGGAGAGAATGAATATTTCACTTCTCCAGTGTCTGTCTGATTTATTGATATCATATTGTTTGAAATATTTGCATTTGGAATTGGCCTACTAAGTTGCAATTGTTTTTTTTTTCCTCCTTTGTCTGAAAACACTTTCTGTATAAAGAAAATATAAAAACTTATTTCTAGGCTATACGGTAAGAGATAGAAAACAGTATTAAATGAGCACTGATTCTTGTTGTATCCACCCAAACAAAGAACACCCCAAGGCTTCAGGTGGATTTATAACTCCCTGTGGCACCTTTAGATCCCCGTGTCTGGCTGAGTGCTGGAGAGTACCCCTCCAGTCTTATTTGTACTTCTGCTCACTCCAGCAGTCATAAGCCAAGTTGCTCTCTGACCTCCCTGGATAGAGGCACAGGGTCCAGGAGCTCCAGGATGAGAAGCCCACCCACCCCTGGGTTTCTGCCCATCATCCCAGCTCTGTGACACTTTGGCCCCCACCATTTTTAGCAACCAAGCCCAGCACAACTTTGCCCCTGCATTTAATCCTATTCTGTGACTTCTGGAATCCTCAATCAGAATGTGATATGGATCCGTGTATAGTTCCAAGATCTCTTTAAATAGAACCACAAAACACTTTAACCAAGGGCCTCAGGTTTGTGTAAGGCCAATCTTAATTTGACTTTGGAGAGCTGCCCTAGGCCAGGAATGAAAGGCTACGGAGCTGAAGGCTGAAATCAGATGGAGTTTAGCAGGCTTTCTTCTGATTTTTAGGCTGGAGACACAGCCCTTCATGTTGCTGCTGCTCTAAATCACAAGAAGGTGGTTAAAATCCTACTAGAAGCTGGAGCAGATGGGACCATTGTGAATAATGTAAGTTGAGTTACACCTGGTTTCTAAAGACTTTCTCACCTCCATCCAGATGGGGCGTGTTTTATTGCCTAACTCCTTACAGACCCAAGGGTTCAGTGAGCTCTGCTGAAGCTACAGCCCTTGGGGCCCTTAGATTTTTGGCTTAGCTAGCACCTACATTATGGTCATAACTTCTTCCCCACTATTCTCCAAGAAGAGTCATTGCTACATGGATTTTAGGATGACTTTGTGTTGTCCTCAGCAGGAGCATTCCTCCTTGATCCTTCTGATATCTACCTTTTCTCCTTTCTTTTCCTAGGAAGCATTCTCCTGTGGGCAGTGTCCTGGACCTTTGCCTCCTAAAGCACTTCTTGCACCCTGGGTCCGCACTTGCCCCCTGTTGCTGAGAAGTGTTAGTTAGCATGTGCTCAAGTGTGACGAGGTGTGAGGTAAAAAGCAGAGCCATTGTGTGGCTGTTACTGAGCACAGGCAGATGCTGGGTGTGACCAGGAGTGGAACTGCTGGGTGTTGCAGGTCTGGTGTCCCTCTCTCACCTGTCCCCCCTCTGCCTTTCCTTAGGCAGGCCAGACTCCGCTGGAGACTGCCCGCTACCACAACAATCCAGAAGTCGCTCTTCTCCTCACTAAAGCTCCCCAGGTAGGATTTACTGTACCTTCCACTGTATTGATTATGTGGCTTCAAACTTGTTGAGACTCCTCATTCCAAACTGTTGAAGCCAAATGAAACTAAGTCAGTAGAGAATTGATGGGTTTAGCCGGGCAGTAGAAAATGTAGGAATATAGTGGGCCTCCCGCATGACTGGAACCAAAGACTTCAAGTCCAGCTCTTTGTGGGGATCATTTTCTCCCTGCAGTTAGATCACTGTCATTACCAGCTTCCTGAACCTTAGTTTCCCAGCTCCTCATCCAGGGAAGGTGCTCCAGTTTAAAACATGGTAGGAGAGAAGACCATGATTGAAGAGGTTGGACAAATGCCACTCTTGAACAAATGGTACAGGGCCTTTGAAAAGAGAAGAAGCATTTCCCAGAGAAAGGTGGGAGGGAGAGGATCATTCTGTGCAGACAAAGTAGTAAACACCCACCAGGGGCAGATAAATATACCATAGTTTTTGTTCCTTTTTTATAGGATAATGGTATTTTGATCCTCATCCAAAAATAGTGGTTGGTATCTTATCATTTGAATTGAGGTTGAAATAATCTAAATAGCAATAAATAAATGTAATAGTAATTTATAAGCTATTCATAATACCAGCATTCTGAAATAACTTTTTTTTGTACTGGGGATCAAACTCAGGACCTTGTGCTTGCAAGGCAGGCAGCAGAACCACTGAGCTAAATAAATCCCCAGCCCTGAAATAACTTTTTGTCTCTTCACATTATCTATCACAGGTGGTTTTTCTATAATTAGGCCGATATTATATATACCTTGTTGTATTCTGCTTTTTATCCTAACCATAATGGGACAATATTCTGCAGTCTTCATAATGGAAGACTACAATGGAAGCATTATGTTCTTTTTTATTAGTATCAATATTTTGAAACCATTTATTTAATATTGGACATTTAGGTTATTCACAGATTGGAGCTGTTCTATATCACAGTACAATAAACACTGACTGATTTCCTATCTAATTCTGGCTACTGCTGTGAAGTCATTAGCCAGAGGCAAAGTCATGAGGAATCAAATTCTCTGAATTCCAGCCTAGATTAGGATTTTGTGTGGTCTTTATTTTTAAGTTTAAAAACATACCTAACATGACCAGCAGTTTCTGGAATAATTAAGATTTTTGTCTTTTGCAAAATTGATCAATCTCTTGAGCATGGTCTGGTCCTTGTGGTTTCTGAAAATCCATAGACTCCTGATAAGAGGTATGAGAACCTTCTAGAAGTGGAATATTCCATCCTTCCAGGACTTTTGTTTTTGCAAAGAATCATTAATTGAATCAGATCTATAGATCCAGATGGAAAAATGCTGTTTCTCATGGATCAAAATGTACAGAGTGGGGCTAGGCATTGAGCTCAGTGGCAGAACTGTTGCCTAGCATGTGTGAGGCTCTGGGTCCAGTCCTCATCAACACACATACACGTGTGTGCACATGCACAGTACAAAGTGCTATCTAAATGTCACAATCCATCACATTTAACTGGTGTTTCAGCATTTGGCAGTTTGATGGACAGCCAGCTCTCCTCAGCCATATGAAGATCATCAAGTCTTGTGTGGCTGAAGTCCCTAAGCACATGAAGGCTGATGTATCTTTAATCCACCTGTCATTTGTCTTTGAGAGTGCAAGGATCTTCACTTACAGGGCAAATAGCCTTGCCATTTCCTGGTGCAGCTTTCTTTTTGTGTTTATGTTTAAAAATAATTTAAGTTTTTCTGTGACAGTACTGAATAGCAAATAAATTAGATGACATGTTATGAAAGTTTCATACATAATTGTAGATGCTAAGCCTTATTTGAAACACAGAGAAGGAACTTTAGAATATGTATAAAGTTTTATGCATACCATTTCTGATGATCTGTGGTTACAGAAGCAGCCTTACTGTTTTATCTATAAAGAAAACAACCCCTGGCCTCAGCTCCTTAGTTAACATGGACTTGAAAGGGCCACAACAATACCAACAGGAAACTTCTTTCTTAGCCTTCAAGATCAGTGTTCCCTGATTTCTGTGGACTGGCAAAGATTGATAGTATTCCATTTGATAGATAGTATGGTTCTCTGAGAGGCTGGAAGCCACACCAAGTTATTTTCAGTGGCCGAAAACATGGTAAATGGAGGGAATCCTTTTCATGATTATTTTGTGTTTTTATGACCTCTATGTATCATTTGTCATATTTGATTAACATAATTCACACATGCTCTAAGAGTGAATTGCAGCCCGGTTTTTGGACTGTGTCTTGTTCTAAAAGTCCACAAATCAGGTGAGCAATTAGAACTAGGCTTTCATCAGACTTGACTTCCAAATGGGTCTGAATATAGCATCGAGATAGCTTAGAGCAGTGGCTTGCAGACTTTTTTGGACCAAGCATCCTTTTATGTTCTTAAATACTACAGGCCAGAGGTTGAAGGGTTCTACCAGGTCAAAGATCTGTACTGTGTGATTGAACATCCACTGCCAGTTAAGCAACTCTAAGGCAGGTGGGGAGGCACCTGGCAGTGATGGTCACCTGCTACTACTCTTGCTTAATCCCAACAACTCCCCAGTTTTACTTGTTTTTTAAAACGGTCTCACTGTGTAGTTCAGGGTGGCCTTGACCTCATAGCGATCCTCCTGCCTCAGCCTCTTGAGTGTAGGGATTACAGGTGTGGACCAACATGCCCAACTTACAACTTTACATTTGAGAAAGTAGAGCACAGAGAGGTCACATTACTGTATGGGGAAGACTAAATTCCTTTTGGAAGCCACAGTTGGAACAATGGCTTCAGGATGCACCTTAGTAACATTTGGATCAAAGTGAATATGACTTGCATGCAGTTTAGCGAAGGGAAAATCTGATGGGCCAGTTCAGGTCCAGTGTACCAAGGTCAAGACTCTGCCAGGCACTGGCTGTCACACTGCACAACCCCAGGGGACACCATTGGTATCCTGATTTTCATGAGTGGTGTTCTTGTGTACACTTACTTGGCTGTCCTGGCATAGTACATAAATGCCTATGTTCCTGTTATCATCATATAATCTAAACTTCCTGAGGTTGGGGACAATATTCTACCCATCTCTGGGTCCCTGTAGCACCCAGCACAAGACCTAAGAGGCACAGTGGGCACAGAATTGCTCATTTTCTATGAATACTTGGTCTCCTCCATGCAGCTGTAGTTCCCAAGGTCAGAGCACTAGGCCCAGGGATAATTCTTTCCCACCAACGCTGCACATACCACTGGCCTGTAACAACACCCTTTGCCTCCCATAGGTCTTGCGCTTCAGTCGTGGGCGAAGCCTGAGGAAAAGGAGAGAGAGGCTCAAGGAGGAGAGGAGGGCGCAGTCTGTACCAAGAGAGGAGGTGGCACAAAGCAAGGTGGGGGTCCTCCTGCCCGCCCGGCCACAGCCGCCCACTTGTCCAGTGCCCTGGCTTCTTCTGCTGGCTCACATGGCTCTCATGCCCTCCTCCCCGCTGGGGATCCTCAAACTGTTCCCAGCCTTCTCCTGCATCTCGTCCTCCCTCCACTCTGCCAGGATTCTAGATCCTGTGCCTCGGTGTGTCCTGCACCATCTATCTAGCACCCTGGATGGGCGTGTTTAGCCCCCATCTGTGGCCTTTGTCTCTGCCCTGGGGACAGCACTGCCTCTGACACTGTGCCCTTAATTGTGCATAGCAGTGTTTCTCTAAGTGCAGTGTCCATGTGTCACGTGGGACCTTGTCACAAAGGCAGGTTCTCAGGCCTCTCCTCACACCCAGTGGATGAGCAACTCTGGGTAGAGCCCAGCATTCTGGGTTTGAAAAGTCATCCAGTTGTTCCTGATGAGAACCACTGGCATAGGCTGCTTCCTCACTTAGAGAAGAGCTTGCACAGCCCTTTCAAGCCTCTCAGGAGGAAGGCAAAGATATCGAGTTGACTTTTGGCGTATCAGATGTTCCCAAGAAGCACTTGCTCTTCTGTCTGTTGTTTCTTTTAAAAGCCTCTTCAATTTCCAAGGTAAAGGCATTGTGACTCTTAAGTTCCTATATGTGAATTGTACATATTAAATTGTAAAAGTTAATTTCTGAATATTTTTACTCTGTTCAAAGAATGAAAGAGGTTATATTTTGTTGAAATCCAAAAGATCAAAAATCTAATGCTTTATTGTGTATGATAGGTTCCTGGAATTCTAGTATTTGACTCAAGAATATATTTCACTTGAGACCTGACAAAAGTCAATTATTTAGCCAAACAGGAAAAGCATTATATATTAAGACCACCAGGCTGTGTTCCCTGTGTCTGAAATTAGTCATTGGTAAAGTCTTGTGGGTCTCACTAGATGGAGTTGTGCAAGCATACAACTTTACTCTGTTGGTAAAAAAAGGCTAAAGGAGCAGGTGGAACACGTTTCTGGGCTCTTTCTTCTGTAGGGAAGTGTCTCAGCAGGAGACACCCCCAGCAGCGAACAGGCTGGGGTCAAAAAAGAGGAAGCCAGAGAAGATTTTCTGTCCGCCTCCCCAGAGCCCAGAGCAAAGGATAACAGGAGGAGAAAGTCAAGGCCCAAGGTCAGGAGGCACATGAAAGCAGCTGGGAGGGAGATTGGCGGAAGCTCCTGGGACTGGTCATGCCCATTGACTGAGAAGCCTCCTCACCTGGCTGGCTGGTTTGGAACCAGAACATAGAACTTAAACCTGCCTAACTAGAAAGGAGGTGGGCGTGCTAATGTGGTGTTTAGAGCAGAACACCACACAGTGAAGTAAGGTGTGAGATTCTTTGCCAAATGGGGGAAATAGGAGCCACTGATTGGGTGTCACTTTTGTAGATGTTACAGGGCTCAAGGGTGTTGGCACTCTCTCCCTCACAGGTGTCAGCATTATCTGACCTCACCCCACCAGCAAACCAACAGCCTGGACCCCAGAAGGACTCACATGCTCATCATCACCCTAAAAGGAAGAGCAGGCATCGGTGCTTGTCTCCACCACCACCCCATGAGTTCAGAGCGTACCAGCTGTACACACTGTACCGGGGCAAGGATGGGAAAGTGATGCAGGTACTGTGGAGCCTGCTGGGGAAGGGCCAGAGACCACCAGCAAGGTTGTCTGTGGAACTCTATTCTAGGGGGCTGGTAGGCATCTCAGGCCCTGACCTAGTAGATGCTTCTGCCGCTTAGGATCCATTAGATGGAAGCTCAGTTACACAGCCTCACCATTCTTGCCATCTTTAGGTTACTAGGGAATAAAAGCAGCTTGAAGATAGAGGGACCATGCCTTACTCTGAAATTTTCTTAGTGCCTACTGAGTCCAAAGCTCAGGCTGTAGGACATTCCAGAGTGAGGACAGGATGAATCTGTCTCCTCTATCACTTATATCTCTCTGATACTCTGCCTGGCACATAGTGGATGCTCAAAACATTTGTTGAAGGAATGAAGGAGAGTTTGATTGCTTTTTGATTTCCCTCTTAGGCACCAATAAATGGTTGTCGATGTGAACCTCTAATCAACAAGCTGGAGAATCAGTTGGAGGCAACTGTGGAGGAGATAAAAGCAGAGCTGGGATCAGTTCAGGATAAAATGAATACAAAGCTGGGGCATATGGAGAATAAGACCCAGCACCAAGTAAGCAAGCAGTCGGGCCTCCTGACCACCTTGAGTTCTGGCAGAAAATGAAATCAAATACTTAGGGGCTGGGGCTGAAGCTCAGAGGTAGAGCACTTGCCTAATGTGCACAAGGCCTGGGGTTCCATCCATAGCACCAATCCTCTTGTCTCCAAGGGAGATAGGGGAGTGGCTTTAGCACACCCTTCTGCCCTGAGAATGTCCGATGAGCTGTCAGGGAGGAAGCGGTATATTTAGAATTTTTAAGAAGGGGCTTAAATTGCTTCTGGTTATATAAAAGGTGAAAACTGGAAATCACCTATAAGCCCACTGTGATGAGAAAACACTGAATATTTGAGGTTTCAGTCTTTTTACATGTCAGCGTGCCCTACACCCCTTCCTGGTTGTACACAAAATTAGAATAATCAGGTCTATAGTTTTTTTGTTTATCAACTTTTTATTTGGAAAATTGTCAAATATACAGAAAAACTGAAAAAACAAACTAATGGTTGCTATATTTGCTTTGTCTCTGTGACTTCCAGGCTATTTTTTCCTCTTGAACTATTTGAGATTTAGTTGCAGATTGTTGTGACAGATTACCTCTCAATACTTCAGAGTGCACTGATGAAGAATAAAGACTTTCTCCTTCATTACAACACACTCATCATACCTGAGAAATTAAAATAATTGTGTGGTATCTAGTCTACCTTCAGATTCTCTCAGTTATTCCCCATTTTTTTTTAATAACTAGGTTTGTTTTTAATCCCAGTCTAGGCAAAGTAAAGGTTTTTTGAGTATTTGACTGTTAGGTCTCTGTCCTTTCTTAATCTGGAATAGTCCCTGATTCCTTCTTCCACATTTTTCTGTCCATGATATTCACTCTTTTACATATAAAGGCCAATTGTTTATATATGATGTTCTGTATTCTAGATTTGTCTGTTAGTTTCTTCATGGTCTTATTTTAATTGTCCCTTTATCCTTATTGCTGTAAAATGAAAATCAGATATAGAAGAATAGTTCTCAAAGTGTTATCGCTGGACTCAGCAGATCTTCTATGGATTTGGAGGGCTCAGGGAAGCAACTTCTTGGGCTTCATTCCAGATCTACTGAATTTACTTTTTATTAGTACATGTTTGCAGTATGTATTTACATGTGCAGAATTGGTGCATGTACATAACACATCGCAGGTCTTTTTCACCTGCTGCCTTTGCCCTCTCTCCATCTCTTGATCGCCTCCCCATTTGAGAAACATCTATCTCCCTGCTTCCTATAATTTTTATTTATATTTTGAATTTCTCATATTAGAGAAACCATGTGATATTTAAGCTTGTGTGTCTGATTTATCTCACATTAACATTATGGTCTCAGGTGCATCCATTTTTCTACAAATGACTCAAGTATATCTTTTATGTCAGAATAGTCCTCCACTGTGTGTAAATACCACATTTTCTTTATCCATTCATCTGTTGATGGACATATAGGCTGCATCCAAGATTTAGCTATTATGAGTTGTGCTGCTGTAAACATGAGTATGCATGTATCACCATAATAGGATGTTTTTAACTCTTTTGGGAAGATACCTAGAAGTGGAATAGCTGGGTTGAATGGAATTTCTAGTTTTAGTTTTTTGAGAAATCTCCATACTGATTTTCACAGTACTTGTACCAGTTTACATTCCCACCAATGTAGAAGAGTTCCTTTTCCCTACAGCCTCACCAGCATTTGTTATTTGATTTCTTGATGGTAACCATTCTTTCTGAGGTAAGATGAAATCGAAGTGTCATTTTAATTTGCATTTCTCTAATGGCCAGTAGTGTTGAACATTTATTCATGTATTGATCGGCCATTTGTACTTCTTGTTCTGAGAAGTATCCATTCATTTCACTTGCCCATTTTTTGATTAGGTATTTTATTTCGGTAGGTATATTTTTTGAGTTCTTTATATAGTGTAGATAATCTTTATATATTCTATATGTTGTCTTTTCACTCTGGTTGTTTCTTTTACTGTGCTGAAGCTTTTAAATTTGATATGATCCATTTGCTGATTCTTGGTACTATTTCCTGTGCATTTGGGGTTCTGTTCAGAAAGTCTTTGCCTATGCCTATGACTCCTACAGTTTTACCTATTTTATTTTCCAACAGGTTGATTCTATTTTAACAGTTCATTTTGATTTTAAAATCCATTTTGATTTTAAAATCCATTTTGATTTTAGTTTAGTACATGGTTGAGAGCATCTAGATTCAATCTTCTGCATGTGGAGAGCCAGTCTTCTCATCATCATTTATTAAAGAGTATGTCTTTGAATTGAATCAAATTTGACTGAGTAAATCTCTGGGCTAGAGTCTATTAACCTGTGTTTTAACAAGACCTCCAACTGATGCTGGTGTGTATTAAAGTTTGAGAACTGGCCTAGATGGTTATTTAGGTTTAGGTATGCTGGCAAGAATACTTTATAATTAATGATATAAACTACAAATTGCCTTACATCTACAGGTACATATTATCAGGATGTCTCATTAATGATACTAAGTTTGATCACATGGTTTATTTAGCTAGTAACCTACATATTCCTCCATTGTAAAGGTTAATTTTCCCTTTGCAATTAATACAAGGGATAATCAAATGTTTAAATTTTTATAAATCATTACAGTAAAAGATGCATTACCAATAAGCCCCCTCACAATACTCTCCCTCACTTTAAACACACTTGCTCTATCATTCTTCCTACTTTCTGAGGCAGTTCTGGAAGTAGTCTTTTGTGGGTGTCTTTACAGGATGTGATCAAAATTCAGTGAATCCAACTACTGAGTGCAATCCAATAAGGCAGGCTTGTAAAAACATAGTATGTCTTCATCCACCTTATTCACCAGACCTGGCACTGTGCAACTCTGGCTCTTCCCCAAAGAAAATGATCATGAAAGGTAAACATTTTGAATCAACTCAGGACATCGGGGCAGCCATGACAGTGCAACTAATAACTTATATGTTATCTTTTTTTGTTTTGTTTTGTTTTGGGGTTTTTTGTTTTTGGTACTGGGGATCAAACTCAGGACCTTGCACTTGTGAGGCAGGCGGTGGAACCACTGAGCTAAATCCCTGGCCCAACTTACACATTATCTTAAAAAGATTATACCACCATCCATAATATTACCCATCAAGACTGCCACAAGAGTGCAACTAAAGACACTTGGGAAAGACTTTCAGAACTGCTTCAGAAAGTGGCAAGAACGATAGAATAATAAATAGTGTTTGAGGCGAAGGGGAATATTTTGAGGTGGGAATAATGGCAATGTGTCTTTTACTATAATAATTTTATTTAAGCATACATCATATTTTTCAATCACACCTTGTAAGAAATGTGTGATGGGTAAGATTTTTCAGTAAAAAAATACAGAAATGTGCAAAGTAATACCTGTGCATTGGAAAAACTAAAAATATGAATCTTAGTGACATTTTAAGACCCTTCCCATCTCCCATAGGAGATATTAAACAGCTTGCTTTTTTTTTTTTTGGTACCGGGGATCAAACTCAGAACCTTGCGCTTGCAAGGCAGGCACAGTGCCACTGAGCTAAATCCCCAGCCCCAAACACCTTGCTTTTTCATGTAGCAAGTGTCTTAGACATGCAGCACTACAGTGTGGTTTTTCTTTTTTCTTTTTTTTTTGGTCCCGAGAATTGAACTCAGGGACTCGCTTGCCAGGCAGATGCTGTGCCACTGAGCTACATTCCCAGCCCTAAAGTGTGTTTTTTAATGACAGTGTACTGTTCCTGCCTAGGGAAGAATAGTATTTTGTTTTCTGCTTTTTTCACTTATGTCATGAGCATTTTCTCATGTACTTAGATCCATAATATTCCAGCATACAAATACAACATAACTTATTTTTAATTTTTTTCACTTTCATAAATAATGCTATCATGAATATCTATGTGCATTAACTTCTGATTTCTTCTCAGATAGGGATAACTGAATTAGGGATTTTGCTCAGAATTAGGATAACTGAATACAAAGTTAATGTTTAAGGCTCTTGATAAATATTGGCCAGTTACTTAATAGAAAAGCTCTACCAATTTATATCCCACTCAGCAATGTCTGAGTTTCTATCTCAAACCTTTGCCATCATTTAGTATTAATGTGTTTTTTTAAACGATCTTTTTTAAAATTAAGGATATTTTACTGTTTAGATTTCATGTCCTTATTTACTGGTAAAGTTGAATATTTTTAAGTGTATTAAAAATGTGGAAAAACTTTAAAAAAATCTTAGGGCTATGATGGATTGGGTAAGGCTGTTTTAGCTAGCCTTGTTCATAAAGGACTACTTTAGACTGACGCTAGGATCCCAAGGGCCTCTCTTCAGTTCAAAGAAGGTGAAAAATTGGGATGTAAGATCCAAATGGCAGGGTCTGGGCCAATCCACTGTAATCCAGGAACAAAACCCTGCATTTACACAACTGCTCTTAGCAGAGACACCTCCACAGGAAGTAGATGAGGAGCAGGGGAATAGGCTGGTCCTAAGAAATAGTGAGAGAATAGTTCACTAGTATATGGGGACTAAGGAGACAAAACAGAAGGTACTCCCCATAGCCCCAGAACTGGTGTTTCTTTTTTTAATTTTCTGAACATCTGTTTGTGGAATGACATACTGAATACGCTGCCAACAGGAGAGGAGCTCACCAGTGAGCTGTCATGGGCTGGCTCCTGTTAACAGTAGTTCCAGTCTCTTCCTTGGACTATGACAGAACAGTGCTAGGTTTTAGGGCCTCCAGAAAATGTCAGAATGGAGGGAGGCTCCTGAAGGGTGTGACTAAAAAATGAAAATCACTTGCTGTGTAAAGCAATCCCTTAAAATCTTCCCACACCCTTTATACACATCCTTTGACTACTTTTAATGTAGCACCAAAAATACCTGCTCACTGAATATTCTGCTTGTTTCATTACCCCTTGGGGATCAGTTCATGTTTGCATAATTGTGTGAATAAGGGTAGAATAAGGCAATAACTCCATATCTTAGAGAGAGTTTTTCCTAATAATAGTCTTGAAAATAATGTTCATGTTTGCCTACAAGATCTGTATTGTTCAAATTGTATATTTACTGTGTCTTCACAGTCTTAAATCCATTAAGACTTTAACAAAAAGAGAAAGAAAGACCATTGGCTTATAGAAGTATGCTCAGGAATTCTGAAAAGCTAGTGTTCCATGAACACTATATGGAAAGGAAGTGAGAAGTTGGTTTGCTTGTGTGCTTTGTGGACTCTGTTCTGAATACCTGACTCTGTCCTCAAGAGTGGAGAGACCAGGGCCTGTCCCTACATCACCTCAGTGTGCACTCTGTTCCCCTTGAATCCTAGATTCGTGTTTTGGACAAGCTGATGGTTGAGCGACTCTCAGCAGAAAGGACAGAGTGCCTGAACCGCCTGCAACAGCACTCAGATGCTGAGAAGCATGAAGGAGAGAAACGACAGGTAAAAGCCATTAGCTGTCAGTTTTCACTTAGGATTTACCACATGTCCACTGAGTTAGAAAACTCAGACCTATCACTGAAAATGCTTGGACTGAGTCTCCAAAAAGCATTTGCACTTATTTTTATGACCTCAGAATGAAGTTCACAGCAAAGAACCTATAATTTGGTCTCCGTCTGTTGCTGACATGCTGACAGTAGGTACAGTAAGTATGTTGGGGAAAAAGTCATCCCACCTTGAGTCAGCTCCATGTATCATTGGCTTGTACATTGTTGTTGAACAAGATATGGACCCTGCCCTGAAGGCATTTACTCAGAAACAAAAGATATGGAGTTTGTGAGGGTTTATGCTTCTAAGCAGCCAAAAATGTTTGGTTTGAAAGATCGGGGCATTTGAGTTTAAGGTGGCTCTAAGTCACTTAATGAAGATTATAGATAGCTCATGGTTTGGGTGCTAGGTATGGCTTGTGGGTGAATGGGTAATCCACAGCTTTTAGAATTATCAAAATGGTAACCTCAATTATCATAACTCAAAAGTTCCTTCTTAATACTTTCAGAATTTACATATCAAATTCACTTGATTTTTTGTGTACTAATTACTTATTTTTAGATGTCCTTGGTGGATGAGTTAAAAACTTGGTGCATGGTGAAGATTCAGAATCTAGAGCTGAAGCTTACTGGGGACTCTAGGACCTCCCGGGCTAAATCCACACCATCTACTTGTGACTCCTCTACAGGTAACCCATGTACAGAGAGAGCCTCTCTGCCTGAAGGTAATGGAGCCCCCCAGATCTTGTTCTCCTCTGCCTTGAAGGCCAGGGCTTAAGCATATTTAAATGAAGGAATAAAACTGTTGGTCAACACTAGCAGTACATCAGGTTAATCAGTACAATGTTGATGGGGTTGGAGTGGACCCCAAAGAGGAAGTGATGAATGACCATGTGTCTCCTCAGCAGGGCTTTCTCCTTTGTCTGTTGTGTCCTTTTCCCCATTCCCCTCTCCTTGCTTGGCCCTTTACTTTTGTCTAACTTAAAGCAAAGCATCTTTATATTAGCCATTAGTGATTACTCCAAATGGTCATTTCTTTTATTGGTACTGGGACCAAACCCAGGTCCTTTGCAATAAACTATGTCCTCAGCCCAGCCCCCCCCCCTTTTTGAGACAGTATCTCAATAAGTCACTGAATTGCCCAGGTGAGGCTTAAACTTATGACCCTCCTGCTTCAACCTCCCAGAATGCTACATATGTTTGCCACTATGTCTGACTCAATGGTGATAATTTTGAGGCCACTCAGAGCCTTGATAACTAAGCTTACAGGAGCACCTGGATATATAAAATGTTTTGTTATCACAGCCATTTCTGGAAACATAGTTTTATCTTATTTGTGCCAACAACACTGGGAAACATCCTGACAGTTTTCATGCTAAGACTAGTCATGGGGCTTGTCATGGAGCTTTGGGTATATGGAGTAGGACCACTTTACAAAATGGAGCTCAGGACAAGGAATTAGCCCGTAGATTTTATAGAAATCAGAGTGGGATTATTTTTTCTTATAGATGTCCATTCTGTTTTGAGACACATGTTGAGCTGTCATCCTTATATATCAGGAAATGGGCTGGGTGGGTTAGCTCAGTGGTTCCACCGCCTGCCTCACAAGTGCAAGGACCCAAGTTTGACCCCTGGTACCAAGAAAGAAAGAAACTTATATATCAGGAAATGAGACCTAGAGCCTTCTAAGGTAGAATTGAGATAGGGAAAAGGAAAGCCTGGCAAATTATTTGGCTTAGATGTGACCACTATGGCTAACACAGAATCCATGAAAGTCCTGATGTGCCAAAATGATAATCTTGGGAGATGAAGTGGGAGGGAAGGACAAAAAGGAGAAGAAAACCAGAGAGAATATGCTGGTGGTTTACAGGATCCCAGGACTGTCAAATAAATGCCACCCCACCCCCACCTGGTTTTGAATGTGGGTTTGCTCTGATGTCTGTTTTCCTTCTGAAACCAGGTGTGGATCAATCAGTGGTGACAGCAGGTCCAGCAGCAGCCTCTGACAGTTCTTCGCAAGTGGTTAGGCCCAAGGAAAAGGGCCCCAACATGACTGCTACCCACAGACTCCAGCAGGAGCTGTCCTCCTCTGACTGTACTGGCTCCAGACTGAGGAATGTCAAGGTCCAGACAGCCCAGCTGCCCTTGAATGAAGCAGCCAAATGTGACCAGCAGGCTGGGCCATGTGTCAACAGAGGCACTCAAACCAAGAAGTCTGGGAAGAGTGGGCAGACAAGGCATCGGGCCCAGCAGCCCAGTGGCACCTGTGGGCGGTCAGCAGCAGGCAACGAGCAGGCTGCCCCTCACGTCCGAGACACTTCCCAAGCCCTGGAGCTTACCCAGTGTTTTTTTGAAGCTGTTTCTACCCAGATGGAAAAGTGGTATGAAAGGAAGATTGAAGAAGCACGAAGTCAAGCCAATCAGAAAGCCCAGCAAGACAAGGCCACACTCAAAGAACATATTAAAAGTTTAGAAGAGGAACTTGCTAAACTGAGGACGAAGGTGCAGAAGGAAAATTAGGACATGGAGAATAGAACAAGAGAATTCTTGAGGATTTCTAGCTTTGCAACTGCAGAATAGCTATGGCTAAGAAGTGAATTATTGTACATGTAACAGATATGCCTTTTAAAAAATCATTAATTTCTAAAATATGCCAGACAAGTGCTTCATATACCTGAAGTTACAGAGAAGAGACTTCAACAATTAAGTTGAAACCAGGGGAAGCTTGCTATATTAGGTTTCAATACAAGCCCTAAACCTCAGTCCAGATTCATCTGAAGGTCAAAAGTTCAGATTAAGCAAGCCAAACTAAGAAACAGAATGAAGTCTAAACCTTAACCCTTAAATTCAACATGTGTGAAATTATAAGTCAAAAGCAAGAAAATTAAATCCTTGCAAACTCAATGAGTCATTCATATGAATACACCTGCTGTGCCTAGACAAGAGTGTCTTTATAAGAGAAGTGTAATTCTGAGATGTGCTCAACCCACTTTGTCAGAACCCAATCCTCAAAATGGTGTTTTAACCAGGTGAAAATTTACCAAACAGATTTTTGAGGGGAAAGAGATTTTCATGATGTCATAATTCAGTATATCTTAATTTTTTGAAATGTCAAGAGATTAAATGATGAGTAATTGGCTAACAGGACTGGAAATGTTAATAATTAGCTAAAATGAGAAAATTTCAAATGACTTCATTATGGTTACTGTATTTTCAACCAAAAAAAATCAATGATAGCAGATTAATGGAAAGAACATTCATGTAACAAGTACCTGAAACTTCTATAATCCACTCATAAACCTAATTACCTTAGAGTACCTTTCTGAATGAGATTGATCTACTTTAATATTTTTTAAAGAATATTCCTTTAAAGTATTTCATTTTAAATTGAGTTCTATCACTAAAGAACCTTAAACTTTCTATGGGTTTGTAATGACTGTGTTTATGCCATGTTCATGTCAGTGACTAGCTTGAAATCTCCCCAGCTTGATGGAGCCCTTAAGACTTTACTTTGGTAGCAATGAAATGAACACAGGGAAAAGGCTGTCAAAGCAGCTTGGTTATGCTGAAACTCTGGATTTAATTATCTTTCAAGGTTTTTGTTCTTTGAAATGTGAGATTTTATCAATGTCCTCAAAATTTCACATATGATAGAAATTTCAATTCTGTTTCTATAAACAGGAAACTAGTTAACTATTGGCCATAATTGTGAATAAAATAGTGCTTATTGAGCCAAAGAAAAATGACTTGTTGACATGGAAATACCCTGAAAAACAGTATGCTCTTAGTCCCTTTGTCAAGCTCACAGTTTTGGGGTTTTTCTGATAGTGACAATCCACGGATATAAACATTTCTTAAAAATATAATTCAGTATCACTGTTAAAGCTGAAGATGAAATGCATGTGATCTAAAGTTGATGTCATGTGCCATGAGCTGTCATGTTTCTCAGATCCACGGTAGGGAAGTTCTTCAGCTCATTGGGTTGATCATCTAGGGGCTGTTCACTCTTTTCATTTCACTATCTGTTCTTAATGTAGAATCACAGTTTTGTAGAGCTAGGTGGTATCTTCAGTTTTCTAAATCTATTCCCAAGACATCAAAAATTTCTGTAGGATCATTCCTCAATATCTACTGATTTACTGGGACCTGCCTAACATTCTGAGATAAAATCCTGATGAGTTAAGTCATGCCCCAAGCAGGCGTTATTTTTACTTATCAGAACATTTTCTTTCCTCAAGGTTTCCTCGTGAAATGCTGAAATCAATTTTAACTGAACCATCAAGGCTAGACTATAAAGTGCTTTGGTGGGAGTATTTTGGTTATATACCTCCTGTCCATTAGGAGCAGGGAGCTAGCTTATCACTGTGAACTGGGTATTTTTGTCAAAAGTCACAGCTAGGGAAGAGATGAGAGAGGAATTAGAAAGGTCAAATGGACCTAGTCCAGCAGTCTACAAGGATGTCTCTTGGTGCTCTGTCACAAAAGAGAAAACCAAGAGAAGCGGCAAACAGAACAGAGTTAGTCAGCTTTCTACTCAGTGGGCTCAAGTGTCAGTGAAGACCAACACAATAGTGTTGCAATTTCAACAACTCTGTCAGGTCTTTTTTGTTCCTTAGCATCATGAAAACAACTGCAGGTCTAGTGTGTATTTTCCCGTATTTTGCCCCTGAGCTATCTGCTACAAATGCTCCAACTTTATTTTTCTGAAGAAACAGAACTATTAGCAATTTATAGCTTGCCATGTAGGCTGTATTTCAGTTTGAAGCTGAAACTTTCAATACCTGTGGGGAAAAGTGATATAAAACAGAAAAAAGCTGTACAATATTACAATGTTTTAAAATTGTTAGTACATTATTTCATTGTGTATACTAAATATATGTGATAAACTGAATGTTAGTTCTAATCTCACTTTTGACTTTGGGAGCCCAAAATAAAGGAAATATTTTTATGTTTATACCTCTTTTTTGAGTCAAAGGTTGATATACTGAGAAGCATGTTCCTTGTCTTCCATTTAGTATTTTTATCACCTTGAATTTGTGTCTCCTCCAAGTATCAAACATTGTTCCCAATACTACAGACCTTAAACTCATTAAAAAATGAAAACGTGACTACCTTGTTTAGCCTATAGTTTCATTTGTTGTAGCTGAATGAATTTTATGGTTCTTGAAAGAGTATCTTGACCCAGCCACACTTTGCCTTGCATTTGTAAAAGTGTGATTTAGAGCAAATCCATCTACCTGCTTTAAAGTTGAGATCAGGTGCACTAGATCAGCTGTATAGCATGGCAGATTTCTCAGTGTAATTGTAAACGCTTTAACTATTGACCATTTGGAAAGTATTGAACAAAAGTACTATAAATAACGTGCAAGCCAAGATAACATGCTTTTTGACAAATTGTTGCTAATGGTAAATACAGTTCCTCTTGCAAAATGTAGATTGTAAAAGCTAATTAAATATGAGTTGAGCCAATTTAAAAAGACCTTTTGTGAATAAGACAAATATTTATAATTTTAAGTGGAAATATTCTTTCCCTTAAGTCAAATGTGAAAATATTAATCCCATGAGATACAGAAGACTGAGTAAAGCCCTTTTAAAAAGTGATCTCTCTTCAGTAAACAAAACTCATAAACTTAATCCTAATTTAATTTCTTAAAGGCCTGAATCAAACAAGGAAAACAGCCAATGGTGATTTCTAGGTTGGCAGACTGACAATTTGTCTTTGATCTCATACAAGTGTCTGCTGGTGTGACTGCAGTAATACAAATGACGGGCATGTTCTGCTTTCCTATTATTACAAAGTCATCTGTCTCAGCAGGCTCACCCACAGCACTGCCTGTACCATGAATTTAAAGTTTCCAATCTGATGGCACCATTTTAAAGGGGAGAACATATAGGGACAAACAAGTGCTATGTATAAAATGGACTTGGCCATTTCTCGTTATAAAAGGATTATTGTTCAAATGCATAGTTATTCACACATCTTAAACTTTTTTTTTTTTTTTTTGGTACCAGGGATCAAACTTGGGAACTTGTGCTTGCAAGGCAGGCACCAGAACCACTGAGCTAAATACCTGGCCCCCCCCACATCTTAAACTTAAGAAAAGTCTAACTCTCAAACAAGAGTACAGTTTATAGGGAATTCCCAAAAACTATCTAATCTGGAATACTGATGAAGATCACTTCATGATGAATAAAATGTGAGGCCGGGGATTTAGCTCAGTGGTTCCACCGCCTGCTTGCAAGCACAAGGTCCCAAGTTCAATCCCTGGTACCAGAAAAAAGTGTTAACCAGCAGTTCTATGCTGGCCATTATCTTAAGGACTGTGGTTCCTTAGCTGAGAAAATGTAAAAATGAATCTCTTTAGCAAATGAGAAGACTTGACGACAACTCAGAGGGGAAATCAAAGCATACAACTGAACAAAGTAAAGTGCTTTGTAGAGATGAAGATAAAAAAGCACGGACATTTTGTTAATTTTAGCCCCTGGAAAATAATTCAATTTCTAGTGTTTTATCTATTTAAAAAAACAACACAAACCCCAGCTTAAGTTTTCTTGGGGTCTGATATTTGCATCTTAAATTCAAAGCACAAATGTTCAATTTTTCATATATATACACGGCTGCTAGGAAGACCATCCTCCAAAGTTACTGACTGCATGCTCCATAAAAGGATTTTTTTTTTTAGTTTCAAGCTTTTAGGTTTATTACGACTGTTTGACTATGCATGTCAATCATACCACACAAAATATTTCCAACGTGTTCTTTATTCAGAAACTTCATAAATGCTTCTGTCAGATGGTTTTGCAACATACTAGTGCTTATTTAGGAACCTAAAGCCTCGTTCACACAAGCACTTTGAATTAGATTACCCCCTCAGAAAAGTATACAGAAATATTTTGGGTTGTGAACTCTGAGGCTACAGGAAGGTAGGAGTGGGCTCTGGGAATCCAGGTCATTAACATACAAACCATTGGTTTATGCCTCTCTACCTTATTGTACAGTACTTGATACCGTGTATCATTCTGCCAAATTGTATCTACATCTTTCAGATGTTGGCCAGATTCCTGGATTAGCTTCTTAGCTCTGTTCTGTTGATGAACAGGACTTCAGTTTGCAGGACTGATAACCCCAGCATCTTCCATAAGCTTTTGCTTCCAAATCTTTCATTAACTGTATGTTATAAATTTAATCACTTTCAAAAGTGTCCTATAGTCAACTCTGGCTGTGATATAGCTGTCTCTGATGTATTCTTCAAAATTCTTTGTTTTTCCTATCCCTGCAGAAGAACCTGACACAGCAAGGATTTTCCTCCAGCATATACTTCTATCCACATCAAAATTAAGATAATCATGGAAGTTTCATCCAGAAGTTGCCTTAAGTTTTCCCTTTTTTTTGGTATTTAATGTGTTCATTAAGTTCTTTTTCTTTTCTTTCCAACACAGATCCAGATTTGCCAGTAATGGTCTTTTTAGAGTCCTTTGGCTATCAAATCATGGCACAGCTGAAGAAAGTACCTCAACAACCCTTAAAAGTAATGCAGAAGGATTTTTCAAGAAGGTTCCAAAATGCTGGGATTGCAGGTGTGTGCCACTGAGCATTTTCTCCACATCATCACCAATATTTATTTCCCTTTTTAATTATAGCTACTATAGTGAAAGTGAAGTGCTATCTCATTATGGTTTTGATATGAATTTTCCCTATGATTTGTGTTGAGCATCTTTTCATGTGGAAAGTGGTTAATAGTTTTTGCTTCTTATGAAAACGGTGACCCATCCAGAAACATTTTCAGAACTCAGGTGTATTTCTTAGTTCTAAGGCAGTTGTTTCACTGTGCTTTTCTTTGCTATGACGTACTATGCTCTGCCTTCTGATACTGTGCCTGAGTATTATACATACAAACAGTTTGACTTGGCTTTGAGCTGTCCATTAAGCCTAAACTCAACAAAACACATGAAGATTTGGAAATCCTTCAGAATAATGCTAGAGTTAAGATTTTGCTAATGCGAGTGTTTTCTCTAACTCCTTTAGCTGGATGTTGCCTTGAGTAATCATCATCTGGATTGTATCCTGTATTAGAAAGTGAAATTTGGTTATCACTCTACCCGATTAAGGTACAGTTCTACCTTTCTATTTGTAAAATTCAAGGGCCAATAGTGGTGGGCTATGGGTGTAGCTCAGTGGTAGGGCATGGACTTACTATGCACAAAGCTCTGGTTCAGCTTCAGCACCAAATACGTACACTCCAACAATAACAAAAAGTCAATAGTGAAATTGGAACTGCTACACATTAGGAAAGCTAAAAACTATGTGGTACAGCATAAAAGCCGAGGGATGCTATTGTATAGATAAAACAATTTAAAAACTTTAAATATCATTTGAATAGAAATAAGTACCATTACAAGCAATGATCAAGATACACACCTTAGCTGGGTGGGCACCTATAATCCTAGCACTCTGGGAGGTTGAGGCAGGAAGATCCCAAATTTGAACCCAGCCTGGGCAACTTAGCCACTTAGTGAGACCCAGTGTAAAAAAACCAAAACAATCAAGCTGTGGATGTAGCTCAGAGATTCAGTGCTTGCCTAGCATGTGGAAGGTCCTGGGTTCAATCACAAATAAACCCCCTCCCCAGGTTATACCATCTCAGTGACATTTATATTCCAAGATGTCTACTAAATTTTTAAAAATCACAGATCAATACAAAAGAGCCAGGCTATTCTCACCGTGATTTTGTTCCTACCTCTTCTGTGGCGCTTTTATTTCTTTCAAATTCTTCCCTTGCCCAGTGCTTCAAGTATTGGCGATCACATGCATTTGGAATTTGCCGGATTGCTTGCAAAATCCTTCTGTAGAGGAGGAGAACTTGTTGCCTTCTCAGGAACTGTTCAGGGGAGAACTGACATTTACAACTGCACAATCGCCAGGTCTACTTTAGCAAAACAAACTGTAACCAGGCACTGTCTCAGAATTGAGGAATTCTGAAAAGGACAAAGAAAAACTTCTTTTTGACAGAAAGCAGCAAGAAGTGCATTTCGGCGTTTGCTTACTCCCCTGTCAAACCTGAGACCTTTTAAAATCAAGAGCTCACTGCTGGGCAAAAAAAAGGGCTTCTAGGAGCTGTAGTAGGTGCATTTTCTAAATGAACGCAGTTGTTCAAATTCTTTGTTATTTATCACGGAGCAGTCTTTGCCGCGGCTACTGGGGAAAAGAGCCAACTAGGTTCGGAGAAATAAGAGCCTGGCCCGTCTTAGGTGCCCAAGTAAGCCCAGCACGCTTCCCTTGACTCCCACGGAGGGAACCCCTCCTCGGCCTTGGGCCTATCACAGGGTGCAGGCTCAGGACCTGCCCAGGTTCCAGAGGCCACTCTGGAAGAGGTGGAGGACCGAAAAGCTCAGATCTCCGAATGCTGCTCTTAGCCGGGCGTTGGGGACTGTTGGCACAGTACCTGCTTTAGAGTTAGCGTCCCCGGAGGTAAGCGTGAGGCGGCCATGTCTGCCGAAAGGAGTATCTGGATGGAGCGCGCAGGAGCGGAAGTGGTGGGACCGATCAGGGGGCGGGGTGAGCTCGGCCTCCTGGGAAACCTCGAGGGACAGGTGCTCTGTAAAGCCCGGGAATTTGCGAGTCGGAGATGTAGCTCAGTGTTGCCGGCCCTGCCTGGCAAGTGCAAGGTCCTAAATTCATTTCCTAAGAACGGTAAGGCATTTGGACACTTCTTAGCAGGGGATGTAGTTAAGAATTAATTAAATGGAAGGTTAACTTCTTTGGTGGACAAAATTAGTGTACTCATTTCGAGTCTATTCATGTGTAAGTTTGAAAGGACTAAAACGTTAATTTCTTTTAGAATTTGCATCCTGCACTTTCCGCTCTCATTTTCCTCATTCTTTTTGCATTTGCCCAGTATAGTCATCACGATATTTGTAACAGGGCTTTTAAGTGTGTGTCCCATTGTGTTTTTAAACATTTTTTTAAAAATCGCTGCTGCGGAACTGAACAGGTCACAAGCTTTTACTTCCTAGTAGTTTTACCCGCACCACATACACCAGTCCGTGGGTTATGTATCTGGAAGTGAGGCTGGCGATCTTTGCCATACTGTGGAATTAAAGTGCAGAAATCTCCATTCAGCTACCCATTTACAGTGCTCTCTTGAAAACAGCACCTGTTGGAACCCTGGCGCTTCCTTTTCCTTGCTGTGTTCAGGGTACTTCTTCTGGCCTATTTCCTCATCTGTGAAGTACCATACAAAGGGAAGTAACAGCGTCTCGCGGTTGCATCGTATGTTAACTTACTGAGAACATGCCCTGGTACAGGTTAGAACACAATTCTCAGCTCTCTTACTAGGCATTGTATGAGTGATGGCATTGTCAGTGTTGTATTTTTCAAGTTTTGTCCTAACAGGTGAGTAGTAACAATTCTTGGCCAATTTATTTTAAAGGTATTAGTGAAGCTCAGTATCCCTAGACACCTTTAGTCATGTTGATTTTGTGGATTATGATGCAGCTTTTTATTGTGGTTTTACATGAGCTCTATGGTCTATTGAATTTTTATATTTATAAATATTTATATTTATGAGCTTTAAGGCTCCATACTATTGTATTTTTATCTTTTGAGATTTTCCAGTTTCATCTTTTCGCATTCAGAGCTTTGTAACTTTTACAGTTTCTTTTTTTTTGGTACCAGGGATCAAACTTGGGACCTTGCGCTTGCAAGGCAGGCGGCAGAACCACTGAGCTAAATCCCGGGCCCAAATTCTTAAAATATTTACTGCTTCCAGACTTTATAGTTTATAGCATGATGTTGACCTAAGTTCTTTTCTCACTACTAAGCTATAATTTCAACATCACGTACTATACCTTCCTTTTCCTGGTCTTTGTTATACCTTTGGGATCATACGGTAAATCTTTTAGGGTCAGAAAAACCTGTTAAAGCCAGGACTCTATAGGTTCTTCTAAGACTCTTCTATTAGTAGTGTTCCATATGACGTTTAGAAATGTTTTATATATTTCTCTCGGAATCTTTTTAGGAGCTTTATTGTAATTTTAATGAGTGTTGAATCTATAGGTTAATATATGAGCAGATATTTTTACTACTTCTTTCCCTCCAGAAACATTTTCCCATCCTAGACACAGTTAATATTGTCACGAGTCACATATACTTTGTCTTCAAAGGTTCATATTTTGGACAGGAACTTGTAAGATGAAATGAATGCAGTGCCACTAACTGTTGCTGTTCATATTGTGGAATCTCATTCCTCTTGAAGATCTTGAACTGTTTGTCTGAAAGGCAAAGTAGTTAAGATTCCAGACAACACATGAACACTGGCAGATTGTAGAACTGGTTTGCTGTGACCAGATGAGTGGTGATGTCGGTAGAAAGGGCCAGGAGAGTCAGGCAGGAACTGCATAAGTTGCAGTAACTTGAATAGTATCCTCTGCACAGCAGGAAGCGCTGGAGGGATTTCTAGCTTGAGAGGTTTTATAAAGATCTCCTTGGATGTTGTGATTAGGAAGAAATGAAGCAAGCAAAGATAAATTACTAGATCACTGACATACTCCAAGCTAGAGATTGAAAGAGCCCCAGCTACCTACTGGAATCACAGAAGGGAGGGGAGGATAGGATAAGTGTTCAGAAGTCATATCAGAAAGATGATACATTATAATAAATGAAGATGGAGAGGGAGGTAAAGCAGATGTATAGGTTGAGCGCTAAGTCTGTAAACAGTATGGCTGTTGGGGAGGTCAATTGATACAGAATTCTGGAAAAGAAAAAGTTTGGGATCAGAGGAGTAACTGATGCTTTTGAACATGATGCATTTGATGAGTGCTCAAATAGAGCTCCAGCAGGCATCTGAATATACAGTAATGTATGGCATACGTTTTGATCAAGGGACCATATTTATGGTGGTGGTCCCATAAGATTTTATTAAGTGACACCATAGCTGTCTTAGTTTGCATAGTACAGTCTGTTATATTTTTAACCACAATAAAAATGTCCAACACTGGATTTCTCAGAATGTGTACCAGTCATTCACTAACGATTGACTGTAACTGGCAATGTAAAAGAGCAGCCTTGCTAGATATCTAGATAGATTTTTGCAAGCCATTTGCTCAGATGATGGTTGAAGTTGTCTAAAACGGGATTATTGCAAAGCATGCAAAGTATTTTGTGTCCTGATGCCCATTCCTTAAACGTCAGAACTGGGCATCAGCTCCTGTGACACACTCCCTATTCCCAGGTTGGAAGTGGCTCTCTTGGTTAGGTGCTCACCAGAATTCCTAATTTCCCAAATCCCAAGAGCCATGGGAATCACTTTAGGCACCCCAGTTGGGAAGACCCACCTTATATATAGACCTGCCCATTAAAGATAAATGTAATAGATTACAAAACTGTCAGTGTTGCTTTCTCTATCAAACCCAACTCTGCTGGAGGATTAACTTTTTTGCCCCAGAGATAGCTTGGGCCAATGAAATTTGAGTGTGAGAGAGGTCGGTATGGAGCAGGATCATAATGAGCCTCCATGTAGATCTGCTAACTCGCCAGCATGGAGCAGCTCACCCACCACAGGCATTAATATGTGAGAAAGTCTTACTGTACTAAGTTTTTGAAGTTGCTGGGTCATACCAGCTTGGAATAAACTGAATGGTCTGCTGGTCAAGTACGTAAATCAATCCCCTAGGACACCTGTTAAAATCCTTTGTCTTATTCTATTAAGAATGATCGTTTCACCGCCTGCTGTGCAAGCGCAAGGACCCGAGTTTGATCCCCCGTACCAAAAAAAAAAAGAATGATCACAAATGACCTCAACAGTGGTAAATCTTTTAATAGTTTTCAGAATATAAACTGCATAGATTTTTTTTAGAATAAAAAATAACAATGATATAACTTCAGGTACATGCTTTAGGACACTTGGTTAAACAAGCAAGCTGTGTCTAATGGCCACCGTATAAGGACTTCACATTGTAACCTGGAGAGACATGGGGATAAGGAGATAAGATGACTACATCATGGCATACTGTCTACAAAAGAACATTCTGACAGAACATTAAATAGAACACAGCACAGTTTCAAGTATTCAAGCACTGCTTTTTGGCCAAGGAAAAAGTGCCTTAAAACCACTGATGTGTTCTGACTGGGAGAAAAAGAAAAATAAATGTAGGGGCTTAGTTCTTGTGGACACAGCATTTGTTTTCCAGAATGAGACTGGCTCAGTCTAGCTTGAAAGCACTGAGGAATGATTCTTCCCCTTAATTTTTTTTTTTTTTTTTTGTACCAGGGATCAAACTCGGGTCCTTGTACTTGCAAGGCAGGCGGTGGAACCAGAGCTAAATCCCCGGCTCTTCCCCTTAATTATTAAGGGGGGAGGGGAGAACTAAAGAAATAAATTACTATAACAGGGACTATGGCACTGAAAGTGTGAAACAAAGGAAAAATCATCTTTCTATCATTGCATAGTCTCCCGGAGCAGCAAATGTGAATGGAGAACACTGAAAAGCCACTTCTTTATTTTCAAATCCCAAGGATCTTTGTTGATTACTTGGGCTCCCATAACATCATGCTAAACATGAGAACACGTACACCATAAGCTTCCTACCCTTGGAGAGAATACTCTTTTCACAATAAGAAAATATAAAATCATGCTCTCCAGAAAACTGTAGGTATCTCAGCCATAGGATAGCTTTTGGGTTCGTATCATGAGCTTGCTGTGGCAGAGCTTAAAGTAGAGTCCAAAAGGCAGCTCTTTATTCCTTTGTCCAAAGAACTGGCACAGTCCATTCGCTTAAGGAATGTGTCCAACAGTCAGCTGTGGTGACACACACCTGTAATCCCAGGTACTCAGAAGAATCATAAATTTGAGGCCAGCCTGAGCAACTTAATGAGACTCTGGGTCCAATCCCCACTGTATGACCCCTCTCTACCAAAAGGGGACTGAATGTGGCTGGGTTCCTAGAGGAGGGCATCAGGCTCCCCAGTTAGGATTTCTCCCCAGATTTCAAAACAAGGTACTTGAGCCCAGGCAAAGCAAGAGCCTGAAAACTCTCTCTGAGCTATGCGAGTGGCACGTTCAGAAACAGTTGTCCAAAAAGGAGTAGGGAACACCTGGGTAAGATGTCACTTTCTGACTGTGGTTCAAATAGTCTCACTTTGGACGGCTCTTCCTGTGTTACGGGTGGTCAGAGGCCGTCACTAACTCAAACCACTGTCTGAGGGCATCGCTGAGTGTCTCAGGAAGTGCATTCACATCTCGAAGAATGATATAGAATGGGAATGGGAATTCTTCCATGTAGGATCGGATTTCAGGCATCTCTCCAGGTCCTTTGAATATTGGTACTTTAATGTCCAAGATGGAATCCTGTCACCAAAAGACATTTTGTAAGAAAAAGGAAAAATCAGTTTCCTTAGCTAGGTCTTCTGTGATCTCTTGAGCTGACAATTTAAGTCTCCCATGTCTTATTTCTACATATGAAACTAGCTCTTTTTTAAAAAAACTAGCTCTTACTGGGGCCGGGGATTTAGCTCAGTGGCACTGCGCTTGCCTTGCAAGCATAAGGTCCTGAGTTCAATCCCTGGTACCGGGAAAAAAAAAATTCTGAAAAATGAGGCAGATCTCTTTGAGCACCTGTTCCAGGAGAATGAAGACTTAAAAAGGACGAGGGATAAACAAATCTACATTGCTTACAATAGTGTCTTCATTCTCCATAGGAGTAATTCCTACTAAATCTTCATCTTGCCATCAGTGGTATTATTGTGGCCTGCAGAGACGGTGCCTCCTCAGAAATAGAACCGCTTTGCTCTGAGGACTCGGGAAATAGAGTGGAAAGGCTGGCCTTTTGTAGTAGTGAGGGCCCATTATCAAGGCTGTAATACCTGCTATACAGAAGAACTAAACCCAGAAGGTAGATTCTGGAGTCTGTGTAATTCTTGGCTCTCCTACTCATTACCTGTAATATTCCTGTGTTGCTGTCCTTCACTGTTAAGTGAGAAAAATATTCCCTCTCTCACTGAGTTTGTGAATATCACACAAAGAATAGTGCCTGGTAGAACACCCAGAACACTAGGAATTCTCAATATGATAAAGCAGCCCCAAGCTGTATTTCAGAACAAGCTGAAGGGAATCCCTTTATCTCCAGAAAATGTGGCTTCTACCAGTCACTCACCCGTGAACTGGGACTGTCCAAAACAACAAAAATGACAAAGATATTGGCATTCCGGGCAGCCTGAACTGCTGCCAGGACTCTTTCTTTCCCTTCCAGAAAAAGGCCTCGCCCATCAGAGACTATCAGGAGAAGCTGTGCAGTTTCTATAGAAGAGAAAAAAGAGAATAAAATGAAAATCCATTTGTAACAACTCAAAACCACCTACAGTATGACAAATTAGTGTAGGCTTTCTCTGTGCTATTAAGACCAAACATCTGGAAAAGTGATGAATTTTGGGTATGAAATCTATTACTTAGGGGAGACAATACATTCTACACTTCTGTCAATATGGCAGAATTTCCCATTAGTGCTTCAGGGAATGTCACATGTAGATCAGCTCCACTTGTACACCAATATATATTAAGACATATGTTTATGGGGCCGGGGATTTAGCTCAGTGGTTTTGCCACCTGCTGTGCAAGCGCAAGGACCTGAGTTTGATCCCCCGTACCAAAAAAAAAAAAAAAGATCATATGTTTATGACTATGACCCATATGAATGGACAAGTGCTGAGTACCGCAATAGAAGGAAGTGCTCAAGTCAGAACTGGAGAGTCCAAATTTTAATTGTCTTATCACCTTCAGGTTTTTGTCAATTCCTTGTACTTAATTTATTTTTCTTGATATTGACTCATTTATACAACTTAGAAAGGAACTAAAACAGTGAATAAGGTGTTTTAAAACTCTGGGCTACATGTTTCTAGCTAAAGATTACAATGCTTGAAGGTGGGCTCAACTTAGGTGTGAATGACTTATTTCACAGATGCATGCATGACAGTATCAGGATTGAGAGATTTTGGAAAGGCTGTGTTTAGATTATCTGATTTGTTATTACAACATTCCAGAATTGTCTTTATACTGAATTCCACAACCTGGTTCCTTTCTTTCACAACTCTGATATCAATCTGTCACGTAAGATTAATATCTGGTTCACTGACTGATTATAAGCCTCATAGGATGGGTTCAGTAGAAATTTCTGAATGAATAATAAGTGAGTAAAATATTTCATCAATTCCTAATGGTCCTCCTTCATCTGTTTATCTTTTCCTGTGCAGCATATACTTAAAAAGATGGTGACAGATTCAGAGAAGGAAATGCAGCTCACCTGGACTAATGTTTTGTGAGAAATGCTGAGCGACTGCAAACATGCTGGCTACAGACTCTAGAAACTGAACCAGACAAAGATAATTAGAAAACAGGTTAGCTTCTCTTCCCACTGTCTTAAAGACCAATGACTTCTGACACTGCAGTGAGTATTGGGTAACTAGCTTGGGTTAATAAGCAACAGGCTTCCCTTTCATCCACCTGGAATAAAGAAGGAATAATCCTTGTATTGCACAGCATTTGCCCTTGAATACAAGCATTTTCAAGCTTAGATGGTCATGTGTTACTGACTAGTCACCCCACTAGTGTTCTACAGTATACCCTAAAAGAAAAGGAATACTTCCCTAGGAATAAGAAGATAACGTGAATACCCATGAATAAAACAGCTGTTTTCTCTTGAGAAAATAAGATGAGTACAAAAGAAGGTAAAGCAGGAACCAGGAGAACAGAAAATATTACCCCCTGCTATTTTGTTACCCTGAACAAATTACTGGCTTTATCTCATGTTGTTTCTTCTCTGGTCTAAATGAGAGAGGGAAAGGCCTTGATCCACCTGATAGGGTACTAGGAGATTAGTTTGTTCAAGCCACACAGAAAAAATAAGGAGCCAGAAAACTCAATGGTGCTAAGTCAAATGATCTTTGAGGAACTGAGAAAAAGCAAGTCACACCAAGGAGGATGCTAAGGGAGCTTCCATTATAGCAGTATACCTGCCGAGGTATAAGACTATTCATTTCAATTTTTTTTGTCCTAAATACTATGGGGAGTAAGGGGGAGGAGGGTTGTAAAAATTAGTCTGTCCAACATCAACTTACAAATAACCAAAAAAACATTTGATTTCATCAGCATACCTGAGCAATCTTGGTTTTCTTTTGCTGGAATTTGCAGAGCCGTAGAATCTGGGTCCCCGAGTAATCACTGAACTGCTCATGGAATGGGTGTAACAGCTTCACTGACTCTCCAAAACTTGGGGGAGAAAAACAAATACAATGGGAGTTATTTTTTTATCATGAGATCAAACTGTGAAAAGGGTTTTCCCAGTGAGATTAAAAGGCAATCCTACCTGCATACAGCAATCTGACCCACTTCCAGGAGGGTTAGAGCATTTCCAATCACAGCCAGTGACTCAAATGCAAGCTATGAAAAAGGGAACGGTCTAAGGAATCAGAAGTTCTCTAAAACAAGGCCTCTCAGCCCTTATTTAACATCAAGATTCTCACAGAAAACATTTTTTGTATGACACACAGGTGAGTATTATTGAGGCATTAATGGTCTCAGGTCCTCCTCAGTACCAGATGCTGAAGCACAGAATCCATGAAACTGGTAAGAATGGTATTCCCTAGAAGTCATATAATAGTGATTTTGAGATAGATGGCCCCATAAATTAACATTTTTCCTTCTGTTTTGGGGGAAGACTACATAAAATAATCTTTTACGGATAACAAGATTTAAAAACCAATTAAAACTAATGTAGTAAACTCAGAATGTAGAATTTAAATTAGTCGAAACAGCAAGTATAAGTTACATATTGCTATAATCTTCATTTATTTTTTAGAAAATGAAACAGGCTTTTAAAGTAAATAAATTGCCCCAAAGTCACATGGTAGTAAGCGGAAAGCTTAGGTGTGAACACAAGCTCACAGGTTACTCCTTTTCCAGCAGGACATACACCTTTTAGGGTGCTCACAGGCTTATGCTGGATAACAGCGTCACTGTAAAAAATGACAAACATCACGCTGTCTATAATGGTGGCACCATAAGTAATCCTATTTAGGCTCCTAATAAGCCTTGTCAACATTACCAGAATACTAACTATACATAATTTCAAACTATATGAAGTGTTCTGAACATATTTTTAAAAATCAAGTTTTACATATTGATATGTTGTGTATATTCTTAAAGAATAAATAGTGCATTATTGCATTTTATGGAAAACGGACAATCAGATTTACTTAATCTTCAGGTAGACAACAAAATAGTATGGTTAAGAACTAAAACAATTTAGAAGATCTACAACAGGAAGGGACCAAAATAACTGCCCTTTTGAACTTTAAAATCTTAGATCTTCTCAAACATGTTTATCATATTCTTTTTGCCAGACTGTATTTAAAACATTTAAAATGGGCCATGGACTGTGGTTTGGTGTTAATCTTCCATCAAATTGCCATACTTTTCTCTTTCTTACCTGTTTGGTATGGTTGTCCACCATACTAGAAGAGTCATCAATAGCCAAACAAATCTGATATTGGCGTTTACTGGGCTTGGTCCTTCGCAGCCAAATCTTGTCTTTCCGAAACTGACTGGCAATGTAGGGAATGACCTTCCGCATGTTCAGTCGCTTCCCTGTTCGATAGTCTCCTCTATTAAATGTACCCAAACAGAGCAAAGATCACATTAATAATATCTTAAAACTAATAGTACCAAGTAATTAGTCCCCTAGCACAATTAAGTGTTATTATCAATTGAGGACAAAGGACCAGTGCCTTCCTGACTGCCAGCTAGAAACACTGGCTATGTATGTTGCAATAAAGTTTGTAATGAATACAAAGTCTCAGATTCTTCCTTTTTTATTCTAAACAATGGCTTTGGAAAGATCTAGGTGAGTCATGCAACAGGTAGACAAGAGACCAGCAAAGGCTGAGCTAGTTCCCATCCAATAGTAATGGAGATGGAAACTGCCTTCATAACGAGTATCACAGAAACTCTTGTGGTAGAGATAACAGGTAAGGAAGGCCCACTGGTGCCTGTATGGCAGAAGTGGCAAACTAGAAGCCAGCACCATAAATGGCTCATTGCTCAGCTCTAAAGAAATACTAGCATCGTTTTATACAATGTGAGAGCTTCCAATGGAAGACTTACTTCAACTTGGCTGCCTGGGTGGGCTCTAATATGAGACGAAGTTGCTCACATAACTGTTGTGAAAGAGGTGCAGTTAAGATCAAGTATCTCTGCCACATCTCAGCTGCAGCCTTCTCCTGGGACAATGACAAAAATGAAGGATAACTTTAGAATATCAAAGCCAACCAAGTCATTCTAGCAGAAAACTTGCACAAACCACCGCAACAGAGCACTTTAAAGTTTCTCTAAGCAAGCTGCCAATTCACTAGTTTAAAAATGCTGTCTCTTTACCCAAACCAAAACCCACAGTTCCAAGAATGAAAGAAGCTGAGGATTTAGCTCAGTGGCACCACACCTGCCTTGCAAGTGCAATGTCCTGAGTTTGATGCCCAGTATGGGGATTAAAAAAAAAAAAAAAGAAACAAGACAGTAAATTATTGGACTTTATGGCCAACCAAATCACATCATTTATAGTGGAACCTATGTGAACAGATGTGAATGAGTAATTTTGGTGCCAGCAGGTCCAGCTACTTATTTGTGGGCTCTGCCATATTTCAAAAGTGACAAATACAAATCTCTCAGATAATACACTTAGCCTCACGATTTTTCTACTATAACAGCACTCACTACACATATGCTATAGGAGTAAAATATATTGTGATATAAAAATATAAAAAAATATATATATAAATATAAAAATATATTGTAATTTTAGGATGCAAAGTCATTAGTCCTGGCAAATCCACATGGCCAACAATAAATTGGTGGAGGGCACAGTATAGACTCTTGCCCAGCTTTTTGAACACTAGGTGTTCAGAACCAGCAAAGAAGTTAAAGGAACTAAACCTATCAGTTTCTCTATTTTTACTAAAGCTATGTATCTAGTGGCAAGGCGGGCAAAAAGCAATGGATAGACTTAGGCTTTAGGTTTGTAATTATAGTCTGAGTTGGCTATGTGTTTAAAAAAAGTTTAATCACATTGTTTCTCTTATATGAGAAACCCAGAGTAAATATAAAGAGCAAAATAAAAGATTACAGGAAGTGGGAAGATAGATCATTCTCAAAGGGGAAGGGGATCAAAAGATGGAGGGAAGGGAAAAGGGATGAAAAAAGGAATTGGGGTGTGTTATGCTTATGCACAAACTCCACACGAGGAATGTAAACATTATGTACTGTAAACATGTACAAAAAGAAAGGGAAAAGGATCAAGGGATGGGTAGAAGGGATAGGGAATGAAAGGAAAAAGACTGAAAAAAGGAATTAAGAGGCTATGTACGTGTACCAACTTCCCAAAAGGAATATAAACATTATGTACTAAACACATGTACTAAAAAACCAAAACTATATAGTGTTCATAATGTTAGCCAGTCATGTAGTAGGAAGGTACACAGTAATAGTATGTCAATTGAAGGAATCAGAAAATAGGTTCACAAATACTTACAATGCAGTTTCATAGTTCTATAGATGAACAGAAATACTTCCATAAAAGTAATTAACACATACTTGAACTCACATTAACTGCATAATTGTTACTGATTTTTAGGATCCAGTATAGAATCTACTTTTCCCAAAAATCCTTCCCTGACAAAATCTGAGATAGATACACCTATGTTTATAGTAATTTTTAAGGTATCAGGTTTGTTTGAGGTGGTTGTTTGCTTCTTTCATCTAATAAAGTATGAGTAATTGCGGGGAGGAGAGGTATTTATGAAGAAAACCCCAGTGACTTACTTCTGCATTTCCAGATTCATGCAGCTGCCAGGTTTCCAGCTGTCTCTCCATCTCCTGCCTTAGCTCACTGACATCTTTTAAAAAGGGCTAAGAAAAAAACACAGATAAGAGGTGGCCCAGGTTGGAATCTCCAACTTATCATTAACCGTCTTCCTCCCTGCAATATGAACTTGATGGAGGCAGTCACATCCCTGAGACTCAAAACGTAAGCAAATTTAACAATGCAATACAGGGTGCCAGACGAATGTTCTGCTTTCCATTTTATTTGTTTTTTGGTGGTTTTTTTTGGTACTGGAGATCGAACTCGGGTCCTTGCGCTTGCACAGTAGGCAGTGAAACCACTGAGCTAAATCCCCAGCCCTCTGCTTTCCATTTTAGAGAGACAATATGGATTAAAGGATGCTTTCAACATTTATAAACCCAGCCCAGCCAAACAAAATATTAACTCATTAATAATGAAAATGGTCCCCGATAAATCTATACTGCCATTAAATCAAACTATTAGAGGAAAACAAAAGTTTCTGATTGTAGACATTATGCTAAGATTCTTGTCACTTAACCATCATGAACTGTTAACTGACCCAAAAGTTCTTTAAACAAAGATCTAAGAAGAGCAGAATATAAAGGCCAAGGACCAGACCCATTATCCTAGACAAGTCAGGGCACTGGGACCATTATGGTTTTAACAAGATTGTGGTTCATGTCAAGATGTGCCCCTACAGCCTCATGTGATCATAGGCAGGACTTCTGAAATGTGATTGAATTATGGGGCCTTGTAGCTGGCTTGCTGTTAGGAGCTGGGGTCTTGTTGAAAGAAGTGAGTCACTTCAGGGCATGGCCTAGAAAGCTTTAGCTTCCTCAGCAGCTCCTCCCTTTCACACTCTGCTTCCGGTCCTTCATGCCAACCTGCCTTGGAGTGCAGACTTAAATGTGAGCCAAAATAGTGCTCACTTTGGCAGACATATACTGAAATATGAGCCAAAATAAAAGAAGAAAAGTTTAATTTATGGATGTTGGGTATTTTGTCTCAGTGATGAGGAAAGTGACAGAGACAATGACCCTGAGATTAACCAGATGACACTCTTCCAGCAGTTAAAGACTTGTGGGCTGGGGTATTGCTCACTGGAGGAGGACTTGTCTAGCATGCATGAGGCCCTGGATTCAAACTCTAGCAATGCATTAAAAAAACACAAAAGAGTATTTGTACACCAATAATATTCTTGAAAATTTGATAAGGACACGATAACCCCAGACAATCAGATGTTCCCTAAAGGTCTAAAGACAAAGATCTAAAAAAGCAATTTTAAATTGTTTTGCCAATTATTAAAGCAGCAATTTGTGCAAGTTTTAGTACCTGGAAAATTGTATCCACTAGAAGCTGATGGGCCGTATGAATGGTTGAATCTTGGCTTCTTTCTGGTTTCTTATCTATTGTCTCCTTGTGGGATCTGTCTGTCTTGAGGTCTTCTTGCTCCTCTGCTGTTTTAACAGTGTGGGTCTCCATCTCCATCTCATCAAAGCCTATTTTCATGGGACAGTTTCATTTATTATTATTTATTTATTATTATTATTATTTGCATAAAGAGCCTTTTCTATCGCATATCCTAACAATGAATCAAATTACACTCATTCACTCAATACATTTCTGTATGTTCTTGCTCTCTGAGACAGTCACTGCAAGTTCTTACTACTTTCCCCTCTCCTCACCCTGATGTTGAAAGCAATGCTCTGAGAGGAGAAACAAAGAGGGCTGTACTTTAGTAAGTCTTATAAAGCTGTCTCTTTGGGTCATGTGCATGTAACAGCTTTGATAAAAACAGAAACTAAGGGGGCCAGGGATTTAGCTCAGTGGTGCTGCCGCCTGCCTTGGGCAAGCACAAGATCCCGAGTTCAATCCCTGGTACCAAAAAAAAAGAAAGAAACTAAGGAGTTGAGGGTATAGCTCACTAGTAGAGAGCTTTCCTATCAGGCATGAGGCCCAGGGGTCCAATACTCAGGGCTGCAAAAACAAAAGTAAAACCATTGTTCCATCTTATTGATAGGGAAAATGAGGCAAAGAAAAACAATAATTTGTCTCAATATAAAGTAACAGGCAAACCTGGAGTTTGAATTCAGGGAAATCTAAACTCACAGCTTTGTTGTTCCCACTATAGTAAATGGCAGGACAGTAGACAGTGTCTAACATTCCTGAGAATAGATATAAAAAAGAAAAAGCTTTTGAATTTGGAAGGTTATTTTGAATTTGCAATTATTGCACGGCCCTTTTAAAAATAAACTGCCTGGTGGGCCAGGGATTTAGCTCAGTGGCACCATACCTGCCTTGCAAGCGCAAGGTCCTAAGTTCGATCCGTGGTACAAAAAAACCAAAAAAAAACCCTGCCTGGTAACAAGATTTGGTTAGTGTTACCAAATAGGTAGAATCCAAAATATCTCCCAAACGGCATACTGTGTTAAAGGTTTGGTAATTAGCTGATGGGCTCCATCTTTTTCAACCAAACAAAATACAGTCAAATTATTATTTGCTCAGGTAATTACCTGAGCCATGGGTTAGAATATGAAACAGGAAAGACCAGACTAAATTACAGGCCAGAGAACTGACATCTCTACGACAGCTTAGGGGAGGTTTGGTCACTAGCAGGACCTACTGGGAGCTGCCATGTTTCCTGACTTGACTTCGTCTGGCTTCAGCTGCTCCGTGTCTACTGTTCTAAGTTCTTCCTGCTCCTCCAAATCCATGAGGGCATCCTCTGTCTCCTCCTCTTCCTGATCCCTGCTGGACTCTTTTGCAGTATGTTGTTGCTCTTTGCTGGCCACATCTGCGAAAAGTGCACATATATTAGCAAGCTTAGGTTTTTGCAGAACAAAGCAATGAGTGCGTGATGGTAATTGACACAATGTAACTAGACACATGACCAGTGACCACAGTAATAGTGTTTAACTGGGATCTTACTAGTATTACCACAAAATGAACTAAGATAAACAGTTTGGGCACATGACTCAGAACAGCTAATGAAAATCATACTCTGCCAGGGATTTAGCTCAGTGGTTCCACCACCTGTGCAAGTACAAGGACCCAAGTTTGATCCTAGGTACAAAAAAAAAAAAAGAGAGTTGGAAAATCATCCTCTGTCACCAACCTGAAGGTAAAGTGTAGTTTACCAAAAGTTTAAAGAGTATTTAAGCCAAACATGGTGCCACAACCTATAACCCCAGCACTATGGGAGGCTGAAGTAGGAAGATCACAAGTTTGAAGCCAACTAAGGTAATTTAGTGAGACTGTCTCAAGAAATTAAAAAAGAGCTGAGGAAGTAGCTTAGTGCAAAGGCCCTGGGTTCAATCTCCCCCTCTCCTGCTCTTTCCCTCTATTACAAAAAATAAAAATGGTTAAAAAAAAAAGGAACCCAGACCAACAATGAAATCACAGCACTGTAATCTTAGAAAAATTGTTAACCTTCTTTGGCCGTGGTGTGCTCACCTCTACAGGACCTATCCTAGCTCATGCAGCAAAGGCTCAGAGACGTTTTGGACACAAAGCAAAAGATCAATACATGGTACTTCTTGTTTTTAAAGTGTAGACAGGACTTGTAGACAGCTTACCTCAGTCCACTTAGGTCAAAGTTTTAGAATAGTATTCCTCTCTGTGCCTAGATCAGGGGAGGAATCTATGCTCTGTGCCCTTCTGGTCACATTCAGGTCATTTAGAATGACAAATGCAAAGACAAAGATCCACAGGAGGGTGCTGACACACTGCCTGAAGTGGTAGGAGCTGGACCAATTATAGTTTTCAGTAAATGTTGTTCTCAGTTCAAGTAAGTGTGGACAGAAAGACAAAGTTAATCTACTACAGAATAGTCATTTTATACCATCTTTATAGCTAGATTATTAACACTAATTTATATACTAGGAATGAAACCACCAAGAGGACTAGAATCCTTTCTGTGCTGAGAATTTTTCTCCCTCACTTCTTCACTTACAAGTAAAAACATACAACTCAAGTTCACACCCCCTGCCACCGTAGAGACTTACCTGGAGATGACCATGAAAAAGTATTCAGTAGGAAACCCTGAGATCAACAGTGGGTTTGGATTTGGCTAACTGTTCACAGGATATTTAGAACCCTAAGCATTTGAAACTAAAACCAAATTGTATTTCTGCATTAGAGAAATACTCTTATTTATTCTGTACTTCTTTTTAGAGTGAAAATAGTTCAGAGACATTTCCTCTCTAATTTGCCTGGCAAGCCCATAGTTGCATGGCCTAAGATTTCAGAGAGAGCTCAGTGAGCAAAAGAAGCCTTTCCTGCACCATACCATAGGTCTGTGCGTCGTATGTATCGCTGCCTTGTTTAATGTGCTCAAATGCATCCGAATCTTCCACCTGGGTGCGGGGCTCTGATGGCCCCTGTTCAGCCTGGCTGTCGTTATCCACAGTCTTCAGCCTCTTATGCACATGCTCATTGTAATCACCCACTGAGCGCTCATTGTCAGCCTGCCCAGGTTTCCTCTTAAAACTCTGAGGGGAAATAATAAGGAAATTCATCAGAACTTTGTCTGTAATGACAAAAGACTCAAGGAACCATAGTAAACTAGGTATAGTCATACAACAGTGAAATTCAGTGCAGCTATTAAAACAGAGAGAATGAGGCTTGTATATACTTGATCTATTTTTATATCTGAAATACAGGAAGTGAAAAATTTCATTTACACATAAATCTGTATCTACAATAGATATGAGGAAAACCTCTCTAAAAGATGATAAAACTAGTAGCATTAATTTGCTGTGGGAATGGTCCCTTAGGTGGCTTGAGGACAGGACAGCATACCTTTTTAGGGGATTTGTTTTTATATAGTAATTTTATGAGCATGAATTATACCTCATTTTAAAAAACCTAGTAACAGTGAAAAAAGTAAGACTGGTTGGTGCTGGACAGCAGGGAAACAGGACTGGGCTCTAAGGCTCTGGAACAGGAAGAGGTTGGGAGTGCAGGGAAGAAGCCCCAGTGACAGGTTCCCACTGGGAGAACCCCTTAGTCCTGGTCTACTCAGTCAGGCTGTCATCATCACGTCTGGTGGGGTAGCAGAGGTTGGAGGCATTTTTTTAACCTACTAAGTTTTAGAGCATCTTTTTCTACATACAGATTTCACGTAAGTTTAGTTGAAGAGTGATAGAAACCTGTGTATTTTTTCTGGTGTGTTTTTGGGAGGCCAACCGGGCAATCAAGTTGGATTCGTGGCCTTCTGCCTGGTTTGCGTCTGCGGTTCCACTTCCGTGTTCCTAGGAAATCCAAACCATGAAAGAATGAGATGCAGAAGCTATTACAAATACTGGTTACTGTGCTGCACAGTGTATAATTCTCCCACCATTACGCTCATCTCAGACCCAGCTAATCTGGCTACCTATCTGGCTGCTCTGGAACTCCCCAGCCCACTTGGGACAGAAAAACAGAGGTGTCAAGACCCATATTAGTCCACTCTCCTTGGTGTCTTTGCTCTGCAAGGCTGATGGGTTGATTGTCTACAAAAACAAAACATCTTACACCAAAGGGAAGACAGACCTCAGAGTTAGAAACTAGGCATCATCATCAACCAGCTGACCACCCTTTGGGTTTGTCATTTAACTTCACTGAGGCTTATTTTGCTCAAATATAAAACGCAGAAAATAGCAAAAACTATATTATCTATCTCAGGGCCATTATGGAAACTTAATGTAAATGCTAAGCATACAGGTGCTTAATGTATGATGGTGGGGAGGTATAAGAAGTACAGTTGGCATTATTGGTGAGTAAATGGCCTCAAAGAGGCGTATCACAAAGTCCTCTGATATTCAGTGCTGTTTAATAATACAAATGACACCTGAACTGTAAGCATACCACAACACTTTTCCAGCAGATCAAGGAACAAAGTGCTTCGGTTTTTAAATTAAAATGTTTAGAAGCCTTATGAAGTGCAAGGAAAAGTAACTTACCCTAAAAGACACATGGGTGCATAAAGTCTAAATTAACCCTTCCTTCCTTAGAAGCTTTCTGAAAAGCCATATGAACCAGATTTTCCTATTGAGAACTACCAGTCTAGTAACTTTTCCTTATTAAGCATATCACTTAAATAAGCCTGTAGCAAATATTTTGAGGTTTGTCCTGAGTGGCAGATAAAAATGCGTATACAATCATTTTCCAAAAATCAGGGCCAGGGATGTAGCTCAGTGGCACCGTGCTTGCCTCCCAAACGCAAGGTCCTGAGTTCAATCCCCGGTACCAAACAAAAACAAAAACAAAAATCAACAGTAGCATAAAAGACCACACGTAAACCAACTATGGCAAAAGAAAATGTGATGTCAGACAAGAAGAGGCAGCGGGCCCAGGCAATGAAGATGGCTCACCTCTTTCCCCTGCTCCTTCTCAGGTGCAGCCCCAGCCAGCTCCACAGCCTGTGTGCTCTGCACATTCTCCACACCAGTCTGCCCACAGGACGCGTGTTCCTTCCTCTCAGCAGCTTCTGGCTCCTGCTCTTCTGTATCAGATTTCTCTCCTCCTCCTTCCTGGTTCAGCAAAGAAATTAAACAGCATTGAATGTACTGGGAGGAGATGAGCCTGAGTAGGAGTCTGGGCAGCAAGCAGGCTCCCCACTCTACAAAAAGAAATTGGCCGGAGGGGATCTTTAAACAGAAACTTAAAAGTCTTTTGGAGCGCCATCTGGTGGAAAAATATTCTAAAGGAGATTCTGAGTAACTGGAAATAAAGCATTTTCTCCTCCCCTTTTTTGTTTGTTTTTTGAGACAGGGTCTCACTCTGTAATTCAGGCTGGCCTTGCAGCAATCTTCTAGTCTCAGCCTCCTAAATGCTGGGATTACAGGTGTGCACCACCACACCCAGCTCCTATTTTAACCAAAGAAAAAGCCACACGTCCCATAATACCTGGGACTGCAGACTTTGATCAAGAGGAATGCTCTTTTCTCCCCCTTCCTTGGTGTCTTCCCTGTGCTCTTCTTCCAGAGACTGCTGCTGCTTCTCTGAGTTTTCTTCAGGGTGTTCGGCACTATCTGTGTCCTGGTCATCAGCTCCTGTGTCCATCTCCTCCTCCCTTTCCACATTGTCATCCCCACTGGGGTTTTCCTCAGGTGCAGGTGCACCTTCACCTTCACTCTGGTCAGCCTCAGTCTCTTCGTTCATTTCCTCAGTTTCATGGTCTGCTTCTTCTGTATCTACTGATTTTTCTTTGATCTCCAATGGATTTTCTTCTGGGTAGATACAACAAAGAAGGAACTCAGGGCCGGGGATTTAGCTCAGTGGTTTCGCTGCCTGCTGTGCAAGCGCAAGGACCCGAGTTTGATCCCCAGTACCAAAAAAAAAAAAACAAAGGAACTCAGAATTCTTTAAACTTACAATTTCTTAAACTGGGAAGCAGTTATGCAGAGCTTTTATTATCCTGTAAGCCAGGGATTGGCAGACTACAGCCCAAAGGTCAAACCTGGCCTTCCACATATTTCTGTCAGTGAAGTTTTACTGAAACACAGCCACATCCATTCTTTTACCTATATATAGCCCACAGCTGCTCTCATACTGCAACTAGAGAACTGAGTATATGCAATAGCACGCTTATGGACTGAACAGCTTAAAATATTTAGCTTATATTTTATGGGAAAATGTTTGCCCACCCCTGTCCTAAACCATATTCTTGTGTTACACACATTCATTTCAATGGTGTATTTTAATTTTTTTAAAAAGGTAATCTACTTTAAAAATCATAATCTGAAAAATCCCAACAGGAAAATGTAAGTTTAATGCTCAGTTATCACTGCTGTTATTAGTAGATATCATTATCACACACAGAAAATACACCGCACATTCAAATGGAAACAATCTTATTTGTACAAGTTACACTTTGGTTGTTCATAAATCAGTTCACTTCATTAGCAAGTAATTTAAAATAATTGTTCCTGGGCCAGGGATTTAGCTCAGTGGTTTCGCCACCTGCTGTGCAAGCAAAAGGACCAGAGTTCGATCCCCAGTACCAAAAAAAAATTTAAAAATTGTTCCTTAGTATGTGTACACAATATCCTAAGTGAGCCTGGTTATTTCAAAGTACATAGCTTGTTACACTCTCAGTGGGTTAATCTTAATTTTAGGTCTGGTTGATTGTTGACTTCAGGGCTTTAGTCAGATTCCAAAATTGCGTTTTTCTATGAATGGTACGTACCTCTTATTCTCTACCTTGCTAGTTTTGTTCCTATATGATATCTTTATTTATATATATGTATGTATATATATTTAGATATTTAAAAATAGCTTTTTAAAGTTAGTTTCTTTCTTTTTTGGTACCGGGGATCGAACTCTGGTCCTTGCGCTTGCGAAGCAGGCAGTGGAACCACTGAGCTAAATCCCCAGCCCAATAGCTTTTCAAAGTATGTAACATCTGAGTGAAGCTAACTCACATCTCTGTCTACTTAACTAATCAGCATGGAGACCCTTCATTGTGAGTGGCTTCCTATACAGTACTCCACTAGAGAGCACGCCCTTGAGGGCCACTAGGGTTAAAAAGTTGATGACAAAGGCATTGATTACTGTCATGTGCATGGATTTTCTTGGAATTATTCAGTTTCATTCCCCTTATAATGACTGCATATTTCAGAAAAAAAACAAAACAATCAATAACTGAAATCATCATTTCCCTGAAAGAACTGTACCTGGGCTACATGAGAAGCCTGGAAATACGCCAAGAGTGCATAGTGTTGATGATCAACTCACAAGATGGAAACACAGTAATAGTTCTGGAGAGATGGAGCTGTGGGTGGCAACACACCACCAGGGCACAGCAATGCCAAGATACAGGACAGGAAGTGTCAGATCTGCTAGCTTATCAGCTCTAGGTCCACTCACATGAGAAACATTATAAATGAAAAGCAAACCATTTTCTCAAATTGGAAGTGAGCTAACCAGACAATATATATGAACTGGCTCTGACACCTGACTCGCTCTCTGGAGAGAAAAGTTATTGTTCATGATCAATGACTTCTTTGGGTTTCGGAAAGACTTACCTTCTCCTTCCTCATTGTCTGTGTCCTCACCCCCATTCTTGTCTTCACTGTCAAGGTCCAAGTTATCTGGAAGGTCCAAGGCCTCTGGTTCTGGAAGCTTTTCCTGATTGCCATGGTAAGGGTCCACCTCATTCTCATCATACTCTCTCTTTGGGGTAATAAGGGAGAATTGCCAGTATTGTTATTAAAAACATACAACAGAAAAAGAACATTTTAAAAACCAGAATGCACATAAAATTAACTCTTAAGTATTTATACCACACCAAAAGAATACCCTGTCTCTCTTCCCTAAAATTATTATTAAAGCACACTTTAGTACTTTAGTAGCATTTTTAGGCCTTTCGTATTAGAATTTCAAATTTCAACTTCTGTTAGGAAGGATAACAGGCCCTGTTTTACTTTAATCTCAAAGAAAAAACTTATGAGAATAAAGAACCACATGTTTTAGCTTCCAAACTACAGCCCAAGTCCAAACACCATCCATACTCATCAGTAACCAATACATATTTTATGTCCATTTAAGAGCTTCTGTTGCACATTTCTTTTATAAAGCAGTGGGATAAAAATCAAGGACTAGGGAAAAAATGTATTGAAACACTCTAAGAACTATACAAAGCAGGGGCCCTGGTCTTGACACAGGACCCACATGAGTTTCAAATCCGTATTACCTCATCTATTTGTTCATTAATTTTGTCTTGGCTTTGTCCACCATCATCGGATTCTGCTTTTTCTTCTTTCTTATTTTGCTGGTTTTTATCTTTGTCCAAATTCCCAGCATCCAAGTTGTCATCTTTAGCAACAAGTTCAGAATCTTCCTACATGACACAGTAGGAAAAATAAGTTCATCACAATCAAGCCAAGAAACTTTCTGCATGAATTAACTCTGCTTAATGTAGCCCCCTTAGACATGGATAATTTCTGCCTATTAGGTGTGCCCTACAGAAATATGCACAACCTGCAGAACAGTTCAAGTCTGCCCAGACTGCAAAAAGAATAACAACTCTTTGAGTGGTGGGTATGATTATTAGATGCATCACACTGTAACTGCATGTTATAACCCAGCCTGGAATCCTCCTAAACTAGGACTAGAGAAAGTCAATAACCAATGAGAGAACTAGTTTAGAGAATCTGTTCTAAACCTTAACTTCCCTCCTCCATAAAACATGGGACTCATGTCAGGCTACTCTTTTAGCTGTGCATACAATCAATGAGACTAGAGAAAAAAGGAAAAAAGGAAGAGAAGAAAAGTGACAGATGGTAGGAAGATTACCTCCTCTCTTAGTCTGTGGAGTTTGGGGATAGGGAAATCTTTTAATTACCTCATCCATTCCTGGTCCAGTTTCTTCAGTTTTATTGTCCTCTTCATCATCATCATCATCTTCATCGTCATCACCCCAAAGCCTCTCATCTAGTTTGTCAGCTTCCTCACCATTGAGATCGCCCATCTGTTTATCCAGTTCTTTGCCCTCACTATCTGATTTATCATCCTCCTCTTCTGAAAGGAAAGGCACTGAGCTTACTTATTAGGCAGATCCCCCAAATGACCCCATCTTCTGTATTTATAAAAGGCACAACAACCACTTCTTGACAAGGGTCCCATGTGGGATTTACTTCAGTTCTGCTGTATTTTGCATGCTGGATGAGTAAGACTGAAATGTGTGAATAAACAGTAAGAAGAGTGCTGTCAGGGTATCAGGATCTAGCCCCGGGGAAATGCCCGTTATGGGACTCAGCAACCTCCCTGGGCTTCAGTTTCTTACCTATGGAGTGATTGACAGGATCAGGTGATTTCTGAGCCACTTCCTCCCATCTCCAAAATATTGATTTCTATGATTTTATCAAATATCTAAATCAGAACTAAAACAGATTACAGAACTGTATGTGGTCTGTATGTGTGTGTGTGTTGTGTGCGCACGCGTGTGTGTGTATATACACACATACATACATACATACCATACATGGAAAACATACATCAGTTTGTTAAGTGGCTTGAGTGGTAGGCCTAGGGGTCTTATTTCTTTCCCATTTTCGTTCCGACAAATGTCTATTATATTTCTAATTATGGAGAAAGCTTATTTTTAAAAAAGTACCCAGAACAACTTGCTTCAGGTTGACAATCACTCTCTATTAGAGATGGAAACTTGCCCTTCTGGGGTTCCCCAAAGTACATGGCTAATAGGAGGCAGCCAGGACATCAGTCAGGTTTACTCAAGAAGCATCTGCAGAACTTCTGCCTCACTGGGATGATAACAGTACACCAAGCTGCTGAGGTTGTCATATGCAGTTATACAGGGAATCAGAGTTTTTCAAGAGATTGCAGTAGACCTATTGAGAACCTGTAATTTCCTAGATAAAACATTTATGCTTTCAAAAATAAGACTCAAGTGACAAGTAGTCTCACACCTTGTTCTTCAAGCACCCCATCATGCATTTTCCCATCAAAGTCCTCTGACATCTCAATGGCGTTATCTTCGCCCTTAATATCAGATTTTGAGTCAGGCTCTTCATTGTCCTTTTCTTGTCCCTTCTGAAATGAATCTTCTACCTGTATCAAAAAGCATTATAGAAAACATAAACAGGGCTAGGGATTTAGCTCAGTGGCGCCGCCTCCTGCCTCGAAAGCACAAGGTCCTGAGTTCAATCACCAGTACCAAAAAAAAAAAAAAAAAAAGAGAAAACATAAACAGAAGTTTAAACTGTACTAAGATTTACTTTAGTTCTGTAATGTAAATGCCAAGACTAACAGTGTAAATGTATTCTGGGGAGAGAAAAAAGACCCAATAGCCACATGCAGTAATTTATTAAAAACTTATTTTAATTACTCAAGTTAACTTTCACTTTGTGGCTTTTGTGATCAGAGAATACGGGATTTTGTTTAGGTTTTCTTCACAGGAGTTTAAAAAAAACTTTCTCAACACTCCAAAGATATGTTAAAAGAATATGTATTGTTTTCAAAGATTGAAAAAATTAGGGGCCAGGGATTTAGCTCAGTGGTTCCCCAGAAGCGCAAGGTCCCGAGTTCAATCCCTGGTACTAAAAAAAAAACAACAGCAACAACAAAAAGATTAAAAGAACTCTATTGTTATCCAAATCTTTTATATCTAGTTTTATCACTTTGATCTCTGAAAGACAAGATGGTACTCCGCTGTGAATATAATTTTATTCATTTTTTCTTAATGGTACCACAATTTAAATAATTTCCTTCTGCTAAATATTTGAATCATTTTACAATTTTCACCACTATATAATGAACATCCTTGTATAAACATACATATATGCTCATATTTATTTATCTTTGACCCTTACTAGCATTTCTGTATGGAAACATGGGATTACTGGATCAAAGAATATACATAATGGGCCGGGGATTTAGCTCAGTGGTTCCACCGCCTGCCTTGAAAGCACATGGTCCTGAGTTTGATCCCTGGTACCAAAAAAAAAAAAAAAGAGAGAGAGAGAGAGATACGTAATTTAAAAATTTACCAAATACTGCCAAATGTTCTGATAGCTTTTTATCCCACTTAAGGTTTTGGATTGTACTTTTTTTTTTAAGCTTTCACCTTCTTAAAAAACTTAATTTCTTTTCCTTTAGAAAAATAGTATGGTTAAGTCAGAAATATATAGAAAAGCCAAAATAACAAAGGCAGAGTTCTACCATATAAACACTAACATTGCCCTCTTAGTTTTTAATTTCTTTGCAATTTTCCTTGCCAAGAAAGAGAAGGAATTGTTTTGTTTCAAAAAATAGCTGTAATTGGAACTGGTTATTTTTAATAGCTGTAACCATAGCCTTGAATACAAATTTATGATCTGATTTAGATTTAGAATATAAGTGATAAAAAAATTAACCTTTATTTCCTCAAGCAAGTTGATTAATCTAAATAACTAATGCATTAGCTGGGCATGGTGACATACACCTGTAATCCCAGTGCTTGGGGAAGCTGAGGCAGGAGGGTCGCCACAAATTTGAGGCCACCCTGGGTTACATAGTGAGTTCAAGGCCAGCCTGAACAACATGGTGAGACTCTTTCTCAGAAATAAACAAACAGGGCTGAGGATTTAGCTCAGTGGTCTCTGCCTTCCTCGAAAGCATAAGGTCCTGAGTTCGATCTCTAGAACCAGAAAAATAAATAAATAAATACAATATAAATTAAATGGCTCCCAAAGCCTCATATGTTTGGAAGGTGATTGGATTATGTGGTGTGTAGCCACCTTGCTGTTGAGAGGCAGGGTCTGGTCTGAGGAGACAAGTCATAGGGGGCAGGGCCTGGAAGGGTTTCTCTCTCTCCCCAGTTCCTCCCTTCTCTCTCCAGACTTCCAGAATGCCATGACATGGAGCAGCTTTCTTCCACTCAGGACCTTCTTCCATGCCACCATCCATGCAAGGACTGAAGCTCCTAAATTGTGAGCCAAAATACACCTGTCCTTTTAGGTTGCGGCTATCATGCATTATGATCCAGAGATCAGGAAAGTAACTAAGATGTGTCCCAGATGAGGTGAGCATTTTATTTTTTTTCTTATTTTTTTTGGTACGGGGGATCAAGCGCTGGACCTTGTGCTTGCAAGGCAGGCGGCAGAACCACTGAGCTAAATCCCCAACCCCTGAGGTGAGGATTTTAAAAGATAATGCAATAATCATCATAGTCATAGCATCTGAACATTTTAAAAAGTATTCTTGATTCTAATCAAAAGAGGATATGGATTTTAAAATTTCAACATGTTTTAAAGACATACAATGACAAAATCTATTAATAGTAAATGCTGGCATTATTGTTTAATGCAGTTATCACTACAATAGTCTCAGCTTTTTATCCTTAGAAGTACTATTACCAAAAGATACTCTGCAGAGATCATGAGCATGTATCTTCCCATTTAAAAACAGTCATTTCCTCCAAAATTACAGCTATAAACAATGAATGGGTTGCAAAGGTCCTCCCTGTGGATTTTAGGCTATTTATACCCACTGCTCACACTTCAATATCCCTGAAGCTTCACAGATCATGGGGAAAACCATTACCTTTGTACAAACTACTTATATAGATAACTGAGATGCTGAAAAAAGGGAAAGGAATCAGCTTTTGTAATCTGCGCCTATTACACCCATGTGAAAACATACCTGCTCTTCACTTTCTATCTTATCACTCACATCCTTCATGCCCTCGCCTTCTCCAATTCCACCTCCCTCATAGTCATGGAATTCAGTTGCTCCATCTCCTGATGAATCTTTCATAAATTCTTTGGGCAAGCAAAATCCCTTGGGAAAAAAATGGAATGAAGGATTAGGCACAAATCCAATTTTAAAAAGTGCTTACAGTCCTGCCACAGGGCTAAAAAAAAAATCAAAGGCTTAGTTATTTTTCTAGTTATCTTAAAGCTGAGGAAGTCCAGCAGAACTCATTCTTTTCCTCCTTAGTGATAACAGTTATTAGGCAGTTGACTCTGTAGAGGCCTCTAGGATAGGGTAATTTGTCACTCTGCCACTACGAAAATTTCAATGAAATATACTACAAGGAAGAAACTGAGGAGCAAATCACTGAGCCAGGGCAGAATGGGGTCTTCAGAGAACATAGCCAGACCTGCTAACAAAAACAAAACCGTTTCATGTCCAAAAGTAGTCTGAAAAGAAAAAACCTACTAGCTTGTGGGACAAAAGTAATAGAAAAAGGAGTATATGAAAGTAAAGACTTTCAATCCAAAGAGAAAAAAACGTTATCAAGATATTTGTCGGGCCGGGGGTATAGCTCAGTGGTGCCTCCGCCTGCCTCGCAAGTGCCAAGATCCCGAGTTCAATATCCAGTACCAAAAAAACAAAAAGAAGATATTTGTCAATCTAAGGATGAAAATGTACTAAAAAAAATAAGCTGCCAATTAATAAGAATTACTCTTATCCAAGTTAACTAGCAAACACTATGACTTCATTACACAGAAATGGCTGTGGATTAATTGCTTTAATTATAACGTAAATCTATCATTGAAGCTCAGTGTCTAACCTACTTCCAACTTCCCTCAGCTCTACTCAGGAAGTTTATGAATAAAACTTGGACACTTAAAAACAAACAAAAAACCTCACTTTGGGTGCATGTATTTTCAGAAAGCTCACTGGAAAATGCATTTTAACTTATTTTTCCACTGAGCTACATTATAAGAACCACATTTGGATGCAGGCAGGTGGAGAGTCAAATGCCCTTCTTAGGGCACATCACTGCGGTAACTACATTGGGACAGCCTTGGGGCCCCTACAAATCATCAGATCAGAACGACTCCCATGCTCAGATGCCCAGCACCCAGGCCTGAGGAACCAATTATTCTAGAGCCTGCAGACTAGAGTACTGGTGCAAATGGACAAATACAGCTGACCTAGATCTCAAGGCATCCTTGTCTTGTCTCTTATGGCTTGCTGATTGGCTTATGGAGAGGGGACAAACCTGAAAATCAATCACTCACTTATAGTTCAACAGATACACACATACTTATGAGGCACTGAGCTTGCCTCTCACTTTCTCTTTCCAGTATTTCAGAGTTAGACTAAGAATCTGAGTGTTTACAAGAAGACCAGATCCCATCTTCAGTTTGTAAATTCATTATCTTCCACAAATGAATCTCATTTGTATTGTACTTATTTGAAAAAAATTATCTCAAAATACTAAAGAAACAAAACAAAACTTAGATCCTCAGTTGAAGGTAGTTCTCACAAAAATGCTAAACACAGACAAATCTCATTTTACATACGAAGAAAATGAGTTCCAGGGAAGTTATGTGATGAATTCAGAGTCCAAGAATTGGACACCCCTGTGGCTGGACCAGCCATCCCATGCTGTGTCTTTTAGAATTCACTATCTCGAGGGCTGGTCTGTAATCTCTACATCTTTGGTTGCTTTTCACGGTACTGAGTACATGGCTGAATGAATTAGTGACTTCCTTCGTGAAGATGAATGCTCCTCATACCAAGAGATCCTTTATTAATCATAATCAAATATAAATAGTTTAAGGAAAACAGCTGTAAGGATTTATCCCACAGGTCAAGGTCAGTTAGTTCAAAATGGGGGCAAGGGAGAGCAAGCTGTGTTGGCAGAAAGCAGTGGCCTTTAGTCAGCCTCTGTAGTCAAGAAATTCAATGTGGGTGTTCTGCAAGTTCTGAGACTTTACTGGAAACAGCATGAGCAAACAAGTGCTGAACAAAGCCCTAAAAACTTACAGCGAGCAAATCACCTGCTATTTGTGACACTCCAAAATATCCATCAAACCCAACACCGAAGGATCCCTGCCGTTCATGTGAACAGTCCTTACCTTCTGGGCAAGCTCTGTAAAGACCTGGGCAAGCACAGAAAGCAGCTTTGCAGTGTTCCGGTGAGTTGCCAATGACATGGTCAAGAAGAAGAGGACAAGGTCTGAGAAGCTGCAAAGCATGGGCACCAGGCGCACCAGCAGGCTGCAGGACTGGCTGAAGAGCTGGGGACAAGACAAACCAAAAGGCCTGTTGACACTGCTATTCTTTGGGGCAATACACTGATTCTAGAACTAGTGGCAATGGCTATACAACTATAAATGGGCTAAATGTCACTAACTGTAAGTGTCATGGGTTTTAAAAATTTTTTTATTTTTTGGTTTTTTTGGAGGGGATGGAACTCAGGACGTTGCGCTTGAGAGGCAGGCACAGTGCCACTGAACTAAATCCCTGGTCCTGTCATGTGTTTTTATATATTCCCCGCATAACTCAGTGAGATTTCTTCCTTATATACACAAACTCATAAAAAGTACACTTACAAGCTCAGTTACTTTAGTCTCACTTAGTTTACAGTGCTTTTTTTTGGTACTGGGTATCCAACTCAAGACTTTGCACTTGTGAGGCAGGCAGCAGCGTTTATAGTGCTTTTAATAATATATTTATGGGCCGGGGATTTAGCTCAGTGGTTCTGGCGTCTGCCTTGAAAGCACAAGGACCAAGTTCGATCCCTGGTACCAAAAGAAAAAAAAAAAAATGCTTAATAATATATTTATAAAGAAATTTTGCTAGGAAATCAAAGTTGAAATTAAAGCAGTGCTAAGAATAACAAACAATGAATATCTTACAAAATAAGTTACCTCTCTGGACTGAATACAGATACTGTAATTTACTCTGCTGGCTTACTGTGAAGGGAATGGGGTTTTCAGCAGATGCCTACTAAGTCTCCTGGATAGCAGCAACATCCCCTGTTAATATCAAATACCTGGGAGTACATAACTGGGATATGAAAGAATCCTAAAATAATTGCCATTCTGCATTGTTTATTTTGCACCTAAGCAACTCATAATTGTAACCCTTAGCAAGCCCTAAGCTTTTCTCAAAGCTTGTCAATGATGTTTACATTTATAAATAGACCAAATTCTTAGTGATTTCTGAGGCTTGCTTTAGGACTCTCCACATGGAGTGAGATGAGGGCCACTCTGCCTTTGCTTAGTTGATTCTCAAAAGCAACAACCTTGTAAAAAGCAACTGATTACCATGTGCTTTGACGCTGTGCCATCTTCTCCATATGATTTTATTCTCTCCAATAGCTCAGAGATAGTAGAAATTATTTTCTGCACATGCAAAGTGCTCACGTCAGCCCAGAAGTCATCCTCTAAGAGTTTTGTTAGATGTCCTGGTTGTAGTCTCTCAAAGCCTGCTCCCGCTTTCATTCACAAAAAACAACATGATGAGCAATAGAAAATAACCCTTTCCATCTCTACTCATGCACAGTCATCTATTTCTAACATCTATCCTTAACTATTTACTTACAGAAATAAATCATTAAGAAATAAACCAACAGGGGCTGGGGATTTAGCTCAGTGGTTCCGCTACCTGAGTTCAATCCCCAGTATCGAAAAAAAAAAAAAAAAGGAAAAGAAATAAACCAACTACAAAACTAAATTTTGTCTGGTTTTAAACATACCCTCCTCTTCTTGTGGTCTTTTTTGGTCAGTGCTCTCCTCTGCTTTTTTACTGTTTCTTTCTGCTAAGTTCTGGACGGCACAAAGGATGGCCTGGATGGCAGTTTCCATTTGCTCTGAAAAATCTTCCACTAAGCTTTCATCCAACATTTGGTTTCCTGCTAAGAAATGTGGTACAAAACAAAGAGAAAACAATCACTTGCTTTGGTGCCTCTGGAAATCATTAACAATATTCATTTGTTATTTGAACAGCTGTTTTAGTGGGTCAGTCAACCTAGGCTGGATGCAAAACTGTTTAAAACGTATTGCTTGCCTAGACAAACCTACGAGTTTATCATTCTGTATTAAACAATTTGTAAAAAGAATGCCCCCCCCCCAAATGAAAATAAGATGGTGTGTCTAACTTGGTCCACATATCAGCCCCAAGCTTTTTAGCCTAAGAGAAACTGGTGCACACAAGTGAACCTGTGCTACCTTCCTACAGGTGTGTACTAAGTATGTGACAAAAAGACCATCCAAAGACAAGGCATTCATACAAATGAGGAAAAAAAGGTGGAGCCATGGATTCTAACCCACGTCCTTGCCTCAGGACCCCAGATAGGTACAGCAAGACCAAAACAATCTGCTTAAATCTATAAGACATCATTCTATGATGGGCTTTTACTTCTTTATGAAAAGTCCTTACCTCCTTGGCTGTTTGAAGTGAGTAGATGTGTTTTCCAAGTAGTAAAGTCATCCGTGGCTTTATCAATTTCCCCTTTTACATATTCCAGGCTTTCAACTAATGCCATTTGTGGGTCTGTTTGCTCAGCCTCCATTCCTGGAACAATGAACAAGGACTCTAGGCCTTGCAAATGAGCTGACACCTGGGACAGGCAACTGAGCCCAGAAGAGCAAACTTCAAAATCTTTCCTGCAACAGAAATGCCACAATGTTGAAAGGAAGAGGGGTCAGACACACACACACACCCTCCCTCTCAACCACTAAACTGTATACAGAGCAAAACTCCTGGTATCTGAAGGTTTATAGCAAAACATCTGACACAAAGTACCATGTAGGTCCTACTGAACAGCAGAGGACTGAAACACAATTTTTCGTAACTTTATCTGAGAACTGAATACTGAATGAGTACTCAAGCACACAGAGGAAGAGTACACATAGAAACACTCACCAAGAATGAAAGAGAGTCTCACAAGACTGCTGCCTAATTTTGTCGACATCAGCTTTCACTGTTTTAATGGTTTTCAGCATCTCTGTTATCCTGGCAGTCGACTCTTGCCAAAGCTGGTCCTGTTTACGCATCCGGCAACCAGAAGGCAGTTGAATTCTAGGTACTGGGGATGGGTACCCCACATCAGAGGGAATTATGTCTGGCACTGCTCCAGACAGCTGTCCCTTGGTGAGTTCCAGTCTTTCCAGGTGGGAGGCAGAAGGCTGACCCTGCACTGAAGCTTGATCATGGCCTGGCGCCAGCCCTGCACTGGGACAGCACTGGAAGAACCAGGAAAGCTGCTCAAGCAGGATCTGGCTCTGCATGGCCACATGCTGTAGCCGCTCTGTCCACTGCTGCACACTGTCCTGAGGTGGGAAGGCCACAGGGTAGACAGGGGGCCCTGTCAGCCTGCTGTGGATCTCCTGCACACAGCTGAGAAGGTTCCTATACAGAGAAACCCAATGGAAAACACAATGGCATCTTTAACCACGTCACCATGTTGCTTTTAACAAAATTTTTCTAACTTCTGAAGAAGCATGGGCTTTTCCATGTAATTAAGGAGGAAGGGCTGAGGTTGTAGCTTAGTAGTAGAGTACTTGCCTAGCATGTATGAAGCCCCAGGTTTGATCCCCAGCACCACCACCCCCAAAAAAGCAATCCCCCAAATAGGTAAGAAAATAAGAAGTCGGTTCAGATGCCTCCCAAAGTACTTAGACACAAACACATCCTTCAATCTTTGAAGAAGTATCAAAACTCATGTCTTATCATCTGACCCTTAGAGTCCACTGCAGTGATTTCAATTATCTATCACCTAGTAAATGTTTGTACTTTGGTAAATAAACCCTAATAAATGCAGCAGAAATCTGATGAAGCCAAAGTGAATAGAGTCTGGAAATACTACCTCTCAGCCTGAATCCATTAAGTGAAATGATGACAGCCTTCCTGTTTTACCAAGGAACTTTGTGTATTCCTCAGCAAACTGCCAGCTGGTGATTCCAAAAGACTAAGAGAAGCAGACTCAAATCTGATCTGTGCCCAGAGACTAGGACACCTGATATAATGAACACTACCTGTCTATCAAGTATCAAACCTATTTTCAGCCTCATTCTAGATCCAGACGGAATTTACCCATGACAGTCTCTACAGTCTGACTTGGGCCTGTAATCATTCCCCAGGCTTCATTTTCTCCAGAGGTATGGTCACAGCATGGGGGAGCAGAGGAATCAGAGACATATCACCAAAACCAAGTAGCAAGCCAGGCGTGGTGGTGTATATCTATAATTCCAGCACTCTGGGAGGCTGAGGCAGGAGGATCACAAGTCTGAGCCCAGCCTGGGCAACTTAGAAACCTTATCCCTAAATAAAAAAGGGCTAGGGATGTTGTTCAGTGCAAAGACCCTGGGTTCAATCCTCAGTACCACCAAAGAAACACCCAAACAGCAGAGACAAGAGAAAACCCTTTTCCTCTTTGGGGCTCAAATTTATTTCACAGTTCTACTGACAGCAGATTCCATTTTTCTCATCATGTGCAGCAAGTCTAAGATGACCTACACAATACCTAATTTATGCCACCAACTGAACTCAGCGATACCTGAGGATGATCCACTGCTCCGTCAGTGTTGTCAAGGAGCGTCGCTGTTGGATGAGTATCTTCATCAAATGTGCTGAGAACCCTTTACACCTCTCAATGTTCCCCACGCCCATCTCCTGGCAGAGGGAGAAAAAGCATGTTGAAGATGCTGCTAGCAAAAACCACGCATGCAGGCTCAACTAGAAAGCTGTTTCATGGAACACTCTGTCAAGTAGAGTCCCTTGCTTTTATAATGAGCTGTGGGTGTGTTTAGAAGCAATACATTCATCTTTTCTTGTTTCCCTCCAGGTACTGGGGATCAAACTCAGGACCTTGCACTTGCCAGGCAGGGATGGTGCCATTGAGCTACATCCCCGGCCCACACATTCATCTTTTTTGAGCAATGATTCTCAGGTTACACTTCCACAGATAACTGAAATTCCATCAGGTGGAACTAGGTTTAACCTAAAAAAAATAGGTACTAATCGTCTTAATTCACAATGAAAAAAAGATTAAGATGGCATTCTCAATAGGAAGTTTTTGGGTTTTTTTTTAAAGCAATAGGAAGTTTTTCTTACATAATTTTTCTTACACAGCTGGTTCTACTAAGTGTACATAATAGAATTTATTATGAGATGCTTTACAATTTACCACAAAATTACATTGATTTATTGTATTGAGTTTAATGATGTCCTGCAAAAAGTTCAGTCACTTCCACTAATCGGCTATTATCACTTGACAAGGTCTGAGACTGCTACCCTGGGATATACTGAATAGGAGCTTTCCCTGGGCTCCTGCAATTCCTACGTTCTATCATTCTACCTTGGCAGGAGTTGCTAGGGCTGCAGTAAGCCTGGTGTGCCGTGCAAGAGAGCGATAAAAATACTTCTGGCATCCATCCCACGAAGATGAAATTTCTGCAAGCAGCCTGCAAAGAAATAACAATGATTTTATTAAAACCACAATCTCCTATCCCAGAAACTAAAGACTCAGAGATTGGTCTATCTGGCCACAACCAAAAGTCAACAGTCTAAACACATTTATTTCTATGAGGATTCACTCAAACTTATTCCTTCATTCAAAAGAGGTATACTGAGCATTGGAAGTATCTTGGGGAATTAGATGATGATGACAATATGATTTCCTCAGTTAAGTCTCTACAACTGTTCTGACATGGGAGGCTAGGAGTCATGAACTCTGGTGCTTACCAGGGTTACACAGACAATATAAATCATTAAGAACTGACTGATACATGGTATTAGCTGACGAATGTGAGAGAAGTCACAGGGCTGGTTGAGAACTAAAGTAAATTGGAGACTATGTAAATTAGAGCCATGACTGAGCTATGGCAAACTGCTGACAAAATGGAAACACAAACTCACTTGGCAAATTATCCTGAAAGAGCCAAAAGTCCAGGATGCTGGTATAAAATGTTCTCTTTTTTATTATAATGCTCTATGGTTCAAATTTAAAGCCCTCTGAGCAATCCTGAACAAACAAAACACACGCAAAGTATTGTTTACAACAACTTCTGTGTGATTATTAATAGGGAAATAACTGTCTCAAACCTTTATGGGGAAAAAAACCACCTTTACAGATTCTCACATTGAAGATTATCAGAGGATATACCAGAGGCAGCAAAAAATGTGGCCAAAGCCAAGTGTGGTAGTGCATGCCTATATTCCCAGCACTTGGGAGGCTGAGGCAGGAGGATCGTTGAGTTTGGGGCCAGCCTGGGCCACATAGTGAGCTCAAGGCCAGCCTTAGCTACATTAGTGATACCCTGTCTCAAGAAAACAAAACAAAACAAAATAGGGCAGTTTTTTAGCCTTCTACTCATACATACATTCAAATCAAGACAGCAAACCTCAGGAAAACCAAAGCACCAGAAAAAGAGGACATAGGCTAAGGATGTTGTTCAATAGTAAAGCACATGCTTAGCATGCCCAGGGTTCAGTCCCCAGCACCACAAGAACAAAAAACAAAACAAAAAGATTAAGAACAGGAAAAGTGAATACAAGGAAGAGAGGAAAAAAAGAAAATCAATACTTTTTGAATGTTCATCAGGGCCGAATTCTGAGCCAGACACTTTTATAAATGGTATCTTTCTTAATCTTTACAACTCTGCTGGAGAGGCAGTGCTATTCTCTTTTTGGCAAGTGAAAACATGGAGGCTTAAATGGCTTGTAACTAGGGAAAGAATATCAAACCTGGAATCAGCCTCTTGAGTGCCGCTGACTATGGACAGTGCTCTCCGGAGATCTAATGGGTGAAGATGAAGCAACTCCTGCAGATTTTTTGAATGGGCCCAGGCGAGACCTTTGCGGTATGACAAACCTAGAAAACAGCATTCATTTAAGAAAAAAAAAAACCTCAGGAAGAAAAGGATGCATCCCCTTTACCCCTGCCACTCAAAGCAAAGTCCCATGAATAGCAACACCCAGAAGCTTGTTGAAACACAGACTAGTGCCCTGCCCCTCAGGGACGAGATCAGCACCTACACTTTAACAAGATTCCCCAGATGACTCATGCTCAGCAAAGTTGGAAAGTCTCCGTTCTTTCTTCTACATTGGAAGGGTGGGTGCAATACCAAAACACGGTGATAAAAATAAAAAATTTGGACTCAGAAACCTCATTACAAAACTAAATATTTGGGAATCAAAAGTTCATAGTAGTAGCATTGTGCTGCCTATGAGAACTCTTAGAATGACATTTCAAAACCTTGCTTGCCACTCTGTTTTCTACTATCTCTTGAATTTCCCCCCAAATCACCCATTGCTTTTCTTCCCCCCAAAGCTGGTGATTATATTTCATAGTGCTTCAGGCAAAAACCTTACCAGTTTTTGTAAGGTGTTTAAAGAGGTCTGATAAAGCTCGCTGCTTCTGCATGAGAATGTGCTTGGCTTCTGACCTCTGCTTCTCTTTCTCTGCAGATGGCTCCACCTTTAGGCTCTGAAGCTCACTTACAGAGGAAATCATTTCACCTGAGGGGAAAACATGAAAATCCCAGAGGGTTGTGAATGTGTCCAGGTAACTCAATACCTAGTAGGACTTTCTGTAACAGTGAGGACTAGGTACCATTTATCTCTGTATCTGGGTACTTAATATAGTCCCTAGCATTTGATAAATGCCCAATATGTGCTTGAAATAAACTAGTCAAGCTGTATAGAAATAGAAAAATAAGAGTACACGGGATTTCATATGTCTTCATAATAACCAAAAACAAACCCAAAACGATGCTTTCTTAAATTTAGGGCTTTTATAATCAATCAAGCAAAAAAGCACTCACTGAACACCAACAATGTGAAGCATATATTAGGAATTTTAATCACCTGAGGGAAATTTCTGATAAATACCATTACGTGCCTATCCTGTAGCATTTACTTAGTAAATGCACTTTTAATCTCCAAAACCTCAGAAGTGCTTACTTATAGTTCCATTTTACAGACTTTAAAAAAGACTCACAAAGGTCATTTCTAAAGGCCATTCAGCTAACAAGTGGCTAAATTAGAACTTCAACCCAGACATACTCAACTTCAAAACTCAAGTTCTTCTCTAGCACCATGCTGCCTTCCTGAAAACACATGTGTCCTGCCACAAACAGTGTTATGGCTAGACTGTGCCTACCCCCACGAAATTCCTGTTAAAGAATGAGTGCCCCCACCTCAGAATGTGACTACATTTGGAGATAGGGTCTTTAGAAAGGTAATTAATATAAAGTGAGGGTGTGCCCTAATGCAAAGACTAGACTCCTTAAGAGATCAGAACACAGAATAGAATATACAGAGGAGAGTGGCCATCTGCAAGCCAAGGAGGGAGGCCTCAGAAGAAACCAACCCTACTGGTAATGGTGATCTTGGACTTTAGTTTCTGAAACTGTGACACAATAAATTTCTTTTGTTTAAGCTATCGGGCCTGTTGTACTTTGTTAAGGCAGCCCTAGCAGACAAATGCAAGCAATCAATCAGGTAAGGACAAGTTCACCACACTCCTTACACTGACATCACAAGACAGTTAACGGAACAAATCCTATACATTACTAACAGTGTGTCCCCTTCCAGGAGATGCACATGGATGTGTACTCCACATATCCTCATCCTAGGGCTCAGGGACAGGTCACCTTAAGCAATGGACAGTAGACTATTATCCTATTTAAACTGCAAAAATCAAGAGCTCCCTGACATCAGATAGTGATCTCATTAAAAGGAGGCCAGCTTCACTGACACATCACTCACTGGGAGGTGTGGGTGGACAGGGATGAAGGAGGTGGTATAATGCCACCCAATCTATTAAGACATGGATTCCTCTATTACATTACAAAACAGATCTCAGCTCTCATCTTTTGCCCTGAGGAAGGACAGCCAGGGAAATGAAACTGCTATGCCTCTTTGAAGGGAAGAAAGCAAGAAGATGATAACTTTGGGTGAATCTTCCTTCTATTTAGGGGAGGACAAATGAGCAGGGGATAGTCTACAGACTCTGAGAAATTCACCTGTGCCCCTTTACCCATGCTGCTTGCCAACAAGAACCGGTACAGGCAAAGCTATTAGAGAAAATGTTCAGGTTGGGAGTGGTGTTGTGCTACAGATAGGAGGATCTCTTAAGTGAACTCGAGACCAGCATTGGCAAATGTAGCCAAACTCTGAAAAAAAGATGGTGTAACCTATCACTAGTTTACATCAAGGATGGTATGAGGAAAGTGAGGACAGTCTGTGTGTTCTCAGTAGGCTCCTGTGTTTGGGCTCTGCTGTTTTTTAGCCTGTGTCCTTATTCAATTAACTAACACTATGCAAGATGTAAAATAGGACACAGGTACCACCTCCAAGCCCTCCTGGGCCACAGGGGAAAGCAGAACAATTGCCACTCACCAGCGAACTGATCAAGGCCCTCCACTAGGTGAGGCAAAGGGCTCTCCTTCATGAATGAAAGGCACATCTTCCTCATTCGTTTTGTGAGCTTTGGCAAGCGACGCAGAAGCTCCCCTTCCATAGAGAAAGGAGTAGCACTTGGACACTGTTCTGGAATTGTGACCTATGAGACAGAGTACTGGTTAGTCTAAGAATGACAGTAATAATTTTAACCCGCAGGAGTGCTAAATTTAAGTGGTATATACACAAGACCTTAGTTCAGCATAAAATTATCACGATCTCAGAAGTCTCATAACAACACATGTAGTAGCACCAACGTTAAAGTGCGCATATATTTTGAATATTTAGAAAACTGTTACTGCTTTGTATGAGATCACTGTAACAGCAGCCCCCCCCCCACTAACATTTTCTATGCTAATCACAAGAAGACTCTGGTTTTGAACACAGCAGAATGAAAATAAAACTGCTGCCCCTGAGGTACTTAAGCCACACTGCTTCTCAGACATACAGCTAGGCAAAATCCACCATCTCCCATCCAATCCCTCATTAACAGTTCAAATATTAGGAATTTAGATATTAGATGAAGGAAGAGCTTTCATATTTTGGGGTATATTTTCATTATTTTTCTTCGTGAAGAATCCATGAAATTCCTGTTACTGTCATTAGCAAATCACCATTTTTAACTAGAATGACAGATGCTTAAGCTGGTGAATGCAACAGAAAGAAAAGAAATTTTGCAGTCATATGGCATCATCCTCTATACTATCCCCCAAGCTAGTACCTGCCTAGCTGGTGGCCAGACTAACAAGGTCTCCCTCAGTGCTCTATTCAGACACTGAATGGGAGATGTCTCACTCATGGCTTCATCTGCTGGCCTGGGCAAAAAGTCAGGCTGTTCTTCCTTGTCACTCTCCACCAAGCATGACCGGCAGGGCTCACTTAGAACAGCTTCAAATTTCTTCATGAATTTAAAAAGGGTCCTGACCACGGATAAAACAGAGATAAAAAGAGAAACATGGACTTAAAACTAAAGAAATAATTTTCAAAAATTACAATGCTTACACACATAACTTAATAACATGTACTTTTTATATACAACGATCTCCTTCAATATTCATAATCATTTTTGGGGGGGTACCGGGGATCACCCTTGGAACCTTGCGCTTGCGAGGCAGGCAGCAGAACCACTGAGCTAAATCCCCAGCCCAATCATTTTAATTTTTTAAGAGAAAAAATATGGCAAGTATTATTATCTCCTTTTCTAGAATACTAGAGCAAGGAATGGTGGGGTTGCTTTGCTCAAGATAAACAGCTATTTTGTAAATGGAAAGGAGACTAAGGGGGAGGAAGGGGAGGACAAGAGACATAAAAAGAATTAAGACGGGGCCAGGGATTTAGCTCAGTGGTGCCGCCGCCTGCCTCGAAAGCACAAGCTCCTAAGTTCGATCCCCAGTGCCAAAAGAAAGAATTAAGATGTGTTATATATATATATACCACCTCCCCACAATGAATGTAATCATAATGCACTGCAAACAAGCACTAACAAGAAAATCTTTTAAAAATTATAAAATAGAGGTCATTAGTCCAATACACTTGATGAGTTACAGAATTATGAACTATTAAATGGATATTGTGTTCATTAAAAAAAACAACCAGCTAATGAGTGGCAGAGACCAGCTCTACTAGATCAAACAGTTTGCTTTGTCTCAAGGCATACTCATTCTTCTTGCAGACAGACTTTGCTCTGGGTAACACTGGGGTGGCATAGGAAGCCACACCAACACAATTTAGTGAAATGGGGGGGTTGTTTGTTTTTTGAAGACAGAGCCTTGCTATAGTTCAGGCTGGCCTTGAACACACTATGTAGCCCGGGTTGGCCTTGAACTCTCAGCGATCCTCCTGCCTCAGCCTCCCAAGTGCTGAGACTACAGGTGTGTGCCACCATGCCCAGCCTCTAGTGAACTTTTGTAGAAGTTTAAGGCGTTTGTATTAAGTAAGGCCATGATAAGAATATAGCCTTGCAGCCTCCACGCAAAATTATGAGTTTTGGTCACACCTAGTTTTAAAAAATAAATTACCTATGTGTCTTTTCCACAGATTGTTTAATGGACCAGAAGCTGACATCATTCCACCTCGATATCTTAACAAATTCCTGAAAGATAAATGAGGTTCAAGAAATGGCTTATAAAGCTGGTGTTATTCTGTTTCTTGCTAGATCATCTGTTTGCTAAAGACCAGCGCCCACATCATCCACACACAGGTCTGTGTGTCGAGGAACAAGTAATATAAGTGTAAAAGGGGAACCATACATTTGTCATAATGCAATCAAAAAGAGCTATAATCAATAGGCCATTTGATATGTACTCCATCTTAGAAGTCACTGAGTCAATACCAGGGTTCCTTATCACAGGGTTGGTTTCACAACCACTGAAAATGTCAAAAGGAGAGGGCCTTCCTTTCCCCACAGCAGAACCCAAACAACATGGCACATCTCTGAGAGGGACAAAGTGCCTGGGCAAGCCCAGGGGAGCACAAACCTTCAAGGAACCTGAGGCAGGGGCTGCTCCACTGACCCCTCACATACTCGGACAGTTAAGTAGCGGAGCCAATACCACACAATGACAATTTTGTCATCCTACCTAGCAGTTGCGATGCTTGCCTCTACTCCCCCTAGTACCTGCCTCGTTGTTAAATGTATAAAAGAATGGAATGGAGAAAAAGAATATTCTGATTTTGTTCTCCTAAGGGTGATCATGACAGCTGTTTATCTTACTTTAAGTTCTTTTTCCAGGGGGGACCGAAGTTCCACAATTTTGACCTGGACTCGGTCAAAGAACTGCTCGTAATAATGGTACAAATTCCACAGAACACTGCAAAGTGAATCTGGAAGAAATGAAAAGGAAACAAAAACATCACATTTGCTGCATTTGCTACCGGTGCCACCTATGGTCTTCACATTTCAGTGATGATCCTTCCTCATTACTCTTTTTTTGGTACCAGGAATCGAACACGGGACCTTGCACTTGGCAGGCTGGTGCAGCACCACTGAGCTAAATCCCTGGCCCCTTCCTCATTACTCTCTATTATGAGGTTACAGCACAATTCACAAGCAGATTAATTTAAGGAACCGGTCTGAGCTTAGCAGAAATGCAGGCTGTCAACCCTATCCTATTTTTCATTTCAGCTTAAAGCACATTTTTTTGTTGCACTTTTGTTCTTAGAGATGTTGTACACAGAGTTTCTTATAAAATCACTATTTCAAACTCTTTCTCTGAATCTTATAAAATCACACTGCACCTATCTTAAAGGATGGCACATAAAGAGGTTCACTTCAACTGCTCAATCATGTGTAGTGTAGTTAAGACTCATTTTTTAGTGACAGTTTTATCCAAACCCTGCTGTGGTCAAGGACAGTTTTATGTGCAGTTCCTTTATCCATGGCAGTGCTCTCACTGGATCAAAGAACATAATAATGGCCTGTATCAAGCAGCAGCTTAGCAGAAAATATATAATGTCTAGACAGACAGATGTGCTGCCTTGACATGCCAGTTCCTAAGAGCTTCATTTGTCAATTTACTTCCGCAACAGTTCACTGTCCAGTGGTTCATTTATAAATCAGCCTATATTTTGAATGTTCTTTTCTGTATCTAGTGTGAATCACATTAAAGTTAAAGATGATTAGAACTGTCTTTTTAAAAATCTGGTGTGCAACAACGTACCTGTCTCATGTGGAAAATTAAAAGCATAGCCCAATTAGCAGTGCAGTTTACAAAGAAGGGGAAAAAATTTTCTTACCCTTTCCTTCAACTTGTGGCATTAGCAAAACATGACAATGGAAAACCAGTAACATCTGAAGTCGCACATGGAATTCTCCCAGAGAGGATCCTTCAATAAATGCTTGTAACGTGCTAACCAGCAACATCAGGGTCATCTGTTTGTCATCTTTATAGAGATTCAAAAAGGAAAACATGTATGGGCCTTCAGCCATTACTGCCTACTCTAAGCGCATTCAATCTACTATGGGATATACCAAGAGTTGGCCATTTAGGTAGAGACCACAATTAAGGTGAAGCTTTGAAGCAAGGATCGTGGACTTACTTAAAAGTAACAGTTGTATATAAGGTGTGTACTCACAGCACTCATATCAAATTATGAAAATGAATTACAAGGTGCTTGCTTTAAGTACGAAACACTTAACTCAAGCATGTTAACTTCTACCTACCAAAAAGGCAACCTTTATTTTGACTTTATCTTTGGACACAGAGAATAACACAACCTTATCATATAACTGGTCTCCAGACTTGGATAAGTCACTTGAACCTGACTTTTCTTATTCTCCCAGTAAGACTACGTACACAGCTTTCTTGGCTGACCTCTGAGAAACAGGAAGTCAAATGATACCTCCTAGGTGAAAGCAGCAATGAGAAGAAAAACAGGAGCAGGTAAACGTAACACTCTGCAGTACTCAAATGACCAGGCAGATCCTGCCAGGCTTTACCTTCATGATCCTCTGTTTGTTCCTGCATGTGCTTTTCAAGCATCTGATAGATGGAGAACCAGTGCTTGGTGGATTTTTCAGTGTGGCGTTTCATGGTATTATCTAAACTCATGGACCAGCAGCTGAAATATGAAGTAAGAGACCATGAAGGCACTTAGAAAAATCCATTTTGAACAGCTGAAATCACAAAAGCCGAAGCTAAATGCTCACTAGTCTCATAAACACAGACGGTGAAACAACCCAATGTGCTGCATCAAAAGTGAAGGCGTGTAAGGTCATTTTGATGTCTTGCTTTAAAATCTGTGATTAATAGTTAAAGAACAGATTCTTCAACTGCTATACTAAATAAACACTGAAGAAACTCAAATTCCAACAGACGGTAAGCTCATGAGGGGGACAGAGAGTCACTTACTTCAGCTCCAGTTTGCGCCAACGAATGATCATCTGACTGACCAAATTGATATGTTTGCGCAGGGACAAGGCTCGACTTGCGTTCTCCTCCCAATCCTAAAGAAACAAAGAGAATTCACTATAGCCACTATTAAACCCCTGAATTACTTCCTCCCCCAATAACATCTTGGACTTTCCTTGAGAAGACTACTGGGCCCTTAAGCACTTTTACAAGTAACTGCAAAGAGCTTAAAAGTACATCCAGCTTCAAGTTCTTTCTGGACACAAGGCAGAACTGTAGCAGGGTCAACGTTATAGGCAGGTTAAAAAAAAAAAAAAATCACTGGGTTTGTAGATTAGTGTTTGAATTCCTGCTGTTAAAGATCTGACCTTGGACCGGAGATTTAGCTCAGTGGTTACAGCACCTGCCGCGCAAGCGCAAGTTCCCGAGTTCGATCCCTGGTACCAAAAAAATAAAGATCTGACCTTGATCAAAATCAGTGATCTTTTCCTATCAAATGGGGAGGCACCAGCCACCTCAGTGGCTGTGTGGGAACAGAACAAGACAGCTTTGGAATCCCTCAGCCAGAGTGACAGCCTGCTAAACATCCTGGCACAGGAAATCCCTCAGTACAGGTGGATATCACATTCCACTCTCAAAGAGTGAGGCAGCTCATACCTACCATGTGAGCAGTGTAGTCACTTGGGCTGATCTCACTCACCCCTTGCCAGAAAAACCAAGGGTGTTTTTTACCCTTCTCCAACACAAAGTATAACTTTCTGTCTCTCTAACAACAAAGGTGCCACAAGACAAATCTGTCAAATTGTTAAAAAATTAAACAAGGAAAAGAGGGAATCAGCTTACCTGTGCTTTTGCCAGAAGGATCTCTAAGCCATTCAGGAACTTTGAGATGGGACTGGAAAGTGGGAAACTACGAATTCTGTCCATTACAACCAGTAGCTATAGAAAAAAAAGATTTGGGCATCTCAGCAGAAATATCAATGACTCAAAGTTACAGAATACCAAACAGAGTCCTGGCAGCAAGTTTTACTTTCTGCTTTGAGAACTGGATGAAAACTGCCAGGGCTATGGATCCAAGATAAACTTCATTAGCTGCATTACTCTAGAAATAAGGCTGAGTCTGAGAAGATAATTGCTCATTCTCTATACTGAGAGTTACTACAGAGTTGTGTGAAGACCAGAGCCATGTCTGAGTTGAAACTGCCAATCTTAAATAAGCAAGGTCTACTCCTAGTAAATAAGAAAATGCTTGTGTACAGACAGCAATAGTATGTGAAGAGCAACTCTTGAAATAAAATTTTGAGCCCTGAATTGAGGTTCTTTAAAGCTTTGTGGAAGCGAATGTTCCTGGAGCTGACATGAGGTCACATCCTCAGTGATTAGATTCCAGTGGGCATTTCATCCCTTAAGTGGCTGCCCTACCTGCTCAAGAGCAGGGTGTTCCGGCCAATCCTGCAGCAATTGACTGACAGCCTCTGAGAAACCCTGAAGCACAGGTTGACACTGTCGTGCTTCTGGCACATTGGGGTGCTGGTAGAAATCATAGGGCCCGGTGGGCGTCACCATCAGGTCTGATGTTGCTTCCCCACAGAGTGTGTTGTGGGAGATGGTGCAGGCTAAAAGTTGGCTGCCTAAGAATTGGTCATTCAGTTCAACACCTGTGAAGTTAACAAGACCATCATTAAAGTCAGTGCTTTATCAACAAATTACAAAGATGCCAGAATAATGAGCTAACTGGGACTAATGAAGCAGACATTTCAATGCTATTCTCCCCCAAAGCAACAACTAGCCTACAAAACTGTGACCCCTAATATTACAGTAGCTACCACAAGCTCTCTCAAATTTCTGGCATATATGCTACACAGGTAGAAAGTCAATGTGTTTAGGTAAAAAGAAGGGAGTAAAGAGTTTCAATTGACCTAATCAAATTCTCAGTTTTTGTAGCTATTCTGGGTTGAGTAGAAAGAAAATTTAAAGCTGTCTTCCTACTTGCATATGATAATAACAAGGTCACACAGGAAACAGCATCACACTCACTGCTACCAAATCACATTTTGAGAGATTAATTTCTGGATTCTCAGGTTGCTCCCAAGAATATATGATTTTTTTAGAAAAGCACTAAAGCTATTAAAAGGAAAGTAGAAATAACATTAAGGGAAAAGATCATGTAAACTAAGTCTATATCCTTTACCTGAAACGACCCCAATGATGAAAATCCATCGTATTGCACAATTTTAAATCACTTTTTAAAACTGTTAAATCCCTTAAACTAAGGAAACTATCAATAAAGAATTAAATGAAAATGAAGAATTCATTATTTTAGTTGTTTCATAAGTAGTGATTGCATCTATCTATTTTGATTTTCCATGAGTACAACAAAATTAAATGCCATACCCATCAGGGGGTAGAAATGTGTCACAAGAGATGCCCCAGTCTGATAGCAAGACAGAAACAGGCTGAGGTAGTCCTTTGTCTCATGTGATGGCACAGTCTGCTGCTGGTACCACAGGGACCGAGCAAAGTTGAGGCACAACTGCTGGTGTATCCGCATCACTGCTTGCATTGAACTTTGGGAGAGGAGAGCTGGGTCTGTGGCTGCTTCTTCTTGACCATCTGAAGTTCCTTTTGTCTCTTCTAGTACTGGTTCTACCAAAATATCTGCAAAGTCCTATAAATAAAGTTAAACTTTTAAAATTTCAAATGTGGTTGTAATCATCCTAAAAGGAAACTGAGAAAGACTCATGAACCATAACAAAATGACATATGCATTAAAGCCATTCAGAAGCGACGTATATGGTGTCAGGGTAATTAATTTCTAAACAAATCCTAACACCACCACCCTACCTTTTCGTGCAGTGGAAACTGTTTTCTGAATTCCCGTTCTTCCTCCTCCTCCTCACTCAAGGCTGTCCTGGAGCTCCTGCTCTTGTATCTGTACAGGCTGCTTTCCTGCTCCACCTTCTCTTGGGCTACACGTTCCTGTTCATCCCACTCATTGATGATCTCCTGAAAAGGAACATATGCAGAAGGCACTCACAATGAACACAGGCAAGATTTACACTAAGTTCCTCATGAAAATGAAAGTACCATGACTCCAAAACAAATAACAGCTAATATCCAAGAACCTAATTACTACTTAAGAACAAATGGGCATTGTTTTACTTCCATATATCTTTAGTAATCAGTTTAAGATACCCCTCGTTAAACACTTTCTAGAGTGAAGTTAATGGGAACTTCCTGCCTGGGGCTAGTAGTGCTTTGTGCCAAGGACAAGCTCAGGATTAGCTGTACTGGGAATGCAAATGAGACTGCATTTGCGAAGCATCTCCAGAAGCTGGCCCAGAGCTCAGGAAAGGAAACTTTGGACTAGACCAGAGGTAGGTGGTTCTAAAGTATTGCCAAGGCAGAAGTGGGCTATGCTTTAGCATAGACACATCTTGAATCTTCTACTGCCTCTATCATTATAGGTCCCTAAACTGGCAAAAAGTATAAACTCAAGAAACTAACAAGTGATGCTGAGGGTTGAGAAAATGAGCATATACCATCAAGGAAGATAATATGTACTGAAAATCCAAGTGTGTCTAATCTTTGTCCCAGCAATTCTGATCTCCAGAATTTATACCCAAAGATACACCTATAAGACTGTTTATTTTGGCCTTGTGGGTTTCTTCCCCCAAAATAATACAAATAAAATTACATATAAATGTAAATTTTCAATGACAGGAATTACTTAAATGACTTACAGCATATACACATGGTAGAAAATTAGGCCGTCACTAAATACGTGAAAAATACACAGAGTAGGGAGGGATAATGATTAAGTCTTATTAAATTTTATAAAACAGAATAAGCTTTTTAGCACTCTGCAGCTTTATAGTTCTTGCATTTTAAGGACAGGTATCAGGATGGACCATGAACCTTAACCAATACAACTGTTTTTTCTGATAAATATTGAGTAACTATGCTAAGTTTTACATCTTTTTTTGGTATCGGGGATCGAACTCGGGTCTGTGCGCTTGCGGAGCAGGCAGCAGAACCACTGAGCTAAATCCCCAGCCCAAGTTTTACCCAGCCAAGCTGCTGCTACTAAAAAAAATCTGTAAACTCCTGAGACACAGTATCTAAAAAAATTTAGTGTCAGAGACACGCATCTGTAGGAATATATCTAACACATGCATGTGCATGCAAGCTTAGAATGGGATATACTAGAATGTTAACAAGGTTAGTGATAGGAGTATTTTAAAATTTTGCTTATACTTACTCTAATTGCCTACAGTGATAAGACATTTTTGTTTAATAAAGGAAAATGAAGGTATTTTCTTAACATCGATAAAAGCTAGTACAATTACATGGCAAAACCACTGTCAACAAAGTTGAAAGATGATCAACAAAGTAGGAGAAAATGTTTGTAGTGAATTTCTCAAGTGTGATGTTTAGTATGAGTGTCAACTTGACTGGCTTTGGGATCCTCCCCGAGGAATTGGTAAAGCACACTTCTAGGTGTAACGGAGTGGGTCATACAGATGTAACTTTGAAATTTTATATCTCATTCTTGCCCCTTCCTCTCTGGCACTGTTCCCCTGTTCTGCTTCTTGGCTGCCATGATCTGGGCAACTCTGTTCCACCAAACCCTTCTGCCATGTTTCTGCCTTGCAGCCAGTCCACCAAGAAATGAGTCTCCTGAAACTGTAAACCAAATTAAACTTCTTCTCCTTTAAGCTTTAGGTGTCAGGTATTGTATCCCAGTGACAGAAAAGCTAATACAGAAAATTTCTATCAGAGAAATAGGCTCATTGCTGTGACTCTACCTGGCCATGTGGTTTAAAATCCTTTGGAAATGGTTGGGGGGCAGCAGCTGAAAAGACTTGGAAAAGGAGGCTTGAGAGCACCTAGAATGTTGCAAGTACATCAGGAAGGACGAATTTCATCAGCTCAGAAGACCAGAATACTCACATGAATGCAAGCAATAAAGGACCATCTCAGAAAGTTTCAGCTAAGAACAAGGATGCCAATGGGAGTTGGATTAGAGGCTGTGTGTGTTACACTCTAGCAGAGAATTTGTCTACATCTTGCCCATGTCCTGAGACTTTGCAGGAGACAGAGATTAAGCTTATTGAACTAACTGATTTGGTGGATGAAATTTTAAAGTAGCTCAACATTTAGTCTGTAGCATGGATACTGCTAGTAGGTTTTAGTCCTATTTACAGTGAGACTCAAGAGGCAAAAAGTAGATCAAAAAAATCTGAAAAACTTAAAAAATTTTGCCCAGATGAAACCATGCATAAAGCTAGGGCCAAAAGAGGTGTGGCTGCAGAAGAGATTAGCATCATTCAAAAGTTCTTTGTAGGCCTCAGGATTTATCTCAGTGGCAGCGCGCCTGCCTTCTAAGCTGCCTGCCTTCTAAGCGCAAGATCCTGAGCTGGATCCTCAGTACCACAAAAAAAAAAAAATGTTCTTTGTACATGGACAAGATGACTTGAGGGCACCTCAAGAATCAGCAAGATCCCTTCTATAGTAGGCTTGGGGTGTTAAAGTATAAAAGTTTCATTTGAAAAAGAGCCCTGGGCCCCCTGCTTGAGAAGGGCCATCTAAGAAAATTAGTTCCTGAGGACTCATTTCACAGGGGTCAGCTATCCAGGTACTCAGAAACTGCTGGGGCCATGGTTCAAGGGAGGCCAGCAAGAAGCCCCTAAAAGGACAATGGATGAAGTTATGGAAATAAAGCCAAAGGTACAATGGAGACTCTAAGTCAGAGATGCCAGGAAGTTGCATGATCTGCCAAGGAGAGCTGCAGCCTTGAGTGGAGCCAGCTGAAGAGAGAGAGAGAAGCCATGTGTGCTGAAGCTAGCAAGGCCATACAGTTGGGGTTGCTCAAGCCCTCTGGAAGCCATACCTCACCATGTGCCCTAGATATATGACATGAGAAAAGACTTACTGTTTACCTTGCTGGGTTTCAGTCTTGCTTTGGTCCTATTATTCTTTTCTATTTCCCTATATCTCACTTTTAGAATGGGAATGTTTACCCTGTGCTACTCACTGTACCTTAGGATCATGTAACTTGTTTTTGATTGTTACAGAGGTTCACAGCTAAGAGTTTGCCTTGAGTCTTAGAAGAGACTCTACTTGAACTTTTAAAAAATGCTGGAAGGGCTGGGGATTTAGCTCAGTGGTTCCTCCACCTGCCTTGCAAGCACAAGGACCTGAGTTCGATCCCCAGTACCAAAAAATATATAATAAAAATAAATAAATAAAAAATGCTGGAACAGCTGACACTTTGGATAGTGTTCGCAGTTGTATGCAGAGCAAAAGTATTATGTTTGATATGGGATTATGAACTTGTCTTTATTTAGAGAGACTAAGTAGTTTAAGAAGATGTGTTGGGTGTGAAGTTGACAAGGTATGGGATATGGCAGTTAGAATGGAGTGTCAATCTGACTGGCTCTGGGATCTGCCTGCGGGATTGGTGGAGCACATTTATGGGTGCGTCTAGGTGGGTCATGAAGGAGTGGCTTTTGAGCAAGTCCTTTTTATCCCTTCCTCTCCAGCACTATTCTCCTGGACCTGCTACCTGGCTGCCATGAACTAAGCAGCTTTGCTCCACCAAGCCCTTCTACCATGTTTCTGCCATCCGACCACAGACTAAATCCCCTGAACCATGAGCTAAATAAAACCTGTCCTCCTTTAAGTTGTGGATGATGGGTACTGAGTCCCAGCGATAAAAACCTAACACAAGTGAAGGCTAGCATCACTAATTGTTTTCTTAATATCTTAAAAACCGAGAGGCAAAGCCCCTCAAACCTGGTAATTAAATGGGAAAAAGAAAGGAACAGACAAGAATTCCCAATTCCCAAACACTGTTTCTATACTTGCCAAGTAATCCTATTGTTCTGCAGAGCACCCTGCTGTGCACCCAGAGATGGGCTTACCTGACACACATGTCTGAAGAGCAGCAGGGCCCTCTGGTCTAGCTCACCCTTGCACAGCACATGGGAGTGCAGGTAAAGGAGAGCGTTCATTAGCAGCTGTTCCCGGGTGGGGCAAGGTTGCTGGCCTTTGCCTTCTGGCTCCTTTACTCCCAAACGTTTGATGATCAGCTTCCCAAGGCCTCGAAGAACCTCCTCTGACTTCACCAAACACAAAGCATCCGCATGAGCGTAGTAGGTGGGGAAAGTAGGGCCCACTGATGGAAAAGCCAACAAAGCTGTGGCCAAGGCCCCGAGCCTATCTGTAATCACACTGCTATGGGATGCGGTGTGGACTTCAGATGCCACAAGTCTCATACCATGCTGTAACTGCAAGATGGATGCCTGTAGTGGGGTCACGATGTCTGGATACAGGGCATACTCCTCCCCTAATCGCTTTCTGAACTGGTGGTGTGACTGCTGCCAAGAAGCCTCCTCTTTCAGAAGGCTCTGGGCCACCTGGGAAGATCGCATCCCATCTGTAAGGAGAGCCTGCAGGAGCCTTGAGAGCAAATCCTGAACACTGTCAGCCTTGGCAATGCTGGTGACATAGTGGTGGATTTCCTGTACCAAGGATTCATAGGCTGGCAGCTGGGGCCTGAAAGCCTGCTTCTTTAACAGCCTACAGACTGAATTTTCCAGCTGATCAATCCTTTGGCGAAGTAACCTAAAGGCAAATTAACATAATATGCAAATTCTGTCAGAAGAGTAATAAATTTGGATTGGGCCCTCAGCTGAGAAGAGAATGCACATATCAGCTGCTGAGGACATGAGGATAATATTGACAATTATAATGAAAATGGAAGTAATAACTGTAAAACATTTACCACATGCCACATTTTGCTAGCACTTTAGACACTCACATCCAGCTTCTTCCATGCTGGCCCCATGTGAATTCACACCGTGATATTGTCCCCCTTCTTTTAAAGTGTATCATTTTCCTGACTATAACAAAGGCTTTGGGGTATATAATTGCTAATAAAGTTCAGAGATGTACATCATCACTTAACACTATAATTACATTGGAAAGGTAAACCTTATAATGTCTTTTTCAAAAGTAGAGTTAATAAACTCCAATACAAATCACTTTGCTGCCTTACCTGACATGAGGATGAGAGTAACTGACAATCACTTCATCTGCCAGGTCTCTTCCAGTTTGCAGCTGGGATGACAGATTTCGGATCTTTTGCTCACATTGCAGCTGATGTAACTAATGATAAAAGTGAGAAAATGGTCTGTTGCGTTCCATGCACATGAGACAATACCCTGATGTCCTGGGATGGGTACAGGAACAAGATGGAAGTAATCTGGGTTCCTAAATGACTAAAAGACAGATGATTCTACTCCACTGATACGGACCACTCACCTGACAACTGTTATATCACTAAATTTCTGAGTCTCTCCATAGCAGCATAGCCTTCACCCTAACATAATTTTCCTTACTCAAAATATAGTAATAGTATATAACAGTCTTAATGTAGTCAATCCCTGAATTTGGCTGGAAGTTCAAATAGCAAAGATAACCACATATGAATCTACTTTATGTCTGAGTTTTAGATAATAAACACCAAAATTTCAGAATCCCAGGGTGTAAGGATTATTCTCTAAAACAGTAATCCAAATTCAAATATCCAAAACCTAATTCAGGTAGAAAGAGCCTGGACAGTGAGGAATACCACTATTTCTGACAGAGCCTCTAGTATTCTACCTTCTTGGTCTTTGCTCATCACCCCTATTGGCATATACATCAGAAACTTAGGAAGAGCCCCTCTCTAGCCTAAACCTAGTCAAAAGAACTCTCAAAGAGGAAAAATAGTTTTCAAAACAGACACATAGGAAGTCACAAGGTAGCTTATGCAAAATAACTTGATAATCTGAGAAGCCACAAGGGAGTAAAAAGAGCAGTACCCTAAGCAAATCCATTAAGTCAGGGAAAGAGCATATGCTTCAAATTCTTGCCTCCCATACCTCCTCCTTGGCATACTTGAGCTTGTATTCTCTCTTCACTGCAGGGTCGAAGCGTGTCTGGGGAAGCCAAGTTTCAATCTGGAGCAAGCCAAGGCTCACCCAGAGGCTCCCACGCTGGGCAGGCTCTGACAAGTTCCTCTTACTCTCCCCTTCTCCAAAAAGGTAGTGCAGGGAAGTAAGCAAGAGACAGAGCAATTCCTTGGGCAGTGCCTCATGACCAGCCAAGTCCCCAAGAGTCTGGCAAATGTGCTGGAAGGCCTGGCTGTCCCCAAGCAGCAGCTGCTCACAGTTCTGCATGTACTCCTGCCGCCGGGGCTCTGGGAACAGCTCTGCAAGGCCCATCAGGTGCCGACACAGCACTAGCCCCTGCAGCTGGGAATCTGTGCGTCTGTGGGGACAAGGAAGCAAGTAAGGTTTCACACTGTAGCAAAACTATCCCTTTTATACACTATTATTCTTTCAAGAAATGCTAACTATAGATCTGGAGTTGAATTTCTGCTCTCATGTAATCCTTTTATGTGATTTCCTAAGCATTATCTTCCCCATCACGATATGCTTAAAACAGAGGAGCCAGCCAATTCCTCATGGGCTCTCATGAAGTAAAAACACAGGTCCACATGGAAAACACCTTCACTATAGCGCCCACCAGAACCAGTCACTTCAGGAGCAAGTACTGATGGAGCCTCTGCTCCATGCTCTGTAGAACACAGAGGAGCTTTACTGACTCCTTTCAGCAAGAAAGAATACCTGAATTCTGCTACTGAAGGGACAGCCAGGTTGGTCCAAAGCAATGAATTAATGTCCTGGAGCTGCTGGACTCTCTCAACCCACTCTCCCAGGGTGACATGTGAGGAGGACAGAATAGGAAGGCCGCTCACATCCCAGGGACCTGCTCTGCAGCTGTTGGTCAAGATTTCAAAGCAGCACTTCGAGAACACAGCTGTACAGAAACTGCCAGGGCCCTGAGGGACAACCGAAAAATTAAGTAACTTTTAGAAATTTATTAAAATGACTTCACCAAGCAGATTTGTGGCACCTTAGAGGAAAAAAGAGAACAGAGAAATTCAAGTTTCTTGGAACTAGGGAACATCAGCCAGATATGAGACCAGGTGTTATTCACGTGTCTGATTATTACAATTTAAAGCATTTTGCCCTTCTTTGAGTATCTGTAAGAATGATCATCTTTTCACATTTGTTGATCATTTTCTCTGAACTTTTCAGTCATACTTACTGTTCAGTTTTTAAAAATATTGATTTGTCTCCTGCCTCGCAAGTGCAAGGTCCCGAGTTTGATCTCCGGAACCAAAAAAAAAATTTATTTGTTCAGTATCTATTTATTTATTTTAGTACAAAAGATGGAACTCAGGACCTTGTGCTTGCGAGGCAGGTGCAGTGCCACTGAGCTAAATACCTGGTCCTAGTAACCTTTAAATTGTAACAATCAGACACGTGAATAACACCTAGTGTGTTAAGCATATGGGAAACAAGTCCTTGAACATATCAGGAGTGAAACTGCTCTGGTTCAGAACCTTCCCTTCCTATAGTAGCCCAGGGCTTCAGGGCCTTGTGTCTATGTCAGTTCCTCACATGTTTAAAAAGTTAAAAAAGTCAACTCCCTCAACAGTCTGGTATCAGACCCCCATAAGTGTGCGCGCACATGTATGTATGTATGTATAGGCGGATATTTATAATCTATTTATGTGTTACATATTTTACTATATACATATATACTTAACATACAGTAACGCTGACCAAAGGTTAAGTTCTAAAAAGTTATCTACAGAAATACCCAAGACAAATGCAAATGCAAATTTATACAAGGCTACTCAATTCAGCTATGCTTGTTAAAAGGAACAGAGCCCTCGGCCATCACTGTCGCCTCCTTCTGCCGCTCCTGGAGCTGCTTGTGTGCTCGTTCGGTGTGGACCTGGTACCTCTTGTGAAGCGGCAGCTGAGAAGACTCGGGCGGTCGCTATGGCCGATGAAAAGCCCAAGGAACGAGTCAAAACTGAGAAAAGGGCCGGGGATTTAGCTCAGTGGATTCATGGCCTGCTGTGCAAGCGCAAGGACCCGAGTTCAATTCCCAGTACCAAAAAAAAAAAAGACTGAGAACAACGATCATATTAATTTGAAGGTGGCAGGGCAGGATGGTTCTGTGGTGCAGTTTAAGATTAAGAGGCATGCACCACTTAGTAAAATAATGAAAGCCTATTGTGAACGACAGGGTTTGTCAATGAGGCAGATCAGATTCCGATTTGATGGACAGCCAATCAATGAAACAGACACACCTGCACAGCTGGAAATGGAGGATGAAGGTACAATTGATGTGCTCCAGCAGCAGACAGGAGGTGTCTACTAAAAAGGGAACCTGCAACAACTCTACTCCAGAACTCTGTTCTTACAGACCAAGAATACATTCTCAATTAGAAAACTGCAATTTGGTTCTACCACATCCTGACTACTACAGTACAGTTTTCTCTATTCTTTCATTTACCCCTTCCCCATTCCTTTATTGTACATAAAGTATCTGGCGTATGTGCATAAGCATATTGCATTTTTTTTTTTTTTTTACTAAATGGCCAACAATATGTTTTGATTGACATCAGATGGAGACGGGATGGGGAGATACTGGTTCTGTGAAAATAATTCCCTCTCTCCATTAGTGGCATGCTCATCAGCTCTTATCTTTATATTCCAGTAAGTTATTTTGCTCTCACTGTTTTAACAGAAAAGACAACATAAAAATCCTTGCATATCTTGTTTGATTGGAGAATTTTAATGTTTTTCATGTATCACTGTAAAACCAAGGACAATTTTATAACTCTCTTGTACGTAGCTGTTACATGTAGGGCAATCTGTCTTTATGTAGGAGTATATTACTCTTTAAAAGAAAAAGAATCCTAGGATAGTTTTCCCTTTAAGTCAAGTGTCTTGTTGTTTAAATAAACTTCTTGTTTAAAATGAAAAAAAAAAAGGAGCAAAAAGACAAGAAACTTCAACACTTATCAATAAAAAAGTGATTACATAAATTCTGGCATGTCAGTACAATGAAATAACTTAAAGAGAATAATATGGAATGAAATATACACATTTCCATGTGAAAAAAGAATATTATTTTTGTTTACATGTATATATTATACTGTAAACACAAAAACCCAGAGCAGATCCGTTATTTCTAATATATATACACACATTTCCGTAGTTTAAATACTTTGTAATTAGAAAATCTTCTTAAAAGAAACTTGTATGACTGTAACTCAGAACTGCACAAATCTTTTAAGATGAAACACATGTTTTGACAGAATGGCTCTTAACATCTCACAGAAAATAAACATATCGCCATCACCTATGTAGTCAACTGCTTTCTCCTAGGAAAATAATGTTTACTGCTGTATCTGTTTGGAAAAAAAACAATTTTTTCCCATTACCATCAAACATTTTTATGATTTTATACCAACAAACCTTCAACGTGGAGTCCAAAAGGGACTTGGGTACCTCTTTCTGCTGCATACCAAGCAGAGGGTTCCACGTTAGCCAGAACTCTGGATTTGTGGTGACAGTACTGCTCCAGAAAGATGTAAATGTGGAATTAAATAACTCAGACCACAAACAAGTAATTTCTTCAGCAAACACCTAGAGATAAAGGAACAATTAGATAAAATAATATTTGAAGATTCTATAAATCAAACTTGGATGAAAACTGAATCAAATTCAATGGTTAAGGTACAATGTTGACCTTACACAAAAATAATTCAATTCTAGCCCAATCGGGTTTGCGACGAGAATCGTGGAAAGAATTAAGTTCATGAACCAAGGTAGCACTGTATTTTTGAGCAAATGGGAAAATTTTAAAAATCAAGTATCTTCACCTCACTTAACTGGAATCAAATGTTCCCATGTTAAGAACTGTGGTACACTTTTGCAATTACTGCAGAAGAACGTTCAAAATTCTCCCACTTCAAGAGGTAATTTAGGGCCAGGGGTATAGTGCCATAACACAGTGCCTGGCTGGCAAGCTCGAGGTCCTGAGTATAATCCGCAGTACCAAGGCGGGGGGTGGGGGGTGTGGGGGGTGGAATTCAGATAAATCTGGGGTTGGGAAAATAGTTTTTGTCGTTTGTTTTGGGGGTTTTTTGGCAGAACTGAGGATCAAACCCAGGAGTATTCTACATTAACCTTCATCCCTGGCTATTTATTTTGAGACAGGGACTCACTAAGCTGCCCAGGTTGGCCTCAAACTTAAAATCCTCCTCCCTCAGTCTTCCCAGCAGTTGGGATGGCAAGGTATGCCACCATGCCTGACTACAACATGGAATATTGAGAGTAAATAAAACAAATGGTTCTATAACAAGTCTGCCATAGAAAAATCTACTTAATTCAGTATAAAGGAGGCTTATTTCCTTTTTTTTGATTTTGATTTACCTTCTTATAATGCAGCAAAGACCAAAGATCTAGAAGTTCTTGAGAAGCCACTGGTGTGTGTTTAAGACAAAATGTGATATGATGACTTATCTCCTCATCTATCCAAGGTTGTTGATTTTTACTAGACCTGTTCCAAAAATAAACAGAGATAGGTTGGAATAAGGACTATCAAAAAACTACTAGAGGGCTGGGGATTTAGCTCAGTGGCACCGCGCCTGCCTTGAAAGCACAAGGTACTGAGTTTGATACCCGGTACCGCAAAAAAGTTAATTAATTAATTAATTAACTACTAGAAAACTGCTATGTACAGGAAGACTATGCACAAAATATCTGGTGCACTTTTTTAAAAATTAGAAACTCTACTCATAAAACACCTTCTGAGTTTTAAGGGTGAACTGAGGACAAGCAAAGAATCATCGAGATCTGGCTTTCCAAAGTGGCAAGTGACCCCCTGTGCTTCACCAATCATTCCTCCACAAGACAAGTCTCTGTTTTGTTTACATACAGGATACAAAGAACAGTACAATAACAAAATACAGTACCTCAAAGGAAGGAACTTTCATTTTTTAAAAAAACTTACCTTGTCAGACAGACCTGTGTCATAAAATCAGCTGTCACTTTGTACCGCCAAAGAATAGCCAAGTACTCCATTGCAGGCCACAACTGAACACTCCTGGTGAGTTGGATTAAAGAGGTAAAATCTGGCTGGGACAAGGAGGAAGCTTCTCCAACTTTTTCTTCCAGAAAACCAAGTGGAAGACCTTTAGCTTTCAGTTCTGAACACTGAACACTCACAAGATTCTTCAGTTCATCTTTAATTTAGATCAAAATAAAATGCATTAGAGCACATTGGTCAAAATGCCTGGGTCTAAATTCCCAACAGCTAGCAAAGTGACTATGAGCTTAACCTGAATTAATCAGTTAGGTTACTCAAATTAAGCTCACCTCTTAAGGAATATTAATTCCTGCACATATCCAGTGGTGGAACTAAATAATGTGTGCAACATTTAGCCCAAATACTATCACTTATTCAATAGTATTTATGCCACACCCACAATGGAAAAATGTTAAGGGAAAAAAAATAGTCAACCAGCTAAATAACAGAATATATTACCCAGGTTGACATCTTCCAGAATATTGGCCCTCAGGATCATGGCCCAGGACTGCAGGAGATTTTTCTTTAATGTCCATTCCAAAGCAATCACTTGGAGACGATGCATGTCTTCCTGCCATCCACTCTCACCAAGGACAGGCATCCATTCCCTGATGGCAAGGGCTTTGTTAAGGACTTTCAGTTGTGAAAAACATTCCATCACTAGCTTGTCCTGAAACAATAAAACCCAGGAGAGCCAATTAAAGAGCTAAAATGTGGTTTATCTTAGCATACTAGATACGTCAAAGAAAAAAATTTGACATTTTCTTCACACTCCTAGAAAACAAGGCTTATTTATTCCTATTGCTCTGGAGAAATTTTACAATAAAACTCGACCAAGCCTTAGTAGTCTTAGGAAAATAAAATTATAATACTTAACAAATCAGCAGTATTCACAGAATAGTTAAGAGTTAAGCTTCTGCAGTCAAGGGTGAGTCTAAGTGAATGTCAGTTCCCAAATACTTGAGAAACTCAGAAGGGCTCAAATCTATTTATTTACTACACACTTCCTGGTGTACCTTAAAAGGAAATGGTCGTCCCAGGAACTTCTGCAATTTCTTTATACCAGTGAAGCCACCAGTTGGGCTACCCAGACAATTCTGAATATGTTCTGAGACTGTCTGAACCTCTTTGTAATATCTGTAAAGAAAAAAGGGAGAGAGGGATTAGGAAAAATGTTAGCTAGGAAGAGAAATTATTTACATTTTATTTTACTATATTCACCAATATGCCAAGGGAATAAACCAAAAAAAAAAAAAAGCAAGAAGAAAGTTTTAATTTCAAACCCTCTTAGGTATTAACGTTATTATTCTAATAGGACTCTTACTTGTCTTCATGATTCATCAGGAGTTGGGGAATCTGGAGGACCAAATGTTTTAAAACCCAGTGCCAATGGAGGGCAAGCAAAGCCAGACCTGGAGCATCCACTTTAACTGCATCAGCCACAGTCCAAAACCGGTCCCGCCACTGCACAGAATCTAGAATCTAAAAACAAAACAAAGCAAGACTGTTCACAAACACATCTCAGTAAAAGACACTGACAGAGACTCAATACTCAACATACATACATACATGGAAAGTCTAAGGCTAGACAGGAATATTTTTAGGAATATTAAGGCAGACAAAGCAAAGATCTTCTTTCCTAATACTTGAAGTGCAAGCCTACTACTTCAGAATAAAATGAAATTATTGAGTCACACATTAAATTGTCCATATTATTTTATAAGAAATTGCCAAATGTCTTACAAAGCAGCTGCACTATTTTGCATTATAACCAAAGGGAGTTCTGGTTGTTTCATTCCCTTTCCAGTTACTATCAGCCAATCACAATTCTTAGTGGTTGCTTGATTTTGTTTTTTTGGAGGATGGTACATCACTGTAGTTTCAACTGACATTCCCTTGATAACTGATGATGCTATAATTCTTCAGGTTCTTCCTAGGCATTTATTTATCTTTGGAGAGACACCTATTCAAACCTCTTATTCATCTTTTTTTTTTTTTGTTACCGGGATCAAACTCAGGACCTTGGGATTGAACTGAGGCCCTCACACTTGTGAGGCAGGCAGCAGAACCACTGAGCTAAATCCCCAGCCCTCAAACCTCTTATTCATCTTAAGAACTAGGTTTGTTACAATCAGTTTACATAGTCTATATATGTTTGTGTTTTCTCTTAGAAGTGACTATAAATGCCGGGTGGTGGCACACACCTGTAATCCCAGCATTCAGGAGGCTGAGGCAGGAGGATCACCTCAAGTTCCAAGGCCACCCTGGGCTACATAGTGAGTTCAGGGCCAGCCTGAACTACAAAGGGAGACCTTGCCTCAAAAAAAGAAAAAAAAAGAAGTGACTATAAAGGAAAACAAGTTTTGAATTTTATTCAAATATAATTAGTTTTTTCTTTCATTGAAAATCTAAGAAATCTTTGCATATCCTTAAATTGGATAGATATTTTCCTTCACTTTCCTTTAGGCAGCTCCTAATTTCATCTTTTCTATTTAAGTTCCATCCATTTTAAGGTAATTTGTATATTATGTGAGATGATGGGAAACTCAATTTTACTTTATACAGACATAGTTACATCATTATTTCTCATATAAGATGTTCTTCTCCACTTAATTACTCTTGCATTTTCGGCAAACAAAAAACATACACAGAGATGTGTGGGGAGTTTATTTGTGAATTCTCCTTTTTGTTTTATTTGTCTACAGGTCTATCCTTTGGATAGTTTTTCATTATCACTTTAGGAAACTTTAGGAAAATCATTTGAGAGTATTCTCGGGAGATTGGTCCTTGGACCACTATAGATAGCAAAATATGGTCATGAGTCCCCATATATAAAATTATATATTTACTTCTAATCTACATATACCTTCTTGTATACTTTAAATCTTGTATAGATTACTTCTAAAACATTAATACCACACAAAGGCTATGTAAAGAATTGTTATACTACATTGTTTAGAGAAAGAAGAATGACAAGGAAAATAGTCTGTACATTTTTAGTACAGATGTTCACTTTAAAAAAATAAATTTGCACCTGAGGTGGCTGAATCTGTATTCGTGGAACTTGCAGAAACAGAGTCAACTGTATTTGCTGCTTGTGATAAAATGAACTGTCAAGCAAAGCTTCTAATTTTGTAAAACTGAGTTTGACAAATTTCCAAACTTCCAAAATTTACAAACTTTTCAAATGAGAATTGTGACTTTTTACAAGCATGACCTTCTTTTTTATTCATCTAAATGAAGATATGTTGCCAACTCTGAATATTTCTAAGTATTACCAATGCATGAGCCACAAATTCACAAAATGCAAACTAGACCAACAGATTTTAATGCACAACAACTTCAGTGATATATTTTTCAGGTTCTACATTGCAAGTAATCTTTATAAAACTTTTTGTCAAGTTTTTGGAGTGCCATACAAGAAGAATATTCATGATTAAAGGAACTAGCTATTAAAGTATTCCTGCCATTTTCAACCTCAAAACTACAGGAAGATAGTTTTTCTTTACAAACTTAAACTCATGCAATATACTACAAGAGTCTGAGCTTTCTTCTCTTAATCCAGATATTAATGAGACTTGCAGAAGTATAAAATCCCATTCTTCTCATGTATTTTTATTTGAAAATACCTATTGTTATTATACAAATTACTCATATTAACTTAAAAAGGACTTTCATTTTTAGGTAAACTTATAATTTTTTTTTTTTTTTTGGTACCGGGGATTGAACTCAGGTCCTTGCACTTGCGCAGCAGGTGGCGAAACCACTGAGCTAAATCCCCAGCCCCACTTATAATTTTTTTTTAGGTTCCTCAGTTTTAATTCCTAATATGGTAAATACTGATAAATGTAACCAACATAAATAAATGCTCTCCACAGTTGCTGGTTAAGCTTTTAAGATTATAAAGGGGTCTTGAGATCAAAAAGTTTATGATCTTCTACTCTAGACTGACTATGATAATCTACTCAAAAACTCCATTTGACTTACATACGACAATGATATCTAAAAAGGCTTAAGTGAATTAAAACGTAACTTAAAAATCCAAATGCTCATCAACAGGTAAATGGATAACAAAGCATAGTACATTCACACAAGGAAGCATTAATCACCAACAAAAATGAATTAACTCTTGATACACAAAACCATTTAGAGCATCTCAAAATTATCCAGACATAAAAGAATATATGCTGCACAATTCTATATAGAGAATACGAAAATATTCTACAGTAAATGAAATCAGACCAATGGCTACCTGGTTGGGACTAGGGGAAGAAAGAGGAAAAAAAAAAAAAAGGATGTAACGAAATCTTTAGAGGTGGTGGATATGATCTGTTCACTATCTTGATTGTGGGGATGCCTTCAGTTACAGACAGGTCAAAATTTATCAAACTGAACTCTCTGAATATACACACTTTATAATATGTCAATTATATTTCCACAAAGCTTTAAAATATGTGGCTATATATTAAAACTAAGAACAGTTAGATTTCTCAAATAATACTGGATACACAGTAACAGTGAAGTTAATCTTGTCCCTAAGAATCTCTGGGTCAAGATAAGTCTTGATGTTTAAAATAAAAATAGGTGCATTGCCTTACCTCGTGGACATTAGCATCAGACACCATCCCCTGTGGAGACTGTACCCAGAGCAAGATCAATGCATCACAAAGTTCAAAAAAAGCAGCAAGATTGACCACAATTTCATGGGGCAGGCTATGATAACTCTCTGGATCTTAAAGAATTGAAATAAATAAAAGAACATTCCATAAGACATAAATTAATCTCTAGAAGTTTTCAAAATTAACCATAATCTAGAATTTACTGATATCCTTAATACAAAGGTCACTTCTGAAAGGTGAAAAAATAAAAGCAGCTATTCAGAAAGCTGAGGCAGGAGGATTACAAGTATGAGGTCAGCCTTGGCAACTCAGCAAGACCTTCTTCCAATATAAAAAATAAAAATGATTGGGGATATAGAGCATCCCTGGGTGGGGGAGTGAGCAAGCAAGCAACTAACTCCATGCCTATTATAAATAAGTTTGGCAGGGCCGGGGATTTAGCTCAGTGGTTCCAGTGCCTGCCTTGCAAGCGCAAGGTCCCAAGTTCGATCCCCAGTACCAAAAAACAAACAAACTATAAATAAGTTTGGCAGATGACACATGAAAACCTACCAATATAAATAAGATCTTAATGAAAAATGCAAGACACAGAACAAAGCATTAAATACAAAGTTATATATATAGTCTGTGTAGTCAATTAACACAGATGTCAGGGAGGTAGAAGTCAAACTACTATTAGCTCCTGCAAGGATGAACTTTTTCAATTTTTACACTTCTACGTAGTTTAAATTTCGTCCAAAAAGCATAGCTATCTTTTCAATTTACAAAAATTAAAAGGCAGAAATGCTCTCTTCTATAATCAAATGTTTCTATATATGTATTTTTTTGAGTCAACAGACCTACTTTTCAAGTCCTAGCTCTGCTGAGCATCTCTGTCTTCCTTTCCTTATTCATAACATGAAGACTTATTTCATACAATTGCAATAAAAGGTAAATGACATCAAGAATATGTGAAAAGCATTTAGCTAAGCACCTGGCACAGAGCCAGTGCTCAGTAAATGTTAAGTCATTACTACTGAGTAAGGGGATATGGCTAAAATGAGGTGAATGAATCAAAAGAAATCCGAACGGCAACAGGTGATGAATATGTCTCTTAACTTTGGCTACATAATAAAACCAGATTCTGAACTAAAGAAGACATCCTTAACCCTTTTTACTATATTTTGAGGTAGGTCTCACTAAGGCTGGCCTTAAACTTAGGATCTCCTGCTTCAGCCACCTAAAGTAGCTGGTATTACAGCCATGTGCCACCATGCCCAGCTTTAAGTAAAGAATACAAAAAGTAAAATGTTCTTACCTTTATGGAATTCAAAAGACATTCTCAAAACACTATTTAAAGTTTTGCCACCAATGGAAACCAAATTTGCTTCAGTAAAACTCCGTTTTTCCCGGTCAAGATATATAATTGTCCTGGAATGAAATTCAAAAACTTAACAAAAAGTTATGGGTTAATAATATTCTTTAATCATAGTTTCTATGCGTGGAATGCTTCAACCTCATGGAACATTGATGTCCTGCATCCTGCCATTCCTCTCCGTCTCTGCAAGGAGACTAGATAAAGGAAGTGCAAATGATGACTACAGTGAGGAAAGAAGACAGATGGACAGAGAAAACTGGGACTAGGGAGACTGCTGGACCTCACTCTACTCCTTTGCTGTGATCTAACAAACTGAACTCTTCAAAATGGCCACCACAGGATGTGAAGGTGATCTGGGTGTGGAATCTGTCTCCCATTCATCAGCAAGGCTGATTCCGCTGATCTGGCTGGCTAGGCGGGTGTCCCCTTCTCTGTCAACACTTCCTGATGTCCCTCCAGAAGCTGTGTGCAGTGGAAGAAGATAACCACTCCTGATAAAGGAGGACGATTTCCTTAGTCAAGCATATACAAGTAGCTGTTCTCCCTTGCTAGAATGTCCTAACAAAGTGGCTATCATAGAATTAATTTCTGGTATTAGAAGTTACCAGGGGAGGAGGCACAGCAACGTGGCCTCTGAGGTCCTAGAACAGACCACAAGAGTCATCATTTTAGTATACTGCTTTGCAATGCACATTATATTTCAATTATAAAATTATTCTTAAAATTTGAGCCAGGCCTGGTGGTGCAAGCCTATAATCTTACAACTTGGGAGGCTGAGGCAGGAGGATGAGTTTGAGGCCATGTTGGGCTACATAGCAAGTTTGAGGCTAACCAGACTACACAACAAAACCTTACCTCAAAAAAAATAAATAAAAGGCAAAAAATTACATGGCCCCTGTAATAAAAATAAAGACTAGTTTATATTATAACTACGTAAATTTACATGCAAGTGTGTATGTAAGTGAACAGGTACTATATATGTCTCCAACATGCGAGGATGGGAAATGATACAGACAGATGGCTAAGGAAAGGATGTGTGAGAGAACAGAGACAAAAATGGGAGGAGCTGCTAGGAACCAAAAACAGTAGAAACATGACTATCCTGCCATGAAAGATTAACCATTACATAAGTCTCACAATTTATATTAAGATTGAAGGCAAAAACGCCTAGCACCCCCACTACTTGTTAGGTTCACAAAATTCAATACCTATAAGTAACATCTGACAGTCGTAGGAAAAGTGTATTATATGAGGTTAGCAAGATAGTGGGCAGAGCTGCCTGCTTCACCTACTTGTTTGCAACTGATTCTAAGAGGGCAAAGAGTTGCTCAGGTTGGTCTGTCTGTGGATCAAAGTCCATCAAATTTCTAATGATGTCCAAAGCCTGCATATTCCATCGGGGGTCCAGAGGGATCACAAAGTCATCTAGTTTAAAAAAAAATTTTTAATTTTTTAGGTAAAAAGCTTTTCCTGGTTCAGCTGACTATTTTCACTGTTTTGTTTTGATTACCCTGAATCCCGAGTGGAAGAAGTGGAATAGAGAAATGCTGTGGGTTTTAGTCCATGAGAATACCTTTTATACTATTTACTTTCCAAATGCAAAATATCTAGAAGTCCTGAAAATTCATCCCACTACAGAATATAATCCACGCAAGAACATAAATATTTCATTTAATGAGTTCACTTCCTCAGACCCATTACTGATGTGTAAGAATCCTGGACTTAATTACCCCATCTCTCACCATTTGCCACCAAAACTTTTAATTTACATGAAAGAAAAAGAATGAAAATGTCTTATCTGCTTCCAGTAAGAAAAACAACTCCAGATGATTTTGCTTAAAAACAATTTCCCAGCCAAGCAACGTGGTGTATACATTGATGCCTCCACCTACTCCAGAGGCTGTCAAATGATGAGCCTGGGCAATGCGGATCCCGCCCCCCCCCCAAAACAAACAAAAAACAAAAACAACTACTGCTGTTTCTGCATCATAAATCTTTGACTCACACTTGGTACTTCTTCTGTATGGAGTTGCAAAAAGACTCTGACCCTCTCCAAAGGATGGTGCACACCTATAATCCTAGCACTCGGGAGGCTGAGGCAGGGAGATTGCCTTGAGATCAAGGCCAGCCTAGGCTACATAGTAAGTTCAAGGCTGGTCTGAACTACATAGCAAGACCCTGTCTCAAAACACCTGCTACCCCCCAAAAACTGAGGGTATAGCTCAATGTGAGGCCCTGGGTTTAAGATGTTCTCACTGGCTTGACCACCTATCGGTCAACTTGTGCCACTAGTGAGTCAAGCTGGCATTAACACAAAAAGTTCAAATCAGAGCCATGTGGCAGCAAGATACATGAATTACAGCCCCAGTGTGAACATGTTAATCATCAGTACTTAAAAAAAAAAAAGTGGAAGGACCTCAGATAAATAAAAGCTTAGTCCCTCTAGTTTTCAAACAAAGGCCAGACAGTGAATTATAAGCCAAAAACTGACAAGCTACTTTCAGGCAGAGTTAAGTCTAATCTTCCAACTCCCAGGTACATCAGCTTCCTTTAGATGCTAAAAGATGAATGGATAGTTTCAAACAAACAAGAAGAATTTGCATCTGGATATTCTGAGCCTTTTAAAAATTACTATTATGGTGGGAACTGTGACAAGTCTTTTCCCCATAAACTCAAAGGACAAGTTTCAAAAGTGGTGCCAAGAGCTAGAAATCAAAAGTGGGTGTGTACCTGTTATATTTGACTGTAATATTTTAAAGACATTAGTAACACCAGCTGAGAGAGAATTTGAGTAGAAGTTCCTAAGAGATGCAGCACTGGCTTCCAAATGAATCTGTATTGACTCTGTGGGGGAAGAAGAAATGACATTAGGACTCTAAAGCAGTGCTGTCAAAGAACTGTTATTGCTATACTGTCACATGTGAGTTCTTGAAATGTGGTTAATGCTATTAAAGAACTGGACATTAGATTTAATTTAGTTTTAATAAGTTTGTTTTTGAGCTGGACGTGGCGGCACACGCCTGTAAACTCAGCACTCAGAGGCTGAGGTAGGAGGATCTCCTTGAGTTCGAGGCCAGTCTGGGCTACACAGTGAGTTCAGGGCCAGCCTGAATTACAAAGGCAGACCCTGCCTCAAAGAAGAAAAAGTTTGTTTCTTTACATACAGTAGCTCTCTGTGGCTAGTGGCTATCCCACAAGACAATGCTATTTATAGAACACTTATAAAAGTTCTCTATATACATATTTAGATCACCATGTGTCACAAACATCTTCAATCAATTATCTATAAGCTTTCATGGAGTAGAAAGGTTCGTGTAAACACATTTACTTTAGCCAACAATCTCTACCAACAAATTTCATGTCCTGCTCTTTGCAACCTAGTCAGTGTTGTTATTACTGTTTTTCTCTTCATGGACTAAAGAACAAAGAAAGTGTACGTGTGACAACTTGGAGAACTAGTAGCATGAAATTAGAAGCTCACACACTTTAAGTGGAAATGGATCAAAAGTAACATCTTCCCCAGACAGAATGGTTGTATAGCAGCAGTACAGCAAAAAAAACCCCAGATATTTAAAACTAAGAAGTATTGTACCATAATATATTTTTTCTTATGAATTTGATAATTCCTGACATACTAAAAATTACCCTGGAACAAAAGTTTCTGTTGTGATACATCTAAGGACAGACTTGCTCCTTAATTTAACAGGTATTCAAACTAATGCTATCCTATAAATCTCTTGCTAAGAGATCTCTCAGCTATAATTTTAACAGTTCAGTCACAGAATAACACAGCTGCTGAAGCACTTAAACAGGATAAGTATTTATAAATCACCTCACTGTACAAATTACGTTTTTCTACTCACCAAGCCCCTGTGGTATGTTCCTGGCTAAATGATAAAGCCATTTAACTCTGAGCATCCAATCCTGATTGGTTGCTCTTTCTATGAGCAATTTAACAGCCATGGGCAAAACCTCTGGTTCATCAATCCAATAAGCATCCATTTGTACTGCATTGAATTTTAGGTTCTCGGGGTTGGAAGACTGCATAATTTTCTCTAAGTCTTGCAAAGTAAGAGGCTGACTCCTAAAATTGGACAAAGTTAGTATTAGTATATCCTTTTACTTTACATTTCAAAGAACTAAGAAAATTACTTTACAAGTCTTTTATCAAAGAGGTAAGGAGAAAAAAATTCATTTCCCCACTAAGGTAACATAAAACATGTATCCAGGGCTAGAGACAGAGCTTGGTGGTAGAGTACATGCTTAGCATGCATGAAGCCATGTGTTCAATCTTGTGTATGTCTCCCTAATAAATAGAGAATAATAGTAAAAATATAACAGCTGGACCATAAAAGGGCTAATGTTGGGTTGAATATACTGTGTATTGACTGTTACCAACAAAAGCAAAAATCTGACAAAAAACCAGAGCTACGTAAGATGAAGGCTCTGCTGACCTGGCCCAGCTGCTGGTTTTCATGCTTTTCCTGCTGAGGCAGTATGCCAGAATCTGCCCATCACTTCGAACAACAGAGAGGTGAGAATCTTCCGTAGCAAAGAGAGCAGAAGGCACAGAATCAGGCCACAGCCCTGGGGCAAGAATGGAGTTTCCCCAGTTTTCCCGTGCTTGCAAAAAAGAAGCATGTTTCTCCAGCAAGGCCTGCACAAGCTGGTAGGAGATAAAACACATGGTTTACAGGAATCAATATAAATGCTATTACCAAATACATTGGCAGACAAAGCTAATTTTCTATAGTTCACATGACTGTTTCCCAGCAATTCTTAAGGCATTCTTCAATGCACCAACACCACAAGTTATATTCTTTTTGCCCCTGATAGATCTAGTTTCCAGAAAAGAACTTGGCACTAGATCTCTTCTAGAGCAAAAATGCAGTGGTCCGCTCTCAGGTCATTCAAGTTGCTAGCTTATATAAAAATGATTTCCCCCTTCTCTATACAGTAGAGTGTTACAACTTAGAAATTTGTTGTAAACATTTGGCAGTACCTTCTGGTTTGCTGCTGAATGCTGAGAGTGGACATACACTTCCCAGCATGCTTCTGAAAAGGCTTTGTCTAAACCCAGCCCTCGTTGTAGATACTGGACAATTAGTGTGGCTGTCTGAATTAGAGCAGACACAGAAGATGTTGAAGAACCTATAAAGAAAAAACATTGCGATCTGTGAGCAACAGATTTTTCAAAACCTCCAATGAAAATTTATAAATTCTACGCTTACATCAAACTTCTTTCTACTCAACCTCGCCCAGGTACTTACAGAAAACCTTCTGTTTTGGGTTGTCTAGATGAACCCCAAAGCCTCATGTGGTCACAGCTAGATCTAGAGTGTGTGATGCTGGGATTAATGATGTAATGCTGAGATTGATTCATAGTGCAATGCTAGGGATTAAGGGTGCCGCACCCTGGTTGTGAGTAGGGTGGGCAGCCTGGAGAGAATATAAGGGGCAGAAAGAAGGTCGCTGCTTGTTGCCTTCTGCCTTCTGCCTGCCATAGACTGTTTCTCCTCTGTGATGCCCCTCTGCCTTGGAACCAACCATGAACTGAAACCTCTACAAACTGTGAGCCGAAATAAACTTTTATTTCTTTAACTTTGGGTGTTGGGTATTTTGTCTAAGTGTTGAGAAAAGTACCTAAAACACTTTCTAAGCAGACTCTAGAGCAGTGGTGTCGAACGTATGGCATGTGTGCCACAGGTTGCTGTTTGTTATCGTTGAAAGCTCTAAAAGGTTCACCATCACCGCTCTAGGGTCTCCTGAAGGCCCAATGGACTTGTAGAAATATACACATTCCCATCTCCTATTTCCCTTTCTGTTCTCTCACACCCTCCCCCTCTCAAGCCCACCCTGTTTTGGATGTCTATATATTGTAGCAAACTCCAGCTTTGAAATCTAAGGCCTAGGCTGGGCACAGTGGCACACACCTGCAATCCTAGCACTTGGGAGGCTGAGGCAGGAAGATTGCTGTGAGTTTAAGGCCAGCTTGGACAACATGGCTGAGTTCAAGGCTGGCTTGAACTATATAGCGAGATCCTGCCTCAAAGAAAAAGAAGAAATCCAAACCCTACTTTGAAATCTGAGCTGTCATTATTATTATTTTTTTTTTGTACCGGGAATTGAACTCGGGTCCGCGCACTTGCGAGGCAGGTACTGGAACCACTGTGAGCTGTCATTATTAACTGACTGACAAGTTATTTATACTTGCTGACCTTTATCTGTAAAGTGGAAATACATGTGTCTTAACTAAATAAGCAACCAGCATTGCACCTAACAGAGTAAATATTCAATAAACAGTATTTTATTTATTATTACTCCTTTTTATACAATGAAACATTTAGAATTTTATACAATGAAACATCATCACTATCTGTTTTAACTGAAAGTTTCTTTTTTTATTCTACCTTTAAGAAGAATGATGACCCTGGAGTTACGATGGGCAAAGGTCAGGAATCCCAGCATCTAAAGTAGAATTACTCAAATGTTGGGCTCTGACTGCACACATCATCTATCTTGGGAATGTCTTTAAAATACTGATTCCTATGTCTGATCCTGACAAACTGAGTTCATTCTGGGAGGGGAGCATGGACAGCTACATTTTTAACAGGCTTTTCCAGTACTTTCTATTTCTGTGTACACTAAATCTAAGAACTCCTAGACTAGTAATTCATCACAGAAACATGGATCTCTACAGGACTAAGCTCTACAGAGGACCAGAGGTCAACCATCTCACCTATAATAGAGCTTCGGGTCTCGCTGTGTAGAGCCAGGAGGATGTCACACACACTGTCTCCCACCAACCCAAGGCTGTGCAGCAGAACTTTCAAATCCAGGTTATCTGGATTTGTCTCATTCTCTTCTCCTGAAATGTAGATTTCAAGTCCACGATTCCTCATTGCACGGGATATTTCTCCATGAACAGGATCCATTGAGAGAAAAAGCCTGGTAAAGTAGCAATACAGAGGGGAAAAAATTTCTTTAATTTCCAGTGCAACCAATTGTGTAATTCACCAATAATAATGAGTAAGAGCAAATCATATGTGGGTCATCTCTAGGAAGCTCATCAAGAAAGCTAACAGTAACTTAAAAAGTGTACTTTGATCATCTACATTCAATCTTTAACTTTTAACATGAACCAATACAGCGAATCAGTTTCTCTAAGTCTACTTTCTTAAGGAACTATGCTATCTAAGAACTTCATATGGCAACCTCATTTACCCAATTAATCAAGCTAAAAACTTAGGTGTCAATCTGTTTCTTCTTTTTTTCAATTCACAAGTCCATCTGCAAGTTCCATTCATCAGACCACCCTAGTCTAAACCATCAACACCTGCCTAGATTACTACAAAAGCACTTCGACTGGTCTCTAGCTTCCACCTTTCACCAACTCAAGGGAGGGACTTCACCCCTTCCTCACTAACTCTCTCTCACGCTCTCTCCCTCTCTCAGCTGTATTAGTAATATGCTTGTGATACATAAAATTACATTGATCTTGGGGAACTGGTACATAAAAACACCCCCATCTTGATCATTTTTATATACCTCCCATCTCTAGAGTCTTCCTCACTGTTTCCTACCATCTCTATTTCACCTTCTTCTTTAAATTTAAATTATTTAGATTTTGGGTTTCTCATATAAGAGATACCATGTGATACTTAACCATATGTGTCTGATTTATTTCACTTTCATTATGGTCTCAAGATCCATCCATTTTACTACAAATCACTCAAATTTATCCTTCTCTAAGGATGAGGACTATTCCATTGTGTATAAATGCCACCTTTTCTTGGGCTGAGGATTTAGCTCAGTGGTTTTGCCACCTGCTGCCCAAGCACAAGGACCAGAGTTCGATCCCCGGTACCAAAACAAAAAAACCACACCTTTTAACCATTTGTTGATGACTATTCCATAATATAGCTTTTGTAAAGTGTGTTACTATAAATATGGGTATACATGTATCAGTGTAATAGGATAATTTTTTCACTTCTCTTGTTTACTGCTGTGCCCCCAGAGCCTAGCAGTACCTGGCAAACAGCAGGGCCTCAATAAAGATTTGTTTTAATTGAATGAATAAATGGATGGCCTTCCTTGATGATACTTGGTACCTGAGTATAATCTACAATGAAGTCCTACAGAATGGAATGTGTACGTCTGCTGAGGTGGTCAGACACTTAGGTCAAAAATTAAGAGATACAAATACCTGAAATTAGGATGAGGTGTTATGGTCATAGTGGATCCATCTATCATTCCTCTCTCATTAACAGTGAGGACGCCTCCAGGTTCAAGCAAAGCATTCAAACGATCCAGCACTGATGGGCTATACAGAGAAAACTCAAATGACTGCCCAGGAGACATCTGACTCTAGTTGCAACAGCCTCCAGCCATTTCCAGTCCATATCTTCCTTTCTGCAGGGATTACTTCCCATACAGACAAAGCACTAATCTCTTTCAAGAGAAGACTGCCCAGAGATTCCCTTTTTCATTTCTTAAGGCACATAGCCCACAGCTTTACACACAAAATGAAATTAAGAAAACTGACAGAACGTTTCCTGCTCTGTATAACCCTTTTTCCCCTCTTATCCTCAACAGTATCAAATGCACTGAAAAAGAGCTAGACTTTAAAAAAAAAAAAACCTCCAGGAAGAAGAAGCTGCCATTCAACCTGTAGTGGCTTCTATTATGTCAACTATACACTTTAGTTTTTTTGTTTTTGTTTTTGTTGTTGTTGTTGTTGTTTTTTGAGATAGAGTCTCACTAAGTAGCTTGGGCTGGCCTCAAACTTGTGGCGATTCCCCTGCTTCAGCCTCCCAAGTGCTGGGATTATAGGCATGTGCCACTAGCCCGGCTCTATCAACTTTATACTTTAGAATGACCAACTACCACTGTTTATCAGAGAGTGAGTGAGTGAAGTTTATAAAACATGGGTGAAGCTACATTGCTAGTAAAGAAAAACAATAGATCAAAAACTTAAGAGAGTCTTCATTTTGGTTTCTACTTTGCCAAGCATATCTCAAGTTTCCAACAGGCCCTCTCATGATGATTGGACGTAAGATTCTTACTTGCAGAAGTTAACATTGTCCATCAGAAGCCAGTCCCCAGATTTCAGAGCCTGAACTAACATGCTGTCAACCCACTCAAATGTGCCATGGTTACAGCCACTAGCTGACTGCATAAGCTTCATCACAAAACTTCGGAAATCTTCCAAAAGTTTGGCAAACTCTGGAATGAGAAAATCAGGTTTGGGACAGAAACAAACAAAAAACTCAATGGCTTTATGAATTAATGGTTAAATGCACAGAGTTAAATCTTAAGTGATGAAGATGGGTTTCCCTACCTACTCTGTACCCAGTAACTGCTTCAAGGCAGAAAGCCAGAATGATTATAGAGCTTCATCTTACTTTTTGCCTCCGTTCCCTCAGGTATCACAGTCCTGTGCAGTCTGTTGTCCACTGTCTAAAAGCAGTTATTTCATATATTTACCCAAGTTTTCTACTTGGTAACAGTGAGAACTTAAGACTAAGTACACTCTTGGCTTGAAGTAGGAATCCATTATATATTACCTTGTGATATGAAAAAGGATCATAAAACAATTTCTAACAACAAAAAAAGCCAAGTGAAAAATTTTCAGGGAAGGGTTATATAAACTATAAAGTACTTGCCAAGTAAATACTAGTTATTACAATAATCATATGACATGGTTATTATAAAGAAAGTACAAGTTTACTCATTGGACTTACAGATAGCACTTTCATATAGTAGCATAATGCAGCAATGTGGCAATCTAATGACAAACCGAAACTATGGGCCTTTCAATTAACATGTTCCTGCCAGATTGGACCATCAGCAGTATCTGCATGACTGTCCCATCAGGCCACACGTACCACTGGTTGTATAAATGGTATACTCATGCATCAGTCAGGCATGCATGTATCACCACCAGTGGTTCAAGCCGCCTGGCAGAAAGACATAAAAATTACAGCCGTGTCGTGAACATGTTAATCCTCCCTAACAGCATGCTCATCACCACCAAGAAAGCAGCACCACAAAAGGAAAGAATTAAGTTTCTATCTTAACATTTTATCATATAAATGACTTCTTTCACTTAAATAAATGCATCCTATCAATTCAGACACTTGATTCTTGAATTTAAAATGCTGAATTAGTTGAGAAGTTACTATTATTAAGTTTTGAAAAAAGAAACAATAAAAACAGCTTTACATACAAGATACTGTTCATTATAGTTGAATACACACGTGTGCTCACAAGCACACAAGTCATAAAGCTTAGTAACCAATTATTTCCATTTGCTTTATTAGAATACTAAATACCAATTTAGAATACTCAACCTTGGATTCGCTATACTTTCTAAGCCAAACATGTCTAAGTTTTCATTATTAATCATTAAATTTATTAAAAATATGGGTACGACAATCACAAATATATTCCTATAAATGAACACATGGACATTGCTAAGCATATGATACACATATTCAGATATACATACCTGCCTTGGAGTATGAGTTGATTTTATTATTGAGTCGTTGCATAAGCAACAAGACTGCTTCCAATTTATTGACAATCTCCATTGTGATACCTTTACCATCTTCTCCAAGACACTTGGGTTTATATGTCAGAAGGAAATGGCTCCACGCTCGCAGCACTACTTCTGCATCATCAGCACTGACAAGGAGGCTAACCCTCAACAGTCCCCTTATAATATCCTCTACCTTCTCTAGCAGTTGTCTCCAAGGTCGTATAAGATCAACCTGCAATTTCCAGAGCACATGAAATCATGACCATTGGCAAGAGTCATAAGACACTGTTATCTGTAATCACCACTAATAAGGAAGACCTTCAATCAGACCACAGGGTTTAACAGTGTTTTGTCTAAAAATGAGGTGTAACAGTTACCTGCTCAAATCCACCAAGAAGCTCAGTAGTATCCATTGCACTGTTCATAGCCATGATCTTTAATGTGCGGCCAGTAAAGTGTGCCAGAAGCTGAACTAGACTGGTCTTGCCCACAGATGCTGGCCCCACAAGGATGACCATCCAGCTCATCTGCACACACTTCATGATGGACTCCAGAGACTGGAATGACTGGTGCAGGAGCAGAAGGGGCCGACGAGATGGGTGAGGAACATAGCTGCCACGGGAAAGGATTGAGTAGCCCAGCTACATGGGGAAAAAAAAAATCCAGTGCCATGTCACAAGTATACCTGGTAATAAGAGCCATAAAAACCATAGAAAATTGTAAAGGAGTAGAGAGTTACCTTTTATCTCCTTACCTGAACATCATAGGGAGTGATATGAAATAGTCTAGTTCCCATGTATGGGCTGGAATTTGAACCAAACACATCCTTGAATACAGCAATGACCTTAAAAGGAGATGATACCATCAAGACACAAATCACTGAATTCCTATTCAAACCTTCTGGAATTAATACTTCTAGAAAACAAGCACACCAACAACTCACTATATCCTCAAGATTAGCCATAATTTTCTTATCCCTTTGAATTTTCTCTTATAAAGAGCACAGACAGGGCCAGGCATTTAGCTCATGGTTCCACCGCCTGCCTCGCAAGCACAAGGACCCGAGTTCAATCCCCAGTCCCAAAACTAAAAGAGCACAGATAACATATATTTAATTCTTTGGAATGAAAGTAAACAAGCTCAAGAAGAGAGTAGAAATATAACCTCAAACTATTTATGAGATTTCAGTGAGATTACACTGTAAATTAAAATGAAACCAAGGCCAGACACTGTGGAAAATCTAAGAGACAAAAAAAATTAGCTTTTATCATTTGAGATAAAAAATAATAGAATAGTAATATTAAAGTGATAAAGAATAACTATGGACGACCATCTACTATGTACAAGACAATGTGTTAGGTACTCTTATTGATGAGTATTTCTGACCTTTACAGCTGCAAAATAGCCATCATTTTCATTTCATAGATAGGACTAATAGGATTCAGAAGAGTAATACAATATGCATGTGGTTGTTAACTGATTTTAAATCTAAGCCAGGCTGATTCCAAAAGCATGCTATCCATCCAAATATTTATGCAGATATGACAAAGTTAGTCAATTATTTACATTCAGTTTATCTCCCTTGTCGAATTATAATGCTGTTAGAAAATTTTCTGTTAACTGTTTACTACATGGATCTCTTAAAAACCTACAAGTGTGGGAGATGAAGGAGTGGCACGTAAAGACTAATGATTTAGCCCATAACAGTAGGAAAACAATTACACTATGTCAAAAGCAATATTCAAATATAATTGTACATTCAACTGAAGTTAGCAAATAATGAAAATAAAATCATAATCAGTGTCAAACATTTGACTGAGATTAGAAGAAGCATGGAGAAAGTACTCCTATCACACACTTCTGGGCTCAGGAGCTTCTTACTGCAAACTCTACTTTAAAGCATGTACTATTATATTGTCCTCTCCCTGCTGAAGGTTAAAATTACAAATTCACAATCTAGCTGGTTTGTTTGCTTTTGTAAAACCAGGTTAATTCACCAGGACTCTTTCTGCTCGAAAACTTGATGAACTTAGTTCTTTATTCCTAGAGGATAATGCTGTTTTGAAAATGTTGGTAACTTTGGGGATTTAGATAAATAAGCAAATTGTATTCTCTAAAACAAACTATGCTATGACAGGGAGATGTTTCATATATTTCTATAAATTCTAAATTTCCAAGTAGTTTTATTAGGTTTGGTATTATCCAGTGTTGAGTACTACTATATTCTTTCTCTCCCTTAGGAGGAAATCAGCTTTCAGATAGAAATATAAAGAGAAATTGAAACTCACCTTTTCTTCATCTTCCCTGGTTCTCATTCTTTTACCATAGACCAAAAACACATGCTGACCAGGGTCATAACAGCCAGGGGACTGGTCAACAAGCATCAACTGACACCAACGGAAAAGGTCCCGGAGATTGAACTCCCAGGGTCCTCCTTTTTGTCCCCATTTCTTCTCAACAGTAACTTCATGATCAATCTAGAAATAAAATATTCTTACGAGAAACATGTCCTGCTGTAAGGTATTGGAGTAAGTACTGTCAGTGCACAAAAAATGCTCATGTGATCTGAATTAACAGGCTTCATTCAGATGCTTCTTTCTCTCACCTCAGACTTTCAAATGCCAGGAACACTCTACAGGTATTAATAGTGTTATTCACAATACAGAAATGAGTTGCCATATCCCTCAAATGAGTAACCTGCCTTCCCACAGAAACTTATAGAATTCTATGACTTATTTTAGTTAGCTGATAATTTAGTAAAGTCACATGTTGAGAAAATGCCGGTTCAAACACAGCCAGGAAAACAGAGAATAATTAATACAAGTAGACACTTACTTGGTTATTGAAAGCTACCATTTTCTTAACAATATTTTTGTCAATGGCTGGGAACAAAGTACTGGCAATGAACTCCATGTCAACTACTGTAAGGGGATCCACAAAAACCTATAGAATCCAAAAATAACAAAAACATTTCTCTTTACAAAACACTAGAAAAGATTATCATGTTGTTAAAATCTTTAACACCACACCAAATTACAATGACTAAGTCGAATATATAATTTTCAGTATTATAAAGTTCTATTATTGCATTTTTAAAGCTACAAGAATCAAAATTTTGGAAATATAGAACAGTGGTTTCATTTTTAAGCTCCATGCTAGGTGTTTTTTTAAATGACGTTTGTTTTTTAAATTTTCCTATGTGCAACATTAAATGCTTTCAAAATTTGGGATGGTATGTCCACTGTAAAATTCATTCAACCTTTCAATAGACTTGAAAATTTCCACGGGAAAATATTCTTTTAAAAATATTCTCAACAAAACGAAATAGCAGAATAACAACAATGAAAAAAAATTCTCAACAAGTTCATAATTACCAAGGGATGGGGATAAAGGAAAGCTAACAACATTTGAACATTTGGCTTCTAAATTAGGCAAACTGAAATATGCCTGTTAAAACAAGTAAGCATATACACACACACACACACACACACACACACACACACACACACACCTCTGTAAACAGAAATAAAAGCATAAGGAAAGATATCAAAATGTTAATAATAATAGACTGGGGAATACTGGATTTTTAGACTTCATGGTAGTTTTCTTACTTTAAAATGTATTGTTTTCATTATATAAATTTTGCTTAAGTATGTTAACAGATCACATAGACACATAAAGATCACAGGACTCCTCACTGAGTATAATAAAAGAATCCTGAAGAGGGCAGTGACCTTATTTCCAGCTCATAGGACAATATGATTCCAACCAGGCGAGAAGTGATGGTGGGAAACAATCACATTAATATTCATTATATAAAGCCAAGAAAAGAAGCATTAAACTGAACCTCTTTGAACAGCAAAGATTCTAAATAGTTACTTTCCAGCAATCTTAGGTACCTTTCATCTCTATGAAAACAGCAAATCTTACCTGAGTGAATCTGTTAAGGAAAGACCTGGGCAACCCCTTTCTCCCACCTCCTTGTCTAAAGGGATTCTGACACCCAAAAATCTTCGTCTTTTCATGCTGTACTTGAAAGCTCATTCCTAACTCAGGCACATAGATTTCTCCTCGGTGGTCAAAACAAGCATTGAGTCCTTCCAATACAGACTGAGAAGCCAGATTAAGCTATTTGAAGAAGAAAATATGTATGTGTTTCATTATGTATGTTATACAACTACAACAAAAATCAAGAGAACAAAATCCAGCAAATCAAGAGTGTTATCTTCAGAAGATGGAGGCTAAAACAATATTGGTTGTAATCCCCTATTTCTTAAGCCAAGTGACGAGTTGATGTGCATTCATTCTATGATCCTCTAGGTCACACATATGATAAGAGATTTTAGATAATATATGTTTATATATATGCCAATAGTTTCTAAATAAAATCACTAAATATACAGAATGAATTTTGAAGTTAAAATCTTCTTTAACATTGAACTGTATCCACTGCATGCACCTACTGACCTTACTTTGTACATTATAACATCTTGCCAATACAGATTTCATTTAACACTAATTATAGGTAACAGATAAGACTTGATGCTCTTTACACACTGTTTCCAAATGGGTTTCAAAGTCATAGTATAAATAACATGAAACAGATCTATGCAATTAGCTTTCACCAACAGTTTTGTAAAAATGAACAATTAAAATTCTTAAGCAAAAACTGAAAAGCTGAATGGAGGTCTTCAGATGCTGAGGTTCATAGCTCAAGAATAAGATATGGGGGGCCAGGGATTTAGCTCAGTGGTTCCGCCACCTGCCTCACAAGCACAAGGACCCAAGTTCAATACCCAGTACAAAAAAAAAAAAAAGCTTAAAATATGGGTAGTTTTTGGGTAACACACAAAAAGTCAATTGGGAAAATGTGAATCAATAAAATACAATATCCAGACTACACTCTATTAGAGTTTCAACTGTCTGGTTTACATAAACAGTATAAAGTATAAACTTCTCTGTGTACTCTCAACTAGAAAGCTGCACTTAAGTGTGTTGGAAAGCCTAGGATGTTTTTTAGTAGTTTATAGTACTGCATGCATTTCCACCAAAGCTGAGCGTGGTCAGTAGCCTTCAGCTTTAAAATGAAGCTTTCTCTTTTCCTAGCTAATGAATATTCTATCAGATATCTTTTTCCAAAACCATCTGGAAAAACTTCCCTCTTCTTGATGTCTCCCCAACAACAGCAGGCAGCTCCTAGGTAGACAGAATCTCACAGCGCCCTCTCTAATGTCTAGACCCAAAAGGATATAAATCTAGTCAATCTACTAGGGCATGTGTTCAGTTCCTTCTGCAGCACTTTCCTTATTCTAATCATTTCCGCTCCAAAATACTTCTAGCCTTCTAGCCTGTTTAATGTTAACATTAGACATTCCAAACAAACTTGACTCCTTATATCTAGCTGTCTGCTAGACACAAATATTCAGTATTAACTATGTCTCATGCTGTACTTTCTTCTGATCAATAATTTATCCAGTATGCACATATAATACTGATCATTTGCTCATTTTTGTATGTCATCATGTATATCCATACCATCTCTCTAGAGCACTGACCAAACATGAAGTAGTTGACGAACATTTCTGAGATAAGTATAAACACCAGTATATCAAGCCTGCAGGAGTTGAGAATAAGTAAGCCAAAATGCATTTTTTTCTTTGTCTGAAGGATTGCTTTAAAAAGTAGGAGCATTTATTGGTTCCAGGTAGAGAGGGGTTCTGAATGTATGTTCTGCCAAGTGACCTAATTCTTAAAAGAAACCACAAAGGACTTTTGTCTTTACTAGTCATCAACATGCTCACCTACTAAAATATTCCCTAGAGCTACGAGAAGTAGGAGTGTTCCTCATATATATGATCTCAGCCTGCACTCAATGCACAGGACACTTACCTCATCCAGCACAACCCAATGGCCTGCCTTCAAAGCTGCCAGCAAGGGGCCATCACGCCAGGCAAACTCTCCTCCCTTGCCACCCTCAACGGGTAGATCTGCACCAAAGAGGTCTGTGATGTCCTTTGAGAAGGAGAAAAAATGGGGGAAAAACTAATATTATAAAAAAAAATTAGAGTAGATACTAAGACCCTAAGTCTGAAGTGATAAATACTTCAGCCTTACGCCACCACTCTTCTTTCTTCTACCCAAGATAGAACCAATCACTCCCAACACATTACCGGGAGTCCAAACAAGCCCTAAGCCCCGTCTCATCACAATGCTCCAAATATCAATCAGTTTAAGCAGATGGTCACATTAATGGTTCGGAGTACTTAGAAATTAATGAGCTTTAAAACAAATCAATAAACAAATAAACCAGTAACAATGCCCAGGCCCTGCTCCCAGGCCTCCAATCAATTTGTCATCTCTGTCTCCTGTTTTCATAAGATTGTCATTTTATCTCTACCAAGTTTTCTTCAGAAAGAAAATAATTAGGTAGTATTATATTACAATAAATACCAACATGAATACTTCTCTCTCAAAAGAGAATTAGTCTAAAACAGTTAATTAAAAGAAAATAATGTGGGCCAGGAATTTAGCTCAGTGGTGCCACTACCTGCCTTGCAAGCACAAGGTCCCGAGTTCAATTCCCGGTACCAAAAAAAAACAACATAAGAGGTGTTAGTTAATAATGAATCCAGAAGCAAATCAGTTTGTAAGGTCATCCTGCTGTGGTATTTATCATCATATAAAATATGGTTGCTGATAATGTCAGAACTATTTCTAATTAGGAAACCATAAACAGACATTATTACCTATAACAATCCCTATGAGCTACAAGTACACTTACCGTCTGCTCTGACAGGTTAATTCGAACAAGGGTGTTTCCTGAAGCCTTTGCTAAGGCTCCTACCAAACTTGTTTTGCCAACACCGGGGGAGCCCTCCAGAAGAATTGGTTTGTTCAATTTGGTAGCTCTTAAAAGTCTTTGGGCATTCATAGCTGTGGTGCCTGCACTGAGTGCATAGTCAGCAATATTATTCCTGTGCAGGACAGGTCCTTCAGTGAAGAAAAACAAAGCCATGTATAAAGCTAAATGTACACAAATCCTATGTGTATGTCAACTCAATATTTTAAGAATTCACCCAGTAGGACAGCCAGTGAAGTAATATCTGCAATGAAAATATTTAGCTAACATTTCAACATTACCTCACTTTTAGAATTTAAATCTTCTTGACAGAAAGAGTCAGTAGCATACTATTTTCAACCATCTTAGTACACAGCTTCTCTCCACCTCTACACACATATGTATACATACATACATAGGTCTAGTTGCAAACATGGAACTCCTTTCACAACCTACAGCAAGCATACTAGATGTACTTAAACAATTCATTTTACAAACAGGTATTTTTCTAAAAGCCAACCATAAACCACATGGTTCCAAGGTTTTTAAGCCATCAAAACACTGCAAAATATATTCTCAACCCTTAAGGTCATGGAGGAGTAATAACAGTCTTCTAGAGCTTAATGCTTGTGCTACCAAGTCTTTTGGAAGAAGCTTTTAGTATACCAGTCTGGAGACAACAGGCAAGGAAAGCATGTCTCTTCACCCTTGCAAGCAAAAGCAAAACCAGCCAGTCCCAGGACACTGCCATAAACCTCTTTCATAGAAGCAATGAATATTATCACAACGTAAGGAAGGGATCTAACAGTTATATCATGAGTGCCCATCAGGGATAAAGAAAGTACTGTCAAAGTAAAATGACCTCTGAGAAGAGGGAAGAGGGCATTGTTAATGATCAGGTACCTTAGTTCACCACTGAACTCCCATTATCTGCCACTATACCTCTGAATATTTCAGGCATTCGATGATAATTAATGTTGAAAGGAAGGGAGTAGAAAACAGATGACCTTACTACAGAATAATTTAAAATATTAAGAGTGCCCTAGAAGATACATAATTTAAATTCCTTTGTAGAAGGTGTGATAGAGCATTGCCTAACACATGCAAGGCTCAGGGTTCAATCCCTACCACCACAAAAACATGAATGAATGAATACGTAAATGCTATAGGTAACCTAACCAGGAGAGCCTAACAAAACTCAAATCCGTTGCCTCCTAGAATAATATATTTCCCATTTAATCACTCATTCATCCACTCACTCAATAAACAAGCATTTTCTTCCGTGGCCTGCCTCGCAAGCGCAAAGTCCCAAGTTCAATCCCCGGTACCAAAAAACAAACAAACAAGCATTTTCTGAGTACCTATGACTACTAGGATACATGGCAGATGACAGAGACAAGAAGTCCAGTAACACAGTATCAGTCCTCAAGAGTAAACTATCTCACTTTTCTACGGAGCAACAAGGTTCTATGTTAACATATATTATGGGTTAAATAGGCCTGTGTAGGCAATTTAAGAATTTGCTGACTTTAGTAGGTTTTATAGCTTTACTTAGCTGTTGTGGGTACCAACTAGTAAATAAATGCATTTTTAAACAATAATCTCTTCACAGATTGAGTCTATACTTCCCCATGTTTTTACATGCCAGTTATATATTTATCACCATTCACATAATTAGGGTTATATGAAATCAGATTCTAAATTAGATATTAGTTCAAAGATAACATGACTATATCACATTAAAAATTATATTAACAGGCAAAAATCTATGATCTATAGTATGAGAATAATTTATTTTGAATAATTCTTACCCCTTGGTATAAAAAATGGATGAATTCCCCAAAGGTTGTCAATTCCAGTGAATTCTTTGGCCTTGAGTCTATCATATATCTTCAATTCATTTTTCTGATATTCTGTAAGTCGGACTATCTTGGAAATTTTCTTTACTAGGAATTCCAGACATTCTTCTCGAGCCAAGAGGGCCGTACCAAACCCAGAGGAAGTTACTCCTAAAAGGTAGAGAATGACTAGATCAGGGAACAAGTACAACACCAAACTCAAAACTGTTAAGCAGCTCTACCACAGATATATGGGGAAAAGATGCCTCAGCAGAGTTATAGCTAAATACAATTTCCAATGTAAGCAGTCCTACAGAAGAAGCCTGACCTGCTCCCCATCCCTAGTTTATGCATCAATCAGTAAGCACGTAGCTCAATGACAAATCAGTCTGGAAAAAGACTCATATGGCAATATTTTTTTTTTTTGGTACCAGGCATCAAACTCAGGACCTTGCGCTTGCAAGGCAGGCAGCGCAACCACTGAGGTAAATCCCTGGCCTCATATGGCAATACTGAGGATTCTGGCCTACATTTCTAATCTTCCTGGCTGAAAAGCCAAAATTTAAATATGTAGTGAATTTATTTAAAACGAAACAAACTAAAAGATTCTGACCATTGACTAGAAATGACCACTCGTGTTAAGGACTATCTAGTGTTTCAAGAGCAAGGACATTTTCAACACTCTTTTTACTCATCATCACTACTTCACATCTATTGTCTGGTCTACCTTTCTAAAGCATCACCTCTTTCAAAAAACAGAAAGCAAAGGAAAGCTATTCTGGGTTTTGGAAATGTTTGGTCAAGTGATTTTAGAAAATACCCAGTCCAGAAGCCTGGGTTTATTCTTCTTTCCACTCCACTCTACCCTTTACCCTTTGTCCCAAACAGTAACAGACAACATACCTGAACCTATTCCATCTATGTACACCAGGCATGCAGCGTGGACAAAAGACGTCACAGTGGAAATGGTCTCTGGCCTTTTAACAGCAGTTTCCTCACCCATTGTGTTCATGAAGTTAACCCAGGACAGGATATCTCTGATACTGACCACACATTTTCGACCGAACTCCTGATGGGTCAACCAGTCAATGAAATCCAGCATCACTTCAGCTATGTCAGCTCCTAAGATACAAGGATACATTTGCCTCTTAGGGACATCCCATAATATGACTTCACTACCTAACACCCACAGATGGACAAGAAGGGATCCACGCTCCTTGGCTTATGTGCAAAATTTTATGAGTGCATATTAACATTGTTTTCTAAAGAAGGAGGTTCACAGTTTTTATCATATTGCCAAGGGATTCATGAATAGCATTCCATCTATTAAAAAGAAAAGCAAAAAACAAAAAACCCTGAGAATTACAGCCTGCAAACTGCTCATAGAAAAAAGTATACATTTGGTTAATTTTCAAACAGAAGTATGAAGTTATGTCATAATAATTTTACAAGTATATTTCATAATTTTACTTATATTTTAATACAGGTTTCATAGAGAGACGCTGATTTAAGATGATCTGATTTATGATGTCTTTTATTATAGTATGAAAGCATTCACATTCTGTAGAAACTGTACTTTGATTTTTGGTCTTTATTTAAGTCATACAGTCATACTAGTCATATGCAGTTATGATACTCTCACAATGCTGGACAGCAGCAGGGAGCTGCAGCTCCCATTTAACTGTGGGTAAATACAGCCGGGGATTTAGTTTAGTAGTTTAGCCGCCTGCTACGCAAGTGCAAGGACCCGAGTTCGATCCCCGGTACCAGAAAAAAAAAAAAAAAAGAAAGAAATAACTGTGGGTAAATAACTAATCTTCTACAGTTCATTGTTGATTAACCTGTCATGGTAGTTATCTGAAATGTCTCCCAGAAGGCTTGGATGGTTGCTGATGGGCTTTTGGGGTAGGGAATGGATCATGAGGGCTCTAATTACATCAAGTGGATTCAAAAACTGCTGAGCTCAAAATCTGATGGCTTCATTGGGGGAGATGGTGGAAACAGAAGAAGGGTCTAGTTGAAGGGAATGGATCATGGAGGCATGATCTTGGGAACTGTATCTGGTTGTCCCTGGATCCTTTCTCTTGGGCTCTTTTCCTTACTCTCAGTTGCATGACTGTCATGATATCCTACTTAACCTTAGGGCAACAGCAATGAAACCAGCTAACCAAGAAGCAGAAGTTGTGAAACCATGCGCCAAAATAACTTTTCCTCCTTAACACTGATTTATGTCAGGTATTTTGCTATAGTGATGGAAAGCTGAGTCATATAGTATCTGTATAATAGTCACTGTTAATGGGGAATGCTACTTTTTAGTGTAAGCATATATTTATTTATTTATTTGCTGTGCATCAGTCAACTCTGCAAATTAAGGAGGGTTCACAAAATTTATTTCATGACTCAAGTTGAATGACTATTCTAATTATATTTTTTTGCACAGCAAAAAACTATCAACACAGTAAAGAGACAACCCACAGAAGGGCAAAAAATTTTAACAGCTATTCCTCAGACAAAGGACTAACATCCAGAATATATATATATGAAGAACTCAAAAATATCAGACCCCACCAAATTTAAAGACTCCAATGCAACAATGGGCATCTGAAATGAATACACACTTAGATGAGAAATACAAGCAGCAAATAAATATATGAAAAAATGCTCAACATCACTGGTCATTCGAGAAATGCAAATTAAAACAACACTGAGATTCCATCTCACTCCAGAAAGAATGGCGCTCATCACAAAATCAATCAATAACAAATACTGACGGGGCTGTGTGGGAAAAGGAACCCTTTCTCTATTCCTGGTGAGAGTACAAACTGGTACAACCACTACACTATGGAAATCTATGGACATTCCTCAAAAAAGCAGAATAAGAAGTTCAATTTGACCCAGTTGTTCCCCTTCTATCTTCTCAAAAGAGTTAAAAGTATCATATACCACAGTGATATACACATACTTTTGTTTATAGCAGCACAATTTATAATAGCTAAATCTTGGAAACAGCCCATATGCCCATCAAAAGTCGAATGGATAAAGAAAATGTATTTATATATAATGGAGTACTACTCTGCCATAAAGAAGGATGAACTTGAATCATCTGTAGGAAAATGGATGCACCTCAAGACCATAATCTTAAGCAAAATAAATCAGACACACAAGTTTAAATATAGCATTGTTCCTCTTGTGTGAGAAATCCAAAAGGTAAATATGGAACATAATGGAGAATAGATATTGAGAAGTAGGAAGAACATATGCCAATGGAAGGGGAACAAGGGAAGGATGAAGGGAAAAAAAAAATGGAAACAAAGATTGTGTGAATGGGGAGGGAAAGAAGGGCTGAAGGGAGGGGAGGGGAATGGGGAAAAAAGAAGCTGTATTATGTACAGATACAAATTCCCTACGATGAATGTGATAATATGTATGACAAATATGTATTAAGAAATAAAGTTTAAATTTTTTTAAATAAATTTTTTAAATGGTCCCCATAAAACATTAAATATAATTTTTGTCTGGGAATAAAGTATTTCTTAAATTACATATATACATTCAAGGGCCGGGAATTTAGCTCAGTGGTTTCAGTGGTTTCGCTGCCTGCTTCTGAGTTCAATCCCCGGTACCAAAAAAACAAAACAAAACAAAACAAACATATATACATTCAAAGCAATGTCAATGATATTTACTAGAACACTTTATCTAAAAAGTACAAATACCAAAGAATGTTTAAAGATAAAAAATAGGGAGAATAAGCACAGGTATAAAATAGATTTAAAGGGCCGGGGATTTAGCTCAGCGGTTCCACCGCCTGCCTCACAAGCACAAGGTCCCAAGTTCGATCCCCAGTACCAAAAAAAAAAATATTATAAAGCAACAGCCTTTAAGGCTATGTTATGGTTTGGGTTTAGATGTCTCCCTAATGCCTCATGCAGTCACAGGTGGTTTTTTCAGAGGTGAATGAATCTATAGTGTGTGGTTCTGAAATTAAGGGCGTGTGATTACTAAATCAATATACTGACTGGTCTGGCACTGCCCTAATCCCAGTAGTCTCGGTAGGATAAAAGGGACAGACGACGTTAAGGTTCCCTGTTGCTTTTGCTACCATGTGGGCTTGGAGCCAGCCAATTATGGACTGAAACCTCTACAAACTATGAGCTAAATAAATCCTTTCCCCTTTAACTTTGTTTGTTGGCTATTTTGTCTCAGCAATGAGAGAAAAGTAACTGAGGCAGGTATACTAAGAATTGTTTAGAAGAATACTACTTACAGGAAAAAAAAAAACAAATCTCCACCTCCCCAAGCAAAAATGCCCACATTTTCCTCCAAGCTGCAGCATTTCTAAACCATAGCCAAAGTCCACAAAGTTGATTCAAACCTGCGAACAAGGTAGCAAGTGCTCTCAAGGCCAGTGTGATACCCAGAGAGGTAGAAGCACACAGCAATGACACGGCATAGAAGGCTACAGAGGAGAAGCAGGAAAGAGCCTAAGATGAGTAACCTGGATCCACACAGAGCCAGCTTCTCCCAGGTGAGCTGTCTGGAGGGTTAGCTTAAGGCATGAAACCCTCCTAAACCATCCTGGGGTTCAGGTTGACATGTTCTGCTCTCTTCTCACAGCAGGATATAGCTACTACAACTGGATGGCAGAATTCCTGGAATAGTATTAAAATAAAGGCAGATTCCTGGAGTTTTTTCTGCTGTCATGCTGGCTGTGATGAGATCAGCTCTCCTGCAGAAAATCCTTTCAATCTCACTTGGGATCCTGTCTTGGAATACCTGAGTCTTATTCCTGTCTGAGCCATCTCCAGTTCATGGTGATCAGTAAGCCAATCTCCCTGTGACTGCCCATTCATGGAGTACATCAGCTGGACAAATGACCTCAAGAAGCAAAAGGACGCAACCAAGACTCAGGCCTCAGAGACCAAGCAGCAGCAGGATCAATGTACAGACCAGGGATAGATGGTAGGCCAAAAGGTGATAAAAGGTTGTACCCTATCTGGCACCTGTTCATGGGGAGCAAAAAGGTCCGAGCCTATCTCTTATTTCACAATTTGGGATGGGTGCATGTGTGCCTGTATGAGTGTGCATGTGTGTGCATGTATGTGTGTGTTACACTGAGCCTTCCTGATCCATTTCTAGATGGCAGAACTGCTGAAAATTATTGTCACAATTTCCTTACTCTCCAATCTCCCTCAGCGTCTCTAATGCCTCCAAAACAGAGGTGGCAAACCTATGACACACATGTTATTCGCTCTTCTTTTAAGACAAAAGATGTTAATATGTAAGTTCTTTTTTTTAAACTAAAACCTCAGTATTTAGGTTTACTTGCAGTGTTGGCATTTTGTAATAAATAAGTGTGTTTTGGATTGCAGATTGGGCACTCAGCTCTAATGGGTTCATCATCACTATTCTATGGGAAGTATGCTGCTGGGCAGCCTGGAAAGTCTGGTGTCAACAAGCTCCCTAAGCACAAGCAATGAGGGTCCAAGGAAAGTCACTTGGGCTACTATGCTTACTGCCATATGGACTGTTCATTTTCCTTAAGCATGAAGCATACTGGTGATAGAAGAGTGATGGCAGTGAAACAGCAGTCTATGGGTTTTATAGGTTACTTCTTGATCTATCTCCATGAGCCTAAGACCATACTTGTTTACCAATTTCTATCTACCTCTCCTCTTTTCACACAATTCTCACAATAAACACACTAATGCAAACAGTGTACAACCTATTGAGTTGGTGGCTCTGACGGCGGTCCCTTGACCACCAGTCGTAACACTATTATGGATTTTCTTGGGCAAATTATTGAGCTTCACCTCAAACCTACAAAATTAGAAATAATGCATGTGGGGCCCAATAAGCTGTATTTCAACAAGTCCTCCAGGTAAGTTTGAGAACCACGGGCTTCTGGCAGTTCTTGTGCCACTGGATAACTGTCATATTGGTGGGGACTAAGGAGAAAGTGGCAAGTTTATTTTTTTATTTTTAATTTTAATTTTAATTTTTTTGGTATCTGGAATTGAATTCAGGGCTACATCTCTGGCCACAAAAGTGGCAAGTTTAACAAGACAAGGGGAAGTTCACCTGTTCAGAAGGTGGCAGCTCAGTATGGGCCCTCTGATTTAAGTATGTGCTCAGATGATTACAAAGCCAGTCTTTTTGGAAACAGTGCAAGTGAGAATGTGTTCCATGCAGATCACCCCTCACCCCACCCAGCTAACCTACAAAGTTTTAGGACACTTTAAAAAGTAGAACATATCCATGAATCTCATTCTCAAAGAAGCAGGAAAGGAGGAAAAAACGATTTTTAATATATAGGAAACAGAGAGAGAGAGAGACAGGCAGACAGACAGACAGGGAGACAGAGAGAATACATCTAACATAAATATACATACATCAAACCAATACAGCCTTAAAACAAAGAACCATATAACATTTCTCAGACAAAGAAGTAAAAGCAACAAATACATACATGAAAAAATGTTCGACATCACTGGCCATTCGAGGGATGCAGATGAAAACAACACTGAGATTCCACCTCACCCCAGAAAGAGTGGCTGCTATCAAGAAATCAACCAATAACAAATGCTGGTGGGCTTGTGGAGAGAAAGAAACCCTTCTCCATTGATGGTGGGAGTGCAGACTGGTGCAACCACTGTGGAAATCAGTATGGAGATACCTCAAAGAACTAGGGCTAGAGGTCCCATTTGACCTAGCTATTCCCCTGCTGGGTATCTTCCCCAAAGAATTAAAAGAATCATACCACTGCGATATATGTGCACCCATGTTCTTAGCAGCACAGTTTGTAATAGCTAAAGCTTGGAAACAGCCCAAGTGCCCATTAACTGGAAACTGGATAAAGAAGATGTGGTTTTTTTTAATAAAATGAAGTACTACTCAGCCATAAAGAATGACAAACTAGAGACATTTATAGCTAAATGGATATATATTGTGGCCATACTCTTAAGTGAAATAAATAGGACACACGTGTGTAAATACCGAATAGTTTCTCTGGTATGAGAAACTGAAAGTGTAAATAAGGATTAAAATGATTAAAACAAATAACTGATAATTTGAAATAGGAAGAAAAGGTCCAAGGGGGTAGGGGAAGTGGAAGGGGAAGGGGAAAGCAAAGAGGGGAAAGGAAAAATTATGAGAAAAGGAAAAAATGGAAACAATGTTTTTGTAAATAGGGAAGGGTGGAGGGGGTAAAGGGAGGACAGGGAACGGGGGAAAAAATAAGAACCAAGATACATCATGTATAGGCATGAGCACCCAATGATAAATGTAAATGTATTATATACCTAAAAAGTACCAATAAAAGAACTTAAGTGGGGGGGGAAGAACCATATAATAAACATTTTCTTACTGGATATTTTAAGAACTGCTAAATCTATTAAGATGTGTTATATATACGTACCAACTCCCCATGATGAATGTAATCACTATGTACTGCAATACTATATTAATAAAAAAGAAAAAAATTGCTAAACTAGGTTATAAGTATATAGAAATTTTTAATTTTATTCTGATTTCCTAAAAGTTGAAAGTTGTTATAATAAAAAGAAAACTTTTAAATTTATGAAAATATAATAAATTAGTTGCTAACAACTAGAAACATAGTTTAATTCTAAAAAGTTTTTTAAGGTGGTAATGATTAAAATAAGAAATTTTAATGCCTAAAATATGAAGAACAGGCTAATTCTGTATTTTCCTATTTTGTTCCTATTTCTGTTTCCTTTATCCTTCTAATATATACACACTACTAAAGTCCTGTAATACACCTCTCACTCCCAATACACTTCAACCCATTACCACAACCACAGCCTACAAACTCACCTTTATGATCTGTTTTGCCTAGAGATAATCCTGGACGAAGATTACGATTTATTATTTGAATTAAATCTTCATGTCTTGTGCTTTGAGGGCACCATATTTCTGTAAACCGGTTTCTTAAGGCAGGTGACAGCTGCAAGGAACACACACTGTAATGTAAACTTAAAACCTATGAAGAAAACTGTAAAACAAGTCCTTTGAAAGAATGTTAGCTACGAATTTAGCAAACACTAGATGCCTCTTAATTACCTCTAGTACTAGATACTTAGTGAAGGACTACTTTGTCCTGGCTCCCTACAGATATATCTCAGGAATCTCCATGACACACTTCATGTCAGCATTTTCACCACTCTCTATAAGTGTGCAACAAAGCTTCAGGGTCTTATATACAGTAAATAGTACAAGTAGGACTCCTGTTCCAGTCAATGTGAGTTCTTTCAGCAAAGGTTCTTCCTTTTACATTACCTTACTCTATATTCAATTACATAAACAGCAATCTTCCCATAGGAATGTCTGAAGTACAAGGGAAAAAAATCAACTTTTATGTGGCTCAATGGAAATAAAATGATAAGAATATACTTCACTTCTTGAATAATAAAGAATTGTTTAGCTCCTCCAGCCTCAGGGTCTTTGCCCTCTTTGATCCTCTTACCCTTCCCCAAGGTCAGTTAACCTGTTCACACATGTTTGCAAAACCACATGTGTATAATTACTACTTTGACAACAATTTCCTTTCTCTTGACAATCATCTATCTGGTCTACTACCAGAAACAATGCCTATAATCAGAAGCACCTTCTAAAGAACTTGTGAATGTGTTTCTTGCTGCCACCCTAGACCAGTCCTCTGGTGTTCAAGATCTTACAGGCATGTAAAATCAAAGTGTAACCTCCCTTAGATAAGAGTTGGCAACCTTGGTCCTAAGAAAACCTTAAGCTTACGTGACAGGAAAATTAACAACATAAACCGTCTTAAAATTAGATCTTGGTGGTACTTCTTGTGAAGCCAGTTTTTAATTTTGAATCTGAAACTGATAAATTTTATTCCTTCTCTTCAGGGCATTTCTTGAGGTACAAAGATAAGTCTTTTTTCTAATGCTACTGAGGAAAATTAGGCCTAAATATCATGTTCACATTTTAGGTACCCACCAAGTTACCAAAATCTTAAGTGACTTCAAGATCAATCCATGTTTCTTCTCATCATCCCTGACCTATCACCACACTATCCTTTCTTCTTTTTGCAGGGGTGTGGAGGGGTACTGGGGCCCAAACTCGGGACCTTGCGCTTGTGAGGCAGGCAGCGGAACCACTGAGGTAAATCCCCAGCCCTACACTACCCTTTTTTATTAACTTTAACAGACTGAGAGGAACATAATGTTGACTTCTCCACTGAAAGGTTTTTTTGTTTGTTTTTTTCCCACAGAAAGTGGTTTATTGCTTCCGTTTTAGAATAAAATAAGCTCTTAGAAACTTTAGAAAAAATATTCTTAGAACTGCAGAACTCTTCTAAACACTGTGTTATCAGTCAATCCAGAAAACATAGCGGAGGCTGGCGCTGGGCTCAGAAGTGGGGCCTGCACTTGCGGCCGATGTACTGGGTGTCAGGCCGGACCTCCTTGCCCGGCCGCCTGCAGCGCTCCTTCTTCTCCAGCACCCACTCTCGGCTTTTCTTCACCATGCCCCGCCGCGCCAGCCTATACGGGGCCCTGTGGCAGGACCTACTGTGGGGCAAACTAAGCCAGGAGCAGGGCTCAAGGAGGCAGAGGCCCAACGTGAGGCCCAGCTTGGGGTCTGGCACGCCTGCTACAGCCCGAGTTCCCAGCCACCACGCATGTCCGAGGCAGGAAAACAAGGCTGCCCACTCGCGGCAGCTCTGACGATGCTCCTCCAGGGCTGATCTTGGCCTCCAGCCCTGGCCGAGGAGCAATGGGATCCCCACAGCCCAAGGGGCAAGAGGCCCTGTCCACTGAAAGGGTTTGCCAACCTAAAAGCTACAGAGTTGATGGTTCTTGGCTATATCTGAATACAAACTTTTGAACAGAAGGAACTTGACCAACAGTGACTTACACAGACCTTAAGAGAACAGATATGTTATCCAGGCAAAACCAGAAGTTTCCTGGCTAAGGCATTTTTGTCATTCTAAAATCAGTCATTAAACCAGACTAATTTTAAGAATATAGACTTCAAAAGCAGAGATTTAACTCATTCCCCCTGGCTTGAACCACCAGTGGTTTATGCATAACTGTCCCATCAGGCAGCTTGACCTGCTGGTAGTAGAACTGGTACAGTCATGCATGGGACAGTACCACCAATGGTTCAAGTCACCCAGTAGCAAGACATATAAATTACGGCCCCATTTTAAACGTGTTAAATTGTAGAAAAATTAGAATAATAAATTTTACACACAGCTCTTGAGAGCATGCTTGGGTAACCTAAGCAAAGGGCTAGGCCAAAGGAAATAATAACATTTTAGGCACATATACAAAGTGAGATGTCAAATAAGGAAATGTATCTGTCAGATTTTTCAATATAATGATTCTAACTATTTTTTGGATTTTTATCTATTATCCAGTATTACATACTACATTTATCAGTGTCAGTAAAGCTCAGTAAAACCTAAAAAGACAGCTGAGCCTAGTGGCTCACATCTATAATCCCAGTACACAGGATCCTGAAGCAGAAGGACTGCCACAAGTTCGAAGCCACCCTAAACTACAAAGCGAGAGACTGTCTCAAAGAAAGATTAAAACACAGGGCCAGGGATTTAGCTCAGTGGTTTCGCCGCCTGCTGCGCAAGCACAAGGACCCGAGTTCGATCCTCAGTACCAAAAAAAAACCCCCCCAAAAACCCCTGAAAGG